GAAACACGGACAATGAGCAGCGGTACCGAGGCACGATGACACGCAAACAGGATTCCGTTCCAATTTGCGAGCTACCAGCAAAATGACACCGAGGACGCACATATTCTAACCTGGTCTTAACAGAATGAAGAGTTTGATCTCACCACATACATTGCACCTCACAACAGCCTTTCGGGAAGATGCTTTCAGCATGATACTAAACAAACCATGGATTTCTTTACGATACTGGAGAAATACTTCACGTGCCATGTCCATGTCGTTCTTGTATATCAGTCTCAGCTTACACAGGCACTGTGATTATTGGACGAGCTGAGCTGAACATCGCTCTTAACAATATTCTCATTGGAATCACAGCGTGTCAGCCTTATGGCATCCGAAGGTCCACAATGACAAAATGTAAAGACATTTGGCGGGCGCGGTTAGGAATCAAATAAAAAATCGTAACTGATGTGGTTTTGGAATTCGAACCCATGACAAGCAAATCCTGTAATCTCAGGTTTCGCCATGGGCGACCAAATGAACCGTGCTCCACATCGCATGTTATTACACATGGTTTGTTTGGTAGTAGCATCATTCCAATATGCTGACACACTTTATGGATTGGAACATGAATATGTCGAAACTTGTGTATTCTTACACCTCCATTATCCGTCTTTGTAACAAACATTCAATATACTTTCAATCCTGAGTTTCCCATTTTGTTTTGTTTGTGCGAAACAGTTACAAACAGGCCAACGATGCTGGATTCCAGAGTAGACCTAAAACCTATTACGAGAAAATCGTCCGGAAACTTTTTATGCGTTCCACTTAAATGTCCTATCGGTCCCTTTTCGATTCTTCCGTCAGCTTCCATTTGACACAATGCAAAAACGAAAGAAGGACGCTCAAATGTTCCGTGATGTTGGTTTCTGGAGCAAACCAATGAAACTTAACCATTTAAAAATTTCTTTGAAGCAATAACGAGACTCGTAATGCTCTCCTTCTTCTCAATAAACCTGATAGTTGGCGGTCAAATAGACAGCAAGGGAATGAAGGTTTGGGTTGTGAGGACAGCGTCTGAGTGAAGCATTTTCAGGGAGCTATTAATAAGATCAATAGTGATCAGTTTACAGATGAATAATACATCTTGATTTGAATTAATTGGAATGATATTTTCAGGTGAGGACATGTTTGTTTTCTCTCATGCCTTGTCGAAATTTTGATTTCTTCACTTTGTATATGAACATATAGACTAGCCAATTGTTAGATACTCTTTTATTGATATTAGTTTTATCAAAGCATTTTTTTCAGAAAAGGCGAGAGGTTTTACGAATGTGGTTGACATATATTATATACATTTTGTATTTGATCAGTCCATCATTCTGACTCAATGTTTTTTCATTGCATTTTCAATCGACAATCAGATTCGGGAAGGTCATAAAGAGTGCTTATCTGGTACGGAAATCAATGCGATTTACTGAAATGCTAACTTACTAATAGCAAAATCCAAATGAGACTGAAATAACACGAGGGTTTCCAAATCATGTAGGCCAAAGGTTCAACTTAAGGGAATCAGTCAGCAAGGAAATGATAGCATAAGTAATTAAGATTTGGGGCGATAAATATGACAAATGTTACAAGTGACGCAGAGATTCCTCAAGAGGAGTTCCTATGTATTTGATTCATATAGAGATTGCGATCTGGTCCTAAAATGATATCAGAATGAATGTAATTTCCTTTTCAGAAAAACGCGATATGAACTGCGATATCGTTGGGTTTGAACATAATTATGAATCAAACATAATGAAAAATCCGTAACGGGATGGAATAAGTTCTAATCGCCAATTGAATTATTTTAAATATATTTTGCAGAGCAAGGTAAATTTATTTTCTCAAGTCGAGGTTAACCATTCCTGTACCATGGTCCACTTATCTTGATAAATGTCAATATGTGGGACAAAACCCTTTCCAAAGTTTTAGGAACCTTCTGCCAACAGCTGAGTTGGTGGTTCAATCCCGAATGCACTATGAAGATGTGTTTATTAAACACTATCAAAGGTGGTTTTACCAGGTTACATAATGTAAATTTAAAATGTATTCTGCCCCAAACTCACAAACACATGCATTGGAGAGCTAATCATTCATCTACAAACAAGAGGAGATGTGGTGCAAGTCATATTAAGATATGCACTGAACCCTTTTTTTCTAACTGATATGTTAAATTTGAAACATTTACGTGCGCGGCATGAAGCGTTTTGGAAACCCTAATGAATGGCCTTGAATGTTGAAGCCTTGTTCAAACAATTTCTGAGCAGCAGTTTTTTGACGATGTTTGAAACTTTGGTGAAATGACAACCTGGATTGCACCTCAAAAGTTATGAAATTTGAACTCCTAATACTGGAACTGTAGAAACATTATTTGACATAAAGGGCGAGTGAACTATTGGAACGTTGAAGTCATATCCTCTTGTCATTGAGCCAAACAAACACTATGGGGCGGTGTTGTAGCCCAGTGGTTAAAGCGTTCACTCGTCGCGCCGAAGACCCGGGTTCGATTCCCCACATGGGTACAATGTGTGGGGAACATTTCTGGTGTCCCTCGTCGTGATATTGCAGAATATTGCTAAAAGCGGCGTAAAAATATACGCACTCAATCATGTGTCACCTGTATTTCTAGTTCAGGTGGATACATGAGCTGGAAGTCATTGATAATTTGATGGTTATTGAGCGGTATTAGGTAATCGATATACCTGAAGATATTTCTATTCGTACACATAAAGAAACAAATGAGAAAGAACAAGTGGCGCCCATCGTGATGCCTGCTTCTTGCCGTTTCACTCCTCATCTTTTATATACATGTCATTGGTAAGAAAGCCCAGCATTCCATGATCACATATTCCTTTTTCAATAAACTTCAGACAGCATTTCATTTCATTTTTGACAAATTTGAACTCAGAATACATTTCATCAGCGATCTTACCTTTCTTGATTTCCAGATGCATCAGCAACGTCATCAGGTAGAACAGAAAGGAAGCACATTGTTTGGTTCTCGTATGTCCTATGTAACACTTAGCGCCTATCAAATAACGATGTATCATTTTACAGAGATTAGTAACGTGAATCCAGACGGCCAATGTAATGGTGAAATACTAGCAGGTTCTGCGGCCCGATCGTGACGAGGAGGGCACAGATCAACACCAGTAACGTACCCGCTCCGCCAATAGCAACCGATGTGTGCACGAGGTCATTACACTTTCATGAGATTTACTCAGACAGATTTTAGGTTTGGCTGGCAAAAGTTGGCATTCTTTCTGTCCCTTTGCCCCCATAATTGCATGCGGCATCACTCTCACTGATCATCCAGAAAAGATAGGCGTAATTAATCGATAAATTGCTAGCCACTTCTCGGTAAAACAATTTGCTGTAACACTCGGAATCGGTATGAGATACCTCGAAGATCAGATTCGTCCCGTCCTTGTCAAGTTGGGGATTTTCTTTGCCCAACTGAAATGCCATTTTATTATCATATATATTAGCTTTTCTGTCAGGACGGGCACATACAAGTCACCCATTGCCTTACACCTTACAACAAGAAAGCAGGGACCCGCAAGCTGGGCAAACCTAGATATGATTTTTTCCGGAATTTCCACAGAAGGAAGTTGAATGTAAAGAGTACTTAAGATTCATGGGACAAGTGTTTTAGTGGCATAAAATCTTCAGAAGGGGATCAGAAGGGCGTTGATTTATGGGACAAAAGCTCCTCTTTTCTTTCTCAGACACATTTCATTGTCATAAAATCGTTTAACGTTTCCTTTGCAAAAATCACTCTTCGATAAACTAATGAAATATTATATTTCAAAGTATCATATATACAAAAATAACCTAGTATAAAAAAAACCTATTTCATCGATGCCATGAATTATAGATACACAACTGATACATTAATTGAGTTGAGGTGAAATAGGGTTGAACGTCGAACTTTAACGACGTGCATGCGTGTGTATGTGTGGCTACTTGTACTAGCTGGTTATATAGTGCTAGCTCGCTGAGGGCTACCATGCCGCAGTTAAGCAAGAATACACCACTCGGACACATCATACTGACTCCGTCCTTGTTGTACCCATTAATGCCGAGCGCCAGGCAGGGACCAACAAGTACCATATTTTAACGTCTATTGGTATGACGCGGCCGGGATCGAACCCGCGACCTTCCGCTCTCCGGGCGGACGCTCTAACCACTACACGACGGAGGCGGTCAGCCGATACATGAAGACTCGAATCCAAAAGATCAAATATAACCAGACATATGCTACTCAGTATTGTTTAGAATAAATATATTTTTCATATTCGTACGAAACACAGCGTATGACAATGCAGTATCTATTCTCGCGTGTATTCACGGAGGTCCCGTCCTGACCTCACCTGCCCTCTGAATACAAATATTGAGTGGTATCTGCAAAGTGGCCATCATCTCAGACAAACGTGATGGGAGCGTAACGTTATGGGAGCGTATACGGTGATAAAAGGTTGTAAACATGACCTCGTCAAGCACAGTATCACCCACATGTAATCACACACTCCATCCCACGCACATTCTACGTGTATCACCCGGGCTCATCACCGGCTGATTGTGATTCATAAACACATACCATCATATCGTCGGAATCGTAAAATGGAATATACTTTCAGCCGAGATTTCTCATCATTATTTAAAAGTTTTTGTCCCGTAACAGCGTTTTGAAGACATGTTCAAATTCTGTGGTGATTAAATGCATTTTGATTATAGGGTGAAATTTCGACATATTGAATATGCGTGAAATTGGCACTGATTTTTAAAAAACGTTGCTAATTAGTACTATAAGTGAGAGACGTTAACGCGTTATGTAAGTTAACATCACGTTGTAAAGTGGGTCCCGCTTGAAACAATAGATACGATCTTAAGTCATGTCAAAATAGATAATTTTATCAGTTGTATCAAGACACTATGTTATCTCTGTTGATAACGTAGACGATACACGATCGAGACAATAACGTCTGTTATTGGCGCACACACAGTGACAAACACGTTTATACAAATGTATTAACATTATCGCAGCTACCCGGCCCCTATAATAACCACTGGGAGCGAGAAGACATGTGAGTATATACTTGATTGGGTACACCGCGACATAAAGAGTTTGACGTACATTTCTTTCCTCGTCGCAGTCATTATTGGGGGCGGTGGGGTAACGTAGTGGTCCAAGATCCGAGACCCGAGCTCGGTATCTCGCGTAGGTTTACAGGCTCACGTGTGTGTTGAACCCACTTCTTGTCTCCCCGGCATGCAATTACTGGAATTTTGCTAAAGCGGTGTAACCACTCACTCACTCACTCACCCCCGGCATGCTGTTGCTGGAATTTTGCTAAAAAGGTGTAACATCTCATTCACTCACTCCCACTCTACTCCGTGTCATACTAAAACGGACTCAAATGATTTTACTTGTTAACCTGCTTGCCGCTCGGTATTAATGGGATAGAACAAGGACTGAATCAGTCGGGTACTGTGGCATGGTACCTAAGTGGGCTGGCACAATACAACCGGCTTTGGCCCAAACTAGTACAGGCACACGAACATATATATAAATACAATATAATTGAACCCAACGTCAATCCCTACTTGTTCGTGATATAAATGAGGCTGTTATAAAATTGATGTACGTACTATCTAAGGTAAATGGTCAACAATGAAACTAAATCAGATTTTGATGGTATATATGGTCCCCAGGGAGTTGAGATTGATAATACGACGTGCCGTTGGGATTGACATCCAGTGATCGAGGGAAAAACTTAGTGCTTTTGAGCAGCTGAGCTGGATATCGGCGCTATACAAATGTTAGCATAATAATAATAATCACAATAATATATATGGGCCAGTGTCTCGGACTGCGACATTCTCGATTAGTCAGTGTGGCGGTGTGTGGTCCTGTGTATCAGGTCACAAATCAGGTGAAGTTAAGCAACGTTGGGCGTGGAGAGTCCTTGGATGGGTGACCGTGTGTGACAGCTTGACTCCTGAGAGTTCCAATACCTCAGTCCTGCCCCACAACGAAGCACATGTGGTACATGTGGTCTCACCTTAGGCAAGTGAATTTGTTCAAAATTGGCTCTATCCACCCAGCAGAAAATGGGTACCCGGTGGGATAAGTCATGTGACTATAACCTTCTTGCGCCTCACAGGCAGCTTGGGTTATCCGGGGGTAATAATGAACTGTCTGCGCCACGAGCATGTGTCGGTGTGGATTTAGGGCAATACAAATGGACTAGTTATCAATATTAATGCATCGTTTTATTGAGGATGATATTTCAATCATCACCACTTGTCTAATACAGAAATCTTCAACCACGAGCAACCCTTTAATTATAAAAAGCAGTACAGTTAACAACCCGCCTTATGTTACAGTGCACAATAGCAACATTCGTTTAAAAGGCAGATTACGTACACCGCCTCTTCGTCACGGAGTCCTGTGATAAAAACTTCAGGTATTTCTGTCCTTAAAAGAACATCTTTATTCAAATGTCGATTTACATAAATGTTCGTTTCGAAATACACGTCATACATGCTGAAGCACGGATCAGGAACCTTTAACAGTTACCGCAACGAGTTAGCCCAATATTCAACAGTATTCGATTAGTTGTTCATTTGCAATTGCATGATAGTGAAGAGGCGGGATGTAAAATGTGATATCGCAGTCCACAGTCAAACCTCTTCACTCTGATAGCGCAGCACACACGGATCCCTGTAGTATGTACTCAGTATTCAGTGCGTCTCGGGAGACGACCTGCTTGCATCCATGCTATAAAAATTACCTTTTTTGGTTTCTCCACCTCATTGAAGCACCAGCAGTGTCTCCTTGGTCATGTGGCTTTGCTCGTAATATACCTCTGTTTACCCAGCAGTGAATGGGTACCCGGTGGGATGATAAGGTGAAGTGACTGTTAACCGTCTAGAGTCTCAGAATCAACCTATGTTGTATGCTGCCCAGGACGCTGCGAATACAAACCGAATGCGGGGTAATAGTGTTGGCGCCTTAAGCATGCACTTTGTGTGTGGAGGTTGGTACAATATATGTACACACATTATTTTTTATTATTTCAAGTCTATATCTGTAATTCAGATTGGTATATAATTTTGCAGGTCTGACGACACGGGGTCTGATATATCCTTCAACTATGATGACTTCACTCACTACACAGTAATACCCGCGGTAAGCTTTTACGCTGATACCATTTCTTTCTCAAAAGTTCAGAGGGGGCGATGGGTAGTGATTTAAGCGTTTCGCTCATCACGCCGGGAACCCGGTTTCGATTTCCCACCTGGGTACAATGTGTGAAGCTCATTTCTGGTTCCCATTGCAGCGATATTGCTGAAATAGTGCTAAAAGCGGCGTAAAATTTACATCCATTCTCTTACAAACACAGAGTAGATCGGCACCACTTTGTGCAGTGTTATGCTGACCTACCACCTATACTCATGTTATTGTACAACTGTAGCTTACATTGTTCCAGTGAAACGTTTAACTTGTTATCCATGCCCTCGCGTCTTCAAGGGGCGGTGGGGTAGCCTGGTGATTAAAGCGATGGCTCGTCACGCAGAAGACCCGGGTTCGATTCCTCTCATGGGTACAATGTGTGAAGCCCATTTCTGGTGTCCCCCGCCGTGATATTGCTGGAATAATGCTAAAAGCTGCGTAAAACTAAACTCACTCGAGTCTTCACAGTATTGACAAAACGTTTAACCCTACTAAACTGATTTAGGAAGTGGTACGGATGGCCCTGTGGTTTAAGAGGAGAATGTTTGGACCATTTCCAGCAGTCTGCGCTGCAGAAACAGGTTGCATAGCAGTCCTGTCGGATCTGATTGGGCATAGTGGCTCTGATTGTGCAGAACTGTCCCTTGACAAGATCCGTTGTTTATGGATTCCAAATACATTGCCCATGAGATGTTCTCTGAGTCCCACCAGTCGGGTAAACAAGTTCGATCCACTTTTCATTTGGCTTTCTTCCTGCACCACGCTTACAGTACCGACAAACAGTGTCAAATCCAAGTCATCCATTGAGCAATGCATGTCAGCCATACATCACATCTTTCAGGTCGTTGAAATTAAAATTTAAAAATTTAGAAATTACGTAAGCGAATATTCCAGCTATATGGCGGCGGTCTGTAAATAATCGAGTCTGGACCATACAATCCAGTGATCAACAGCATGAGCATCGCTCTACCTAATTGGGAACCGATGACATGTGTCAACCAATCATCGAGCCTGACCACCCGATCCCGCTAGTCGCCTCTTACGACAAGCATGGGTTACTGAAGATCAATTCTAACCCGGATCTTCACGGGTATACACATTACGTAAGACAAATCTGACAAATAATTCACCTGATGAAGGAGCAGGTATTAGCTCTGAAACATCGTATAAAGAATACAAAGAACTTGTTTCCAAAAAAGGCGCCGTTTATTCAAATATGACCTTTGTTCTGTAAACATTAATAGTAGAAATGTTTTTCATTTTTAGAGCCAAACTATTTGATTAAATATAATGTAATTTACAAGTGATGGTGATCCAAGATAGTCTACTATGTCACAGGTGGTAATCATACTCTTGCTGGCCTTCCTGGAGAAGAGGAAGAGTGGAAGGGGCATCTATGACGGCGGCCCGGCATTGATCGTGTAAGACAAGGCACATTACCATGATACAAATTTATCATCCTTAAGTGTGTCTTTAAAAGCTACATACCGAAGGTAGTAATCATTCGCCCATCTCTGTTACGTTAACAGGAATGGGGGCGGTGCGGTGGCCTAATGGGTAAAGCGTCCGAAGACCTGGGTTCGTTTCCCCACATGGGTATAATGTGAGAAACCCATTTCTGGCGTACCCCGCCATGATATTGCTGGAATATTGCTGAAAGCAACGTGACACCTTCATGCGAACCTATACTGTAATCGCCTCACAATTACAATAATGATAGTGTGATATGTTGCTGGTGACCTAACCTAACCGGAATCTCCACACGGTTTTTATTGTGTAATATCGGGATAGTGAACTGCATACATGATCCAAATCATTCACTTTGAGTATGGAGGCTCATTAAGGAGGTTAGGACTTGAATCACATATTCACGCCAAAGACCAGGGTTCGATTCCCCACATGGGTACAATGTGTGAAGCCCATTTCCGGTGTCCCCCGCCGTGATATTGCTGGAATAATGCTAAAAGCGGCGTAACACCATACTCACTCACTCACTGAATCACATATGCTACGGATAAGGGTTAACATGAGAGCCAAGCCCCTTTAAGACACATGAAATAGGTATGGTCTACTCTCATGTGTAAACAGAAGCGACAAAACCCATTCCACATTCATAAGAAATCTCTGTCAGCTGTACAGTTGAGACTATATCATGGGCAGGTATATCCATGTTATACTGTTTGCACGGTTCCAGTTTCCTCTCACAAACCGGTTTGTTTTGTAGACCGTTGAATCTCCTGGACGGTTATGAGAACCGGTTTGCGTTTGCTGCTGCCTTTGGTGCCGTCACGAATGAAATCCTCAGCCTGTTTCTAGAGACCCAGTACTCCTTCGAATATCCGCTCTGGGCTTTCGGTGGGTATCATTACTCGAATAATAACTGAATCAAGCTGAAGTGTAATTAGCATAATATTAAACTTATTGGGGATGTGTCGAATGATGATGGCACAATGTGTTGTACGCTATCTGTTTAAAGTCTATCCACGAAGTGCTTCCTATACATGCGATCGCGACGTAAAAATGGTCATTGTGCTTTTATCGTCCAGCTTGTGTATGTGCTGCATCAACGATGTGATGAATGAGGTGTGTGAGTGCATCACACGAGTTATTTGAATGAATGCAACATTTGTTATAAGTGACTGGCTGCGCCATGTCCATGGCTACAGTCTTGTGCAATTGTGTCATAAATATGATCACGAAAATGTATATTTGGCATTGATATACACACAGGGAAAATCATCTTTATATACGATATGGGAAGTATGGCCATGGTTTCACAGGGTACCAGAATATGCTGAAATCAGCAAAAGACGTATTAACCAAACGTGGCACTACTTCAAGGGATAATACGTTAGAACGGGTGCATGTTACATCATGAATAGTTGCCTAATTCTAGGCTACCTAAACGCTGTCTGTTCGTATCTGTTCGACTGCTATACCATGACTTAGGGACAGGAAGGGATTCTCACAACACCTGGAAGTCGCAAACTCCCTTTCAACTGTTCCAAGATATTGATTGTCCTTAGACATCGTCTACAGACTTTGGTATAGGTACCATCAGTACGGTCAAGTGACCAACCAGGTCACGCCAGCCCGTGTTACAATTGATGCCCAAGAACGTTTCGAGTATCTGCATTACTAGCTGTAGAGATTTATCCCCCGCAGACTCTGTAACAGCGGCGGTTTCAATGATGCGATGGACATCTGAACAGACAGTGCGGAACCACCTTCGCGAGGAAGGTCTCAGAGCCACGCGACCTGTCAGACGTGTTAGTTTGACCCATTAGTACCGTCAGTTGCAGCGTCTGTGTTGTCAAGCAGACATTATGGCAAGACGGGACATTCCATTGGAGAGAAGTGTGCTCCCATCCTCGCTGATCGGTTTCTTCATCAATGAAAATAATTTGTTGTTCCTATTTTTGTTTGCTTCATATCATCCCATCCTGTATTTTCCGATGAACGGTTGACTTGACTTTGCATGCATTTGCATCACGACTATATGTGATAGTGATTCATAAACACAAGCTCATTATATACAATCATTTTTGTATCAATTAAATTAAATTCAATATGCACATTTTTACCACGGTGAAACTAGCCTACTCTTTCTATTTTAACAATTACAAGTAGCCAATGTTAATGTGCGTGTATTGGCATGCATTATTTTGCTTACAGCACTGATTCTACAGGTGCGGACAGTAGAGGTGGCGGTGGTATGTTTCCCATTGTTTGCATGCATTGCCACTCGACACCGATTGGTTGGATCCGTTTGCGGACTTCTGTATTCTATCCTCTTGTGAGTAAGGTCAAATGTACCAAACCTGTTTTCCTTTAGTTGAAAGAACATCTTCATACTCTACCAAAGCATTTTAGCAGTGAGACCATGCTTACCACTAAGACCATTATTTCCAGACTTGGTCAGAAGTGCAAACATTAGTTCGTGTACCCACTTGAAATATTGAAATATATACATTTATGTGATTGTATGGTATTTTTCTCGAATGATCTGGAGAATGCTTAACGATTGTTTAGTCATCAGATGAACAGAGTGACTTTCTATAGAACTGGAGTCAGTCAGCACGTGCCAAGGGGCCCGAACCCGTGCAGATCCGGGTTTAAATTGGTCTTCCGGGTTTAAATTGGTCATCAGCAACCCATGCTTGTCGTAAGAGGTGACTAACGGGATCGGGTGGGTACACTCGCTGACTTGGTTGACACACATGCCATCGTATCCCAATTGCGTAGATCGTTTCTCATGATGTCAGTCACTGAATTGTTTGGTCCAGACTCGATTTTTCACAGACCACCGTCATATACCTGGAATATTGCTGAGTGCGGCGTTAAATATTATTCAAACAAACCTAGGGTACGAAACAATTATTGATCATAGAAATTATAAAAAATAACTTCTTTTGTCCACATATTAGAACCATAGTATCAGAAACAGCAGATGCTTATATCTATATAACGTCTTACGTCCAAATACGATCTCACAGGTGCGGCGGTATCCTCACAGATCTAGTTCAGCGGGTCCGTTTATCAGCTGGTACCAGTACAGTAAGTTCACTACTTCACTGTATGGACGAATATCTGCCTCCGGTGAACATTGACATCAGAATCACATGATGTGAAACAAGCTACCAAACAAAATGCAAAATACTAGTGTTTGACCCCAAAACTTATAAAATGTTCCCCAGATTATCATGAAGTCATGAAATGTGATTGAAAAGTACTAGTCAAAGCAAAACAGCTTACAAGATGTCATCAACAATCAATAACAGTTTTTTGCTTGCCTTTTACAATGACTTAGCTGAAATAGTCTCTATGTTCCTATCGAACCATGCATACATGGTCTTGCTTCACAAGGATTTAACTGATATAGTTTCTATGATCCCATCGAACCATATTAACATGGTCTTGCTTCACACTGACTTAACTGAAATAGTCCCTATGTTCCTATCGAACCATATTGACCTGGTTTTTGCTTCACAGTGACTTAACTGATATAGTCTTCATGTTCCAATCGAGCCATCTTTACCTGGTCCTACTTCACAGTGGCTTAACTGATGTTGTCCGTATAATCCTATCGAATTATGTTGATGTGGTCTTGCTTCACAGTGGCGTTACTGATATAGTATCTATCTTCCAATCGAGCCATATTGACCTGGTCCAGCTTCACGGTGGTGTAACTGATATAGTCTCTATGTTCCAATCGAGCCATATTGACCTGGTCCTACTTCACAGTGGCTTAACTCATGTTGTCTGTATAATCCTATCGAACTATGTTGATGTGGTCTTGCTTCACAGTGGCGTAACTGATATAGTCTCTATATTCCAATCGAACCATGTTGATATGGTCCTACTTCACAGTGGCGTAACTGATATAGTCTCTATGTTCCAATCGAACCATGTTGATATGGTCCTACTTCACAGTGGCGTAACTGATATATTCTCTATATTCCAATCGAACCATGTTGATATGGTCCTACTTAACAGTGGCGTAACTGATATAGTCTCTTTGTTCCAATCGAACCATGTTGATAGGGTCCTACTTCACAGTGGCGTAACTGATATAGTCTCTATATTCCAATCGAACCATGTTGATATGGTCTTGCGTCACAGTGACTTAACTGATATAGTCTCTTTGTTCCAATCGAGCCATATTGACATTCTGTTGCAGGTTTTTGAACTAAGTCCCATTGCCACCGACGTTCCTGTGCTTTTGTGTTATATGTATCTGTTGGTGAGATCAGCCTCAGAAATCATCCGCGCTGTGTCATCCAAAGTGTACTCCCTACAGGTAAGACAGGGACATGCACGTTTACTGCTATGGTTGTGTAGTAAATCCCATATTGTGTTCTCTGTATATTGATCAACTGGTGATTGAGTAAATGGCGGTAGAGGCGAAATTGTATCCCGAGACTATATTTTTTGTAACTGAGTATTTTACTATTTGCAGAATAACATTATACTTTCCTCAAAACTGTATAAGGAAAGTGATTTGTGAGAAGTGGACACATTGTTAATTTAGATAACTAGCTATAAAATTATTTTCAGATAAAATAGTCCAATCAAGAGATGTGAATCTCAGAAAATTGGTGATGATGTTTAAATACATTAAGTTAAATAGTTAAGTACATTCTTCGGTTTAAATTTGAATTGCAAGGGTCAAAAGCACATACGTGTTTCAAGGGTACTATGACAATATTCGGACGGTCAAAACAATCTCTAGAATTTATAGAATGTGCTGTGAGATAGTTTACATGGAGATATTCACTATCGTCAGTCATCCACTGCGAAATGTGTATATATGTCGAATTATATAGTATATACTGGTCAAATATTCAAAGGTCGAAGTGAAAACGTTATGAGGAACGGGTAGTTTGGTGTTGCATTTAACTGTGAAAATGAGACTCACTAATACGTGAAGTGTTTTCCTTTAAAATCTTGTTTGTCTCCATTTTCGATTGAGCATAATTAGGCACAATACTTGCTTACGTAAATTGGAATTTGAAATATTGAAATATGAAAAGGAATTCCGGCTTGTATAAAAGTATTGCAATAAAAAGCTATAAAAATACATTTCCATTATCATAACAAATATCCTCTAACGTCCACTATGCCATAATTATATGTTTGTGAATCATTTTCAAACGAAGATAGCAGGTGTTTGAGAAAAGCTGACTGCATCCTATCTGGCCGTTGGCATCCGTCACCCAAAAAATGGAAAATACAGTACAACCAAAAATAGGAAACTGCATATTTGTCAACGGAAACTTCAATGTTGAATGCATTAGCAAATATGATTAAAGACCGGAAAGATTGCCCAGTATCCGTCAACATACGACTGAGCTATAACTAATTCATGAGTATGTGAGTGAGTATGGTTTTACGCCACTCTTAACAATATTGCACACATTGCACCCATATTTGGATTCGAACCCGTGTCTTCGGCGTGACGAGCGAACGCTTAAGCCATTAGGCTATCCCGCCCGATTCATGCAGAGAACATTCTCGGTAAGTGTTGCAGTTAGAAATCAACATTTTTTTCTGATGTGTATATTTGCTCTTCGCAATTTAAATGGAAGTACTTCCTGCTTCTGCTTGTAATCACAGGAGGAGACAGACACGGTGCGTCCACATCAAACCCTCCATGTGAGGCTATTACTTAGCGGTTACTATGATACAGTTTTAAGGTAAGTACTACAGCGTGAGAAGGTTGTTGAGTGAGTGTGTAGGCGGTTGACTGGTTGAGTGAATGATTGAGTTCTTCATTGCTTGATTGAGTTGTTGTTTAGTTGAATGAGTGAGTGGGTGATTGAGTGGATAATTCCCCCAACAACTCTTGACACAGTCTGTGGAAATAAGAATAATCACGTTACTTTACAGGAAAGACGAAACATTTAGACAAACGGTGACCTATAGATCCATCCTGGGCTTCAGGTATCCAGTGAAAATAGTTTGTGCTGTCTTCATTGTAGCTGTTATTCTCTATCAGGTTCGTATTACCTGCAAGCTGCGGTGTGATTGGAAGGATGTGAAATATTATGCTGAGCAAAGGAATTTCCTCTCTTGGAGGACATGTTGAACAGTATGTTATCACATAAGTACAACAGGACATGTTTACATGTACCTAGTGCAAATGCTTACGTGTCCCTGTGTAGAGATTACCACGTTCGTAGTACATGTGGCACTAGTGTGGGGTAGGGCATGCTTCCATGTACCTTGTGTTGGGATAACTATACTGAACAGCCCAAGAAACGCAACTCTGTTTTTTTGTCAAGTTTTTCAATAGAAGACATAAACATGAACGCTTACTTTTATGAGATTTCATTTTTTTTAATAACTCGCGCTTCTTTTGCTGTTCAGTATATTATACGGATACTACCTGTAGGACAGGACACTACTTATATTATTTCTCAAAATCGGTTTTCATTCAGAAATTATTAGTTTGGCTGTCACCGTCAAGTATGCTTCAATGTAAAAAATATATTTTTCTGGCAATGTTTTTTTTTTCTTCAAAAATTGAAATGATACACGTTTAATGGCGAATAAAGAAACAGCAGCCTTATGATTTGTTTCTGTTTTTCAGCTGGCTGTTCTGGAGATAACGGGTGGAGTTGTACTGTGGGAAATCAAAGAACATTTCCTCAACTTTGAATCGATTGACGCATTCAATCATACAATCGTCTTGCTCACACCGCAGGCCGTCAACGGCATGATAGGTAAGCAACATTCTTAACGTGTTTGGTTACTAATAGTGATTGAGTGAGGGAATTAGTATGGTGTTATCTATTAGCCATATTCCGACAGGGGTTAGATTCAATGGGCCTCACAAGTTGTGCTCAAGTAGAGAATCGAACCGGTCCATTTGCGTGGCCAGCGAACGCTTTAACCACTAGTCTACCCTACCGTCCCGATAATGGTACGAACAAAAGCCACTATGCTTTAATTGGTTTTTTTAGGCTGGGTTGTTCTTTAACATTTTCTGGTTTTCCACTTGAGTATAACCCACTAGAACGGGTGTCGTGCTAAAGAACACCTGGCTGTTTTTTGTCAATCAGATATCATTCTATGAAATGTTGTATTCAATTCTCTTGTTTTGCAGGAACGTATTATACATGTGTGTTTATTGCCAATGCTGCAGCCCTCATTCACATATTCTTTTTCCTGAAGATATACAGGTACGTTAATGTATGTTACATGTACATTACGAAATATGCCTTCATTGTCCATTGCACTCTCTCTCTCTCTTGTTCATTGAAATATGCTCTTACGAAATATGCCTTCATTGTTCATCGCTCTCTCTCTCTCTCTCTCTCTCTCTCTCTCTCTCTCTCTCTCTCTCTCTCTCTCTCTCTCTCTCTCTCTCTCTCTCTCTCTCTCTCTCTCTCTCTCTCTATCTCTCTCTCTTATTCAATTTCCATTTAATATGGACACTCAAGCCTGGCCTCGTTCCACAAAACGTTAGCAGACAATTTGAGTTAGCACCGTGAGAATGGACCCTGCTCCATACAAGTCAGCGTTGTTAGCTCTACGAATGTCGTGAGTCACTGTCACGAAGTGGGAAGTGTACAATCTACATTGAGCTGGGATGGTTTTGTGACGGGGTTCCTAACTTCTGAGGCATCCATCATATTTTATGGCCGCTTCTCTCTCTCTGTCATTTGGTTGTTAGTTTGGTTTTTACGCCGCACTCAGCAATTTTTAGCTACGTGACGGTCTGCAAATAATCTAATCTGGACTAGAGACATGCAGTGACTGACATCATGCGCATCATTCTACGCGATAGAGATACGATGGTATGCACCACTCATACCTGACCACGCGATTCCGTTAGTCGCCTCTGACAACAAGCATGGGTTGCTGAAGACCAACTCGCGGTTCGATTTCTCAAAATGTTCTAAGGAACGTTTCTTAAATCCCAACCATGATATTGCTTGAATGCTGCTTAAAGTTAGTGGAAGAGAAGTACAAAGTCACAATTATTTATTCAAAGTTTCATAGATTCTCTTCAGATTCCTTTTCCCGCAAAATAAACTTTCTAAAGAAAATACATCATCGTCATCAGTGTAACTCCTCTATAAATACTGTTATGTTTATTAACAGAAATTATGTCCACCCAGTGCCATCTGTTTGTTCGATTGTTCACGATACTGTCAGAAACTTATCAAATGTAATCACACACACTTAGGGAACTGACCCGTGAAGATCCAGGTAAGATTTGATCTTCAGTAACCCATGCTTGTCGTAAGAGGCGACTAACGGGATCGGGTGACCAGGCTCGCTGACTTGGTTGACACATTCCATCGTATCCCAATTGGTTGTAGGAAAAAAATCAATATTGATAATGGAGTTCATGTTTATGTTGTTGATCACTGGATTGTCTGGTCCAGACTCGGTTATTTACAGACCGCGGCCATATACATGCAGCTGGAATACTGCTGAGTGCGGCGTAAAACTAAACCCACTCATTCACTCAAGTAACTAATCAAGTAGAACCTTAACTGTCAACCTTGCAACATACTTAAACTTCATTTCTTTTCATGTCTACAGGAAAAACATTTTGCGTTTGCACCAGAGGAGATCGATCCTTCATCTGCGAGACTGAGCAACATACACAGTATATAATGGTAAGGACGCAATGAGTGAGTATGGTTTTACGCAGCTCTTAGCAATATTCCAGCAATAGCACGGCGGGGGACACCAGAGATGGGCTTCACACATTGTACCCATGTCGGGATTCGAACCCGGATCTTCGGCGTGACGAGCGGACGCTTAAACCACTCGGCTACCCGGCCCTACGTAATTGATATACGTGGATATATACTACCAAATGCAATCGAGCAAATCACAAAGTACTGACGCCATTTAAACGATAACGAAGTATTCATTTTTGAATTGTGAAAACGACTAACAGCTTGTCATTATTTCATTCACCTTCAGGCCAGCAATCTTCGATTCCTTGGGTACCTAATTGCCTACAGTATTTGGGGTAGGTCTCGCTTTAGAAATGCCTTTATGAGTACGCTGCATACATAGTTGTAATTACCAGACTTTGCTATATCCATTATAGAAACAGAAAACAACAGATAGAACCTCTTGAAGGTAGAACCTCTTGAAGATGGAACCTTCTCGAGACGTAACGTCATCCTCTATCGTTAGACTAACGATTGTAGTCTCTGAATATATATTATAATCAATATACGTTTGATTGTAACAAATAAACCCATTTAAATTGAAAAGGAGCCTCAGGGAGACCAGAGATTCAGAACCTAGGGAAATCAAGACTTGCTTCGATTAGAGCTTTAACATTGCAGGGATGGCTAGGCTGAAAGGAAAATAATATGGTCACTGTGTGACACAGACTATCGTGACGTCAATATATCACGTTAAGCATAACGTCTGATTAACGTCCACATTGACGTTGTATACGTCAGCAAGTATACTTTACATTTTCAACCCTCTCATCATCATATTTGCGGCATAAATATGTATTAGGTGATCAGAGACCTCATTATTCCTATTAGTATCATACGAGAGTAGTAATTCTTTTACCTTTAGAGTCTGTGCGCAAGTGAACTGCACCTTTGATAAATAGTGCAAAAATTGCAGCCACGTTTGTTTATACAATCACTGAGACATGTATAGTTCTGATGCAATATTTGGGGTTGTGATACCGAAATACAATACCCATGATGCCTATTTAATACTACGATCCATGAAGGTCCGGGTTAGAATTGGTCTTCCGCAATCCATGCTTGTCGTAAGAGGCGACTAACGAGATCGGGTGTTCAGCCTCGCTACCTTCGTTGACACATGTCATCGGATCCCAATTGCGTAGCTCGATGCTCATGATGTTGATCACTGGATTGTCTGGTCCAGACTCGATTATTTACAGACCGCCGCCATATAGCTGGAATACTGCTGAGTGCTGCCTTTAACAACAAACAAACAAAACATTTATGTTACAGGTGCTGTGATTTTCCTCGTCTTCCTGTTGATATTTGGTCTCGTGGTCTTCTACGCCATGTTCTGGATGGAGGCTAACGGCATCCTGTGGACATTCTTCTTATACGTGGTACAGCTTTTGAGGTAGATCATGTGTAGTTTACCTGACCTTATGGATTATGTTGCCATATTGTATGTCTGCTGTAGGCACTGTATTTTACTGCCTTTTAATTTTAAAACATCCCTGACACATTCGCAAATGTAGCTTACGTTACGGCACTAGAGAATATTCTGACGTGATTCGGTTGTCGACAATATTGTAAATTAAAACTGCTTTATAAAATTTTGAATAAGGAAATGATTTACACGTTGTTTGGGGTTGTTTTTATTAATCATTCGGGTAAACAATTGACTCTTGCCGGTGTTTGTGACTGGCGTCACATGTGGGGCAGGAAACATAAATCTTTCCGCCAAAATCAGTTTCATAATGAATCATGTCAGAATAGGACGATTGATTCTCCTTTTGAATATTTCATAGTTATTGTTATGTATATGTTTTCTCTTCCCAGCCTCCCTGCGACAGCTCTCATCCTGTTCTACATCCAGGTGGCGATGGCGAGATACGTTCTGCTTCAGGACAAAATACGACCAACTGACGAGGACCCGCCACTCAATGTAGATAACAGGTGGGCCAGAAATAAATAATAATTCTTAGTTAACTTTCTTTTTTTGTTGAAATAATATGTGTGTGGCCTAAAAGAATAAATGTGAAAAGAACAGGATGTGGTGCGTTTTGTACCCAAATACAAATGATCGGTAAGATGAAATATGAAATATGAAAATTAACACTACGATACTTGTTTATAGTGGAACGATGAAACTGGTGACCTCAAAGAACTATGCCCTACCACTACTCACATCGATCCACTCTGTATAATTTCTGGAAATTCGTAATTTGTACAAGAAATCTTTGTTTTCAAATGTGTGAAGACGGTGGGTCCTAAACCACCAAAATGACACACTGCAACTAATATCTAATGCTGCAGGCATATGTGTAAATTGAGGTAAAATGAACACTTTTCAAGAACTCAAATGGCAGGCCTTGACAATGGTATGCGTTCGAAGCAATATGTTATGTGAACTGTAATTTCATTGTGAAATGTCTGTAACATGTGCTGTATATATACTTGTATTACTTGTATATGGGCTGGAGGCCTTAAGTACAATAAATATCTTTGACCTGATGGAATTGTGCCTATAAAACAAAGCACTGAAATAGTGGTAAAAGGGCTCATGTTGTGTTGTAGGAGATTTTACGAGGGGTTCAACTTTTTCTCCCTGTTCGGGAGCTTGACAATTGGTATATTCTCCTGCTTTCTACGAATTCTAACTGGAACCGTCATGGGAGTCGTGATGGTCGGCAGACTGGACAAAACTACGTACATGAGAAGCATGGAGAGGCGTGATAAAGGTACAGGCAAACAGATATGCTCAGTAGTTGGCCATAAGTGAGTCATCATTCATTGAAATTTCCATAGACTTGCATGTTAATTACCTGTTGCAAGAATAAATTTCATAAATTGAGTAGAAGTCATTTTATTTTGATATTTTGCAAACATCTTGGAAATCATCTTCGGCTATATATATATAAATTTTTTTCATCTTTCCGTTGATTAGCTTATCGAATAACACCTGATTAATCACCATTAAAACAACTTAATTCTAATGCATCCCACAGACAGCCATGTTAATCCTGATTGGTATGTCTAATATATGTTCGTTACACAGTTGCAAGTTTCTTAATAATCATCGGAAAATTGAATGGAAATTATGTGTATGTAGCTGAGATGATTTCCCAGCTGGTAGATAAGCATGGAAAGCAAAATTCGACCGAAACTAAATTTATTAAAATTATTCTTGCAAGAGTTAATTAACATGCAAGTCTATGGAAATTTCACTAATGATGACTCACTTATGGCCAACTACTGTATACAGGCATACAATATTCAGGTTGTATGCCTGCATACAATATTCAACTGCTTTTATCAAAGGCCAAGGCGCAGATGGCTTCAAACAATTTCTTCCAGCCAACACGTTATGTCCAGAGACTGTCCAAAACATAAACTCACTCACTAATTCCAACTCTAGTGGATAGAGCGTCTATCATGAAAGTAGATGGTCGATTGTTTGATGCATGAGTATTTCATAAAAAACTACGTCATCAATAGATGTTAGTTGTTGTCACCCTGCCTGGCAGTAAGGTATAAAACAAGCACTGTCTGGCCCGCAGTCAGTAAAACGACAAACCTGCTACACGGCAGGCCAGTACCATAATATTAGTACGTAAAACTGAAGTACCTGCAAAATGCCACATATACAATTGTAACAACACTTTGAATGCATTAAGACACTGACTGACTGAGTTTGGACGTACAATTCTCTTTAATACCCAACATTGCTCGTCACCTTGTTTTACTTGAAAACTGAATGGTTTTTGGCGTGAAAATGGATGATCTACAATGTTGATCAACTCTTTGAATAGCATTAAGAAGAGATATACCTACATTTATTATCCATATGGTGAAACATAACCAGTGTCATAAATATCATATGTGCACATGTGCACATATTACTTTTGCCTAGCAACCATTGTTTCTGTGTTTCGTCGTCTGTGACGTCATTAAACAATTGAACGTGACGTCAATGAACTGGGCAGTCAGATTTGCTTACCGTGTTTTACTGCACAAATGCACATGAATAAAATGCTCGGGCAATACAAAATTTCGCACTCGTTTCGTATAAGTCGTATGACACACTTGCTCGTGTAATAATCTCTATTTATAACCATCTGCTTCCTAGCGTTCATTCACCTGGTGAAGGAGTAAGCATATACTCTGTTCCTCATCTTTCAGTGGGCGGTGGGATAGCCAAGTGGTTAAAGCGTTGGCTCGTCACGCCGATGACCCGAGTTCGATTCCCCATATGGGTACAAAGTGTGAAGCCCATTTCTGGTGTCCCTCACCATGATATTGCTAGAATATTGCTTAAAGCGGCGTTAAACCACGCTCGCTCACTCATCTTCCAGAAGTTCACGTCCATAAATGTTCCCCTTTATGTGATGTTTATCATAATATTATATTTTTGATGAATCTGGATTATTCATCCCTGTCTTCATCCTTCAGGTCACTTCTCCTACATCAGCATGCTGCACGTTGAAAACAGCCACAACCACCCCGTTGTCAGGGTTTTCTGTGGCATCCTCTGGGACCAGACGTTGCAGCGGAGACACGCCACCTCTTCGACATTGTTGAAAAAGACTACCCTCAAGTACAGGACATTTCCTAGCGTTGAGCCCCCCGAGGATGAAATTGGCGACAACTCTGGTAGAAAACCTCGACGACAGATATCAGGTTACTTGTTGTATACAAATAGAGATAGTGAGTGAGTATGTTGGGCTGATTGAGTGAATTTAGTTTTACGCCGCACTCAGCAATAATCCAGGCTGGACCAGACAATATGCACAGTGATCAACAGCATGAGCATCGATTTACACAATTGGGATATGTTGGGTTGAGCACTGCTTTGGATAGTATTCCAGTTACTTCTCTAAAATGTATCAAATCACAGACAGGAGGAAAGTTTTATGCTTGATGCTGACAGATCTAGAAACATATACGAACTGTGATCAGAAGTCACGATCATAGGTTTCTGGCGCTCCCAAGGGAGGTAATTCTGTACTGCACACTGCGATAAGATAAATATCACATGTATAGCGTTACACACCATGTCACGTATTGTATACAAATAGATTTGTTGAATAGCGTACATACCAACATTGATCTGACTATATAGTTGGAGTGTTCTCATGCTGCGCATTAGGTAGTTATTATTATTTTTTTTAATGTCAAAGATCAAACAAGGATAAGGTGAATGAGTGAGTTTAGTTTTACGCCGCATATAGCAATATTCCAGCAATATCACGGCGGGGAACACCAGAAATGGGCTGCACACATAGTACCCATGTGAGGAATCGAACCCGGGTCTTCGGCATGACGAGCGAACGCTTTAACCACTAGGCTACCCCACCGCCCCAACAAGGATAAGGGCATATTTTAACCCACAGAATAATTCTGTATACATATTTTAAGAAAGGGGGGAATCCTCTACACATTTTGATAGATATTATTCCATGTATTTACATTATATTAATGAGTGAGTGAGTAGGGTTTTATGCCGCTTCAGCAATATCCAGCAATAACACTGGGGACACAACAAAAGGGCTTCAAACACTGTACCCATGTGGGGAATTGAACCCTGGTCTGACGAGCTAGCGCTTTAACCATTAGGCTACCCACCGCCTCTCAACAACAGTGAAGTTAAATCAACCAGAAAACGTATACTTGCGTGACGTTATGACGACGTTATACTATAAGATAATTTTTATTTCCAGCTTTGGAAAATACGCGAAACGTGCGGAAATGGAAACTGGCCTTCACATTACTCAGGAACCCGGATTTAAGGAAACAGAGGAAGACTTTTTATCCAATGGTGGACACAAAGCCCAAGAAGCTGCGGCAGTAGAAATGATTGACGCACACGAGTTCTCATCAGTGTGAATAAATGAACCACATGTGATAATTCAAGTCGTCACAGTGATATTATTATTCAATGATAATGTGACTATATGTGGAAACAGTTACGACCTTGTTAAGCAGAAAATGGGTACCCGGTGGGATAAGTCATGTGACTATAACCTCCAAACGCCTAACAGGCAGCTTGGGTTATCCGAGGTCCTGTTATGTCCTGTTCTATTCATTGTTAGCGCTTTGAGCATATCTAGTGTGGAGTTTTGCGCTATATAAATAGACACATTATTATTATTATCATTAATCCGAACAACGTCGTTACCTGTGAAATCTACTGGATTAACAAATGGATAGTTGATACGTTATGTATGTTTTGTGACACGTTGTGTAAAAAGGAGACGCCCCGAAAAGTAATCATCCGGAAAAATGAGTGTTCGGTTTAACAGGGTTGACTGTATACGTGTGGTTATTAGATCTCATAACACTCAGAGGCCCTTTAACCATGAACAAGTCTATATATAATTATGGGAGGGATAAATTAAGATCATCATAGCGCTATAGGGCCCTGAACGTTTTACTCCGAAACGATACTTCACGTGAAGCCACCGCCATGAAAGTGACGTGAACCCTAAGTGACATTTGACTCTCATGTTAAATGAGGCCGCCTCCGTGGTGTAGTGGTTAGAGAGTCCGCCCGGAGAGCGGACGGTCGCGGGTTCAATCCCCGACCGCGTCATACCAAAAGACGTTAAAATATGGTACTTGTTGGTCCCTGCCTGGCGCTCGGCATTAATGGGTACATCAAGGACTGGTCGGCTCGGAGTCAGTATAATGTGTCTGAGTTGGGTATTCATGCTTCACTGCGGTATGGTACCTCAGTGGGCTATCACTATAAAACCAGCTTCAGTCTGGGCTAGTACAAGCAGCCGCACATACACATACACAGGCATGCACGTTGTCATATGAGCGAAATATTCTCAAGCACGACGTTAAACCCAATTTCACCTCACCTCACCTCATGTTAAATGATTACTGCGTATGTCTCGAGTAAATTAAGTGTCGTGTTTCTAGATTTGGAAATTTCGATTTGAACAAGGAACATCCATGCAGGACGTAAATACACATTTGATTGTACTCACTTATGGATGCGCATGACACGGAACCGAAAGGGTGTGTATAATATCTACAACAATATAATGGATCAACCGTTGTCGTGTATATAAATGAAACATACTAGTTTTAGTTCGTTTTCGAGATGCAGAAATCAGATATTCTGCTCAGGGGCGGTGGGGTAGCCTAGTGGTTAAAGCGTTGGCTCGTCACGCCGAAGACCCGGGTTCGATTCCCCACATGGGCACAATGTGTTAAGCCCATTTCTGGTGTCCCCCGCCGTGATATTGCTGGAATATTGCTAAAAGCGGCGTAAAACTAATACTCAGTCAGTCAGTCAGTCAGATATTCTGATCTAAATAGTTTGCCAACTTGAACCGATAGATTCGACGCCTCGTCGCAGATTCACGGATCAGAAAGTTCACCTTAGAGCTATCTAAGATCTTCGCACAGAGTGGTGTGGTATCGGAGTAACAAATCTTATCTGAGTAACAGTGGTGGCTGTTGATCAGATTTTACTTACTTGGTACATAGTACACATGTCGAGACAGGTCGATTTATTTTTGTCGTGTTTTTATTACCCCAAGGGCCTTTATGTTGTCTGACTTACCAATGTCAAACAAAAGTAAATCCATTTTGATTTTCAATCTATGTGAATATTTAATACTTTTCAATAAACATAATGTATAAGCTATAATAAACATAATATACTTTTCAATAAGTGTTGAAATGAGTAACAGCATGAATATGCATTGATGGAGTCGTAAACATTTCTTCGTGTACATTTTTGCATTAATCTCGCCAATATCCAATTTTGTTACTATTTTTTGCCCAAACAACGGCAGGTGTGCATTCAAAGTGTGATAAAAAAACTGAATGGCAGGGCATTTAATATTTGACATCCAAGACTCCGACATACCTGCTGTATGTAACCTGAACTCTGATGTTTTTAGGAAGCAGTTTGAAGTCGGAATCATTTCTTAATACAAACACTTTGTCAATAATCTCAAACATATTTGCAAGTATTCATTACAGTTAACCTCGCTTATACTGACATTTGCACTTTCTAAAATATTTTAGAATTAGAATTTCCGGATACCCGAACCACTTCACTACGACTATTCTATGGAGGTCCAAAACACAAGTCTCTATTGTCTAATACAATACAGTATTCGTGTATTATTCTGTCAAAAAACTGTTTCGTATCTCTTCAGCAAGTTCATATGAAGGAACGAGGTATAACAAACATGTTCAATATAAATGTGAAATCTGATACAAAACTATCAAAAATAGCTATAAGCAATCCCCCAATCTACTAGCGATGTATTTTACAAAAACAAAACCGTAACACAGGACGTTTGATACAACGATGAGAATATAATATATCAGTACCTTTGATATCAGGGTTAATATATTCTAATATAGTGTCATTTTGTTGCAGTGTTTAATATTATCTAAAATAATAATAAATATGAGCGTACTACATTTCTACAACTGTTTGCTGTTGGTGGTTATATATACAGTATATGTCGTATATCATAGTTTGATCAGTCATCGTTCAGATTTCCCAGAGATTTCTATCTCAAATTGGTTGAATATTATTATCATGCTTCAGCAATTTGCACCGAGTCAACGTATGACATTTATGTTAATTTTATCTATTATCAACTAACGTTCGCTTCAAGGTTAGGGGTAATATACTACTGGTTGGTGTAAACAACAATAATTTGTTCGAACACTCGTGATTTCGCTGAACTTAATGTTAACAATATTGGATGAAATTCTGAATAGTATTAATAATGTATTAATATTAATAGTGTAATATATACACAAATAGATGCAGGTTTGCAATAATATTTATTTGTAGCCTGTACCGGTGATGACAAAAGTAAATTAACACATAGCACGTGACACCCTCCCCTCTTTGATGTTTCATGCGTGATGATGAATTACGAAACCATCATCACCAAGGGTACCGGTTGTGACAATAGCATGAAAGGTGAAAGGGCATGTAATATATGACATACAAAATTCCGACACATCTGTAGTATTTTCTTCCGACTTTGGATGTTTTTAGTATTCCCCTATCTGATGTCTCGACATTCTCCATGAAAATGTGAGTGTACAAAATACTTTTTCAGCAAAGTGAGTGAGTGAGTGAGTTTTAGTTTTACACCGCCTTTAGCAATATTCCAGCAATATCAAGGCGGGGGGACAACAGAAATGGGCTTCACAGATATGTCCATGTGGGGAATCGAACCCGGATCTTCGGCGTAACGAGCGGGTGTAAATACAGCTATGACGCATTAGCTAAATGTGGGAGATGGGATTAATATAATGGAGGTTTATTTTCTGGCGCTGAAACCCACAGGTACGATGTGGTGAGGGCAAGCAATTGCCACACTTAATCACGTACATCTGGGACCGCCTCCGTGGTGTAGTGGTTAGAGCGTCCGCCCGGAGAGCGGAAGGTCGCGGGTTCGATCCCCGACCGCGTCATACCAAAAGACGTTAAAATATGGTACTTGTTGGTCCCTGCCTGGCGCTCGGCGTTAATGGGTACAACAAGGACTGGTCGGCTCGGAGTCAGTATAATGTGTCTGAGTGGGGTATTCATGCTTCACTGCGGCATGGTATCTCAGTGGGCTAGCACTATAAAACCAGCTTCAGTCTGGGCTAGTACAAGCACCTACACATACACATGCACGCACGTCGTCATATGAGCGAAATATTCTCAAGCACGACGTTAAACCCAATTTCACCTCACCTGTTCAAACCTTCCAATATGTATATCAAGATTATAATGAAATAAGCGCTAGAAATATAATACTTCATCTGGAATTCGAGCCCACGATATTGGTTTCTAGAATGCCCAAGAGAGGGGCCTTCCACATCGACATTCGGCGTTATGACTTGGTTGGTTGTTGTTTAACGCCGCACTCCAGTATACAAGCTATATGACGAGTCTGGATCTGACAATCCAGTGATCAGCAGCATGAGCATCGATCTACGCATTTGGGATACGATGACAAGTGTCAACCAAGTCAGCGAGTTTGACCACCTCTTAGCGGTTTGAGTCGCCTCTTATGACAAGCATAGGTTGTTGAAGGCCAATTCTAACCCGGACCTTCACGGGTCGAATCACCATATAGTTGGAATATTGCTGAGTGCGGCGTAAAACTAAATTCAATCACTCACTCACTCACCCACTCACCCATCTACCCACCTTACTATACGCAATTGACTCACCCTACTATATGCAATTGACTCACCCTACTATATGCAATTGACTCACCCTACTATACGCAATTGACTCACCCACTACTATATGCAATTGACTCACCCTACTATATGCAATTGACTCACCCTACTATATGCAATTGACTCATGCATGTTTATGCGTATCTATCAACCTGTTTACGGAGAGTGTCATATTACAGAGAGGCTGGTTAATAGGAGAGATATCTCTTACATTTCACACCCATTGTACATTCAGCAATTAACATTCCTTGCAGTCACGTTACGAGCAGTGTAACTACCCGGCAGCAAACTGATAAGCAAAGTAACAGCGGGTCTTATCGCCCAGCACTGTAAGTAGGTCAGACGGGGCGACCACAGTCGCCATATGTTCTCCTACGTTTAACGAATCCGGATGTAGAGCTAGTCCATAATAGTTGTCTGTGTTAGTGTCGTGCAACAGCGATGTGGTTCGTGTCGGTTGTTGGGTATATGTATACTTCTTAAAGTAAGCTGTTTATTGTCCGGTGTACACTTCTGGACTAAAAACAACTTAGCTGTAAGGTAAGAAATAAGTAGTAGGTAGTACCACAATAGAGGTCTCTGGTAGTAAGAATACGTTTTAGTCTCATCGTTAACTTCCGTCTTCGTGTCTGAAAATATTTCTTCGGCATTGTGTATTGGTATACGCGTGTCCATTATGCTTTAAAATATGTATTGTGTACATTCCATGTTTCCTGGGAAACAGTCAAACTTTAGATTATGTCTGTGAAAACAGCCTCGGTTGATCCAAGGGAAGTAACTCTAACATGTTGGCTTTAAGTAAGCTAAAGGGAGAGGTGAAGTAGCTGAGCTAGACTAAGGCTTAGTCTCTGAATATATATAATTTTGATAGTAACAAACAAGCCCATTTAAATTGAAAAGGAGTCCTAGGGAGACCAGAGATCCTGAACCTGGGGAAATCTAGATTTGCTTCGTTTAGGGCTTTAGCACTACAGGGAAGGCTAGGCTGTAGGGAAAATAATGTGGTTCAGGGACTGTGAGACAGACTATAGCTGAGCTGTTGAAGCGTTTAGTCATCTAGACTTTGAATGACATTTAGAAGTGATACACATGAGGGGGAGAGTTTTATGAATGTGAACTTGTTTATTATGAGGGACACAACGTCTCGGGGTATATTCTTATTGCGTCATCAGGTGAATGAATGGTATGAGGCAGAGATTGAGTGAGTTCAAACTTTACGTCACAAGGGCAATATTCCAGCAATAACGTGACGAGAAAATTGATATAAATACTGGATAAGATATGATTTAGAAGTCTGTCATCGATGGGCAGTAAAATAACAAGACTAGCACAGACTTAAAACTAGCATATTACCACAAAACAATAATTATACACGCAATAATATAAGTAGTCTGTCATAAAGACACTGAAACAAATGTATCAAAGAAATGCCATGAAAGTCTAGAATATGTGGTAAATCTAGATTTTCACAGTCTGAAAATGAAGAACGCCTAAGGGCTCTTTTTCATTATACTTTATTTGTTTTTATTGTGAACTGGGTTTTTTTGGAAAATATACTAACCATCAAAAGTTTAGACTCACTAGTGTAAATGTAGCCACTTACTTCAGTCAACTGTTCTAAACTTGATTTTGCGAAATATTCCATTCAGTTTGAAGGTATTGTTTACACATGAACTAATGTATTGTAAAACAAATTCGTACCATTGAAAGCTTTTTGTCAAGACTTCATTGTGATGAATTCTTAACAAAACTTTACACCAAAACGCAGCTGTTGACATGCACGATATTTGCACATGCTTTTTAGGAATTTGATGCATAATACTCGTGCAATTTATCTGTGTAACCACACACACACACACGGACACACACACGGACACACACACACACACATTACACATAGTAAGTGCTTTAGGTGAGTCTACACTTTTGATGGGTAGTATATGTTCATTTCAGAGACTAGTTGTTAGTCTACAATATAAGGGTCCGTTCATGATTTATGGCTAGGGGTGATGATGATTTTAAAGGGGGCACCCGTTTTGTTCTGGGGAGTGGGAAGGGCATCAGTTTAGTACACATGCACTAGGGGGTCACTTACTTCGTACATACATTTAAGGGGTTCATTTTATGGGCTTAAGATCGCCAACAACTGAAGGTAGATCACCATTCTAGATACCATGGGGACTTACGGTGCCCTGTATACATACACGGGCTCAAGCTGCATGTACGCCATCCCTTCAGATGCTAACGATTAAGACAAAATTAGCCAAGCATTCAAAGAACATATATTCTACGAATAAAAACGTGATTAAATATGCTTTGAATGTTTTGGGACTTACGTGTCGTCTCAGGAGGACAATAATTTTACAGAACTTTAACCCCCTTTAAGGAAACGGCCACTAACAATCAAAGTCATTAATTTAATCTACCAATTATAAAACTCCATTGATCTAAATACAAAACAGATTATTCACAATTTTTCTAACAACTCTATATCTTCTGAAAAGCTAATTATTAAATAATAAATAATATTATAGAAGATCCTTCCGTGTATTTTTTACACTGAAATTTGTATCCCTTGTGATGAAAAAATCAGAGAGCGTATATATGTATATGTAAGAACAACACAAGTAATAAGACAACAAAGATGCAGGTTAAACAATGGAAGCAGTTAACAGGCGTTCCTGTTTGAATGGCAAAGGACAAATGAAAGCCAGCACTTAACAGTTAATCTAATTATGATCCTTATTCGGTTCCCCATGTTGCGTGACCCTTGAAAATCCGGGTTAGAGCTGGTCTTCAGTAACCCATCCTTTTGTAAGAGGCGACTAAAGGGATAAGGTGGTGTGGCTCGCTGACTTGGTTGACACGTCATCATATCCCAATTGACTAGATCGATGTCCATTCTGTTGATGACTGGATTATCTAGTCCAGAGTAGATCATTTACAGACCACCGTTATATAGCTGGAATATTGCGGAGTGTGGGGTAAAACTAGACTCACTCACTCACTCTACACGTGCGTGCAATGTATAACGCCGCTTCTTTGTTTCACCCGCCTGATATGGCTGGTTTGTGGTTTGGGTAGTCTTTCACTTTACTATCATGATGTGAAGGACACCACACGGTCTACAGGTACAATTCTGTGACAACAATCAATATATTTTTATCTGAACAGAAAACTATATTCACTCCAGAAAAATGAAAATAACAAATTAGGCGACTTTGACAAAATGTGAAAAGTCCTCATTGCTATGCACTGTAAGGGACCGTTAATAATTTATGGCTAGGGGTTGGGAGTGTGATGATGATTTGAAAGAGGAACAGCCATTTTGTTCTGGGGAGATGGGGAGGGGGATCATCAATTTTGGAGACTAGGGTAGGGTCACTGATTCTGTACATGACATGCAGAGGGACACTTACTTTGTACAAACATTTTCTGCGGGGTGGGGAGTCATTCATATCGTACATTCTTCTCTATAGCAATCATCATCATCAGCAGCCTTTGTTGTCGGGATCTATGCCCATGATCTATATCCATCACTGGATTGTCCGGTCCAGACGAGATCATTTACCGACCGCGGTCATGTAGCTGCAATTGTGTCAACTGTGACGTTAAACAAAAAACAGAATTTTCACCATTTTTTTTATATATTTTCAGCTACCATGACAGAGATGTCGCCAATGGTAATACTCAGTAACCAGACCCTCCCTGCCTGTGCGGACATCATTGATGTTTTGGCGTTCAGTCATTACGTCACCCTCCCTGCGGTAAGTCGAGCCACCTCCTGGGCATGTCCGTGTGCTGAGTGCTTTACTTTTTTACTTATACCAGTAATTCATTACATGCTGTTAGTACATATTCAACGATTATGTTGTATTTGTGGCAATAATGATATTAAAGATTTAACGTCATTCAAGGAATTATGTGGTTTGGAATGAATTAACGATGTCAGTTTACATTAAAAACTGAATACTTACAACATATGTTATATTTGGGATTACATTTTCTTAGTAAAGTACAGAATCTAGTTCATTTTCGGGTTGAGTCCCATCCGGGATTCGAACCCATTTACGCACCTAATCGCCAGCACACAAAGTCATGATCAGACGCCTAGACCGCTCAGCCACCGCGGCTTCCACAAAAATGGAAGTCGGACAACTGGTAGTCTAGACTGCAGACTTTGTGTACCCCTCTTATAAGTGTGAATTGGTACGTGTTCCCACGGCCGAAAGCTATGATTACACAATACCATTTACTAAGAAAGTGTAATCCAAAATATAACATATGTTACATTTGACCCCTTTCTAAATGGCATTGTGTAATCATGAATACTTACAATTTATATTGCTATCGTTAATAAAGTTATTGACATCATTTGGCGCTCTCCCGAAAACGGAATAGAACATTTTATACTGATATTATATTAGTTAATGAATTACTGATATTAATGAATATAATTATCAATAAATTTATCAATTTTCCAGGAACATGTTTCACGATCTTTGTCAAGTGCAATCACGGAATTTGTTCAGTATCACAGTTTTTTGAAAAGCCTGTTTGAGTTAATTCTTCTGGCAATGACTGATTTGATTCGTTCGGTGGCGACCGACATTGAGCAGATTTCATGGACCCACCTCGTCTTCCTGCTCATCACACAAATGCAATTTTAAATGGGTATTGGTCTATGTTCAAAGTATTTAGCTCTGTATGTCGCAACCAAATTTCAAATGACACCTTGTTAAATCAATTAGAGTATACATAGGTTCATGTCATCTCTCGTTTTAGGGGACCGCCTCCGTGGTGTAGTAGTTAGAGCGTCCGCCCGGAGAGCGGAAGGTCGCGGGTTCGATCCCCGTCCGCGTCATACCAAAAGACGTTAAAATATGGTACTTGTTGGTCCCTGCCTGGCGCTCGGCATTATTGGTTACAACAAGGACTGGTCGGCTCGGAGTCAGTATAATGTGTCTGAGTGGGGTATTCATGCTTCACTGCGGCATGGTATCTCAGTGGGCTAGCACTATAAAACCTGCTTAAGTCTGGGCTAGTACAAGCAGCCGCACTTACACATACACACGCAAGCACGTCCTCATATGAGCGAAATATTCTCAAGCACGACGTTAAACCCAATTTCACCTCACCTCACTTCTCGTTTTAGGGGACCATATTTTTTTTGTATAGCAGTCAGTGTAAACATGTCGTTACACGTACAAATGATCTTCATAGAGGAACTAAATAGGGATATTAAAATATTAGAATTGGCATTCAATTCAGTTCATTGGGGTATGAACCTTGATGGGTCGAGGCCAAACTGTATGATCGTCAAAGACGATCCAGACTACCAGTTGTCCGACTTCCATTATTGCGGAAGCCGCGGTAGCTGAGTGGGTTAGGCGGCTGTCATTGCGTGCTGGCGATTAGGTGCCTGACTCTGAGGGTGTGGGTTCGAATTCCTTATGGGACGCAACCCAACAAAAGTACTAGAAAGTACTTTACCGACAGAGTGTAATCCCAAATATAACATGTGCTAGATTGGGAAAACGTTCATACCTTATCCCTGACTCTCTGAGGGTTCACGCTGCAATAAAGTCAACTGTCAATCGTAATTCACGGAAGGTATGTTTCTTTCCAGGCTGTCATAATTCTCATTCTAGCGCTGCTAGAGAAGCGACGATTCCGCCCTGAAGTATGTGGAGGCCGACCTGCATTGATTGTGTGAGTATCAACGACTGTCCAGCTCTGTGTACATTTCTTCTAGTCCTGTATTTATTTCGGCATAAAAACCAAACTAAAGGGTCGTGTAAAAAATGGGGTATCGGATGGGGTTGGTTTGGTTTTTGTTTAACGCGGCACTCAGCAATATTCAAGCTATATGGTGGCGGTCTGTACGTAAATTATATGTACCAGACAATCCAGTGATCAATATCATGAGCACTGATCGACACAACTGGGATGCGATTACATGTGTCAACCAAATCTACCCGATCCACCCGAGCCTGACCACCCGATCCCGTTAGTCGCCTCTTACGACAAGCATGGGTTTCCGAAGACCAATTCTAACCCGGATCTTCACGGGTCGGCATCAGATGGGTTACGTCAAGGTGTTTCATGAAGTGCCAGTCTTTTAGTCTGATTCCATTGGAAATATATTCATATTTTGTTTTCCAGTCCTCTGCCTCTACTTGACGGCTACGACAACCGTTTCTCCTACGCCGCAGCCTTCGGGGCCGTCACCAACATCATCACATCATTGTTCGTGAACTTGGATACACCCAATCCCTTCAACAACGTTCCTTTGTGGGCTGCAGGTGGGTGTCCACTACAACTGATGATCCTCGGACAGATCTGTCATACTGACAAGCTCTAGGGGTTATCAGATCGTAACAGTCAAAATCATAACTTGTCAAATTAACATGGTTTGTTCAAGGCAAGACGAAGCACTGTCATATGTAGGACTGGCTGAAAAGATCGATAATCGGAAATATCGTTGATGGGATTCATTATTAATTATTATCGGTATCAAAATTGTGTAATCGATAATATCGTAAATGAACTATTATGTCTGTGTTCATGAGTTGTTTCTAAAGCATGTTCTTTGCTATCATGGCACTGTTGATATGTTTCAGCCCTGGTCCTGCAGCTTCGAGTTCTTGAGATCTGCATCACATGTTTTCCTCTGTTTGCCTGTATTTCCACACCACACAGGCTGGCTGGATCAGTACTTGGTGTCATTTACAGTTCGGTGTTGTAAGTTGTATTTGTTGTCAACATCCGTTGGTGTGATGATCTATTTCCAGACCAGTGTATAAAGACCAGTGCGTGCGTGTGTGCGTGCGTGTGTGTGTACGTGTGTATGTGTGGTCTTAGGAAACCATGCTTGTCTTAAGAGACGACCAGGGGGATGAGGTGGTCAGACTCGCTGACTTGATTATTGATTACCACATGTCCTGGTATCAGAATGGCTCATGATGACTGTCTGGTCTGCACTCGGTTATTTATCCATATAGCCGGCCATGAAAATATTGCCGAATGCGGTGTTAAATAAGAAAAGTACAGATACAATTTGTATTGCAGCTTAGGCGGTACGTTAGCTGAGGCCGTACAGACCTACTGCATGATTGACCCAACACTAACGGTAAGTGTCTTAATGCCTAGCACACACAAACACGACATAAGTCAGGTAAGTTACATAGCCATACCCCTAGGTTAACCAAGTGAAATGTGCCACTAAACATTCGAGGTTAAGTATATATGCCACGAAAGCTGTTATGTTGAAAGGAGATGTTCAGAGATAGTTAACCATCGCACAATACCCAAAAGTTAAAATTCGTTTTGAATACCGTTACAACAACATGGCTAAATGAATCTGTCAAAATAACTGATTTAAGCCACAGGTCCTCGTGTCTTTGCGAGGATTAAAGATGTTAAAAAGATATAAATCATTTGAGATGACCCCCGACTCGAAATACTTCACAGTATAATAATTATGACATAATGTATTGTACTGTGTAGCATTTCGAGTCGGGTGTCATCTAAAAAAAAGAATTGTTTAACCTGTAATCTTCGCAAAGACAAGAGGGCCTGTGTTATAAGCCTCCTTTTTGGCTTAAGTCAGCGCTTTGAATCTATGCTCGATAGCTATGTTTATAATCTGCCTCTCGCCACAGCCCGTAGACTATTTAAGAATAGTTAGCATCGTTTATAGGTAGTTCAAGCGGCATCGGTGCTCACCTACTTCCCGGTTGTCCTGTGCTTCTTGTATCTGATCTCGAAGTTCCTTCTTGTCATCATGGAGTGCTTGAGGTCAAAGACATACGTCATAACAGTGAGTAGTATTAGAGTTTTCATTCCTTCATCGATTGGCAGTACATGACTTGCATATTTTAAAAACCAAATGGATAATCTATTATATTATACATTTGTAAAGCGATTATTATCAACCTCAAAGATGCCCAGTAGCGCAGATGTATTTCCCGGTTAACCCAAGCTGGTTGTGGGGCGCTAGAAGGTTAATAACCATATAACCATCTTATCCCTCCGGGTACCCATTCACTGCTGGGTGAACACAGGCATATGATGAACGAACTCACCTACCTAAGGTGAGACCACAAGTGTCACATATGCTTCGTTGTGGAGCAGGACTGAAGTCAAACTACCAAACACCAATCCAAGGACTCTCCTTAACCAACGTTGCTTAACTTCAACTGATTTGTGAACTGTCTAATTACAGGACCAGACACCACCACAATATTTCGATATCAAGCACTTTGGTGATATATGACCATTGGTTATGCCACTAAGGCAAATTAAATGACTATTATATATTTGTTTAACTCCAAAGGAGCCGCTAAAACGGGTGTACGCCCACCAACAGCAGTATGTGCGTCAAGTTCTACACAGAGACTATGAGCCAAGGTAATATCGTGGTGTTATTAGGAATACATGGGGCATGCAGGCTATTATATAGTCCTGTATTTGGAGAATCCTTCATTATGTGCGCGCCAACTGGCGATAGCGAGACGGGGCCCAGCTTACTAATGGTACCAGGTTTCCGGTGACAAGCGTATATTCAAGAACCAGTTCTGGTTCCAAATTAGGACTTTACCAGGGCCAAAAAAAATAAATGTTATGGTTCCGATTTCCTACATTTCAGAACTAGGGTAGGTAGGTAGGGTTTGTTTGTTTTTTTGCAAAATATTTTTACATTACTCATCATGTGTCAGAAAATAGATTTAATTTATTATGAGGTGAGTAAAATTGTTAGGCTCGGCGGGAATATTTAGGATCGGTCGGGATTTCAGAACCACAAGCTTTTTTTTTTGGCCAGACCAAGGGTACAAGCATGCTTGGCTGTCATAGCTGTTGACAGTCGTAATAGCTGGCTAATTTGGGGATGGTTGGATCGGACATTTGTTATTCTTGCAATAATTATCGGTTCCTTACTGACAACTAATAACCATGGGACCAGTTGAAAGGCTATGAAACGATGTTTGTCACCGGAAGTACTAACGTCTCGCGAAGTGCCGTGACATACTCACGGGCCCTATTGCGGCAATGTTATGTAATCATATGCACAGAGGTTTACAGACTATTAGTATATGGAAATTAAACCTAGGGCATTCTAGTGGCATGTGTAGTGTTATGATCATATATTGCACAGAGCAGCGACTATAGCAGTATAGCGATTCTATATGTAGGACAGTATGATCATATGGAAATTAAACTATAGCAGTATAGTGGAAATTAAACCTTGGGCATTCTTGTGGCATGTAGGACTTATGATCATAGTGTGCACATGATCATATATAGTGCACATGTAGACTGTACTTGCAGCGACTATAGCAGTATAGTGGAAATTAAACCTTGGGCATTCTAGTGGCATGTAGGACTGTAGTGTTATGATCATATATTGCACAGAGATTTACAGCGACTATAGCAGTATAGTGGAAATTAAACCTTGGGCATTCTAGTGGCATGTAGGACTGTAGTGTTATGATCATATATTGCACAGAGATTTACAGCGACTATAGCAGTATAGTGGAAATTAAACCTTGGGCATTCTAGTGGCATGTAGGACTGTAGATGTTATGATCATATATTGCACAGAGATTTACAGCGACTATAGCAGTATAGTGGACTGTAGTGTTATGATCATTACAACCTTGGGCATTCTAGTGGCATGTGGCATGTATTGCAGGACTGTATGTAGGACTGTAGTGTTATGATCATATATTGCACAGAGATTTACTTGCAGCGACTATAGCAGTATAGTGGAAATTAAACCTTGGGCATTCTAGTGGCATGTAGGACTGTAGTGTTATGATCATATATTGCACAGAGATTTACAGCGACTATAGCGGTATAGTGGAAATTAAACCTTGGGCATTCTAGTGGCATGTAGGACTAGAACTAAAGTATCTTTATGGTGACATAGACCTGTAGCATTGTAGTATGAAACATTGTTGTAGGACCGTGACATTAAACTATATTAACATATAGGACTGTAGCACTATGGAACCACATACATGAAACACTGTAGCATTTTAGTGACACGTACGATTTTAGCCGTAGAATGGCTTAAGGGGCTGTAGCAATGTAGTGGCATGTAAGCCATTAATGTAAGACCTTATTATTATAGACCTGTGGTGATGTAGCAATATATTCGATCTATTTGGCATGTAGGACTGTGGCATGAAAGGAACGCTTGGGACTTTAGCATTATATAGTGGTATGTCGGACAGTAGCATTGGACAGACATGCAGGGCTGTAGCATTATCGTTTCATATTTGACTGTAGTGGCATGGAAGACTGTAGTATTATGGTGGCATGTGGGAATGTCCTTAGACTAACAACTAGTCTCGGAAATGAAACATATTTTACAGACAAAAAACTCATAGTAAAAGAAATATAATATAATGAAAAGGAGCCCTGAGACTTTCTTCATTTTCCTGGAAATCTACACTTGCCACATTTTCTAGACTTGCGTGGGCTTTCTTGGATTTATTTGCTTCAGGGTCTGACAAACTAGATTGTCCCACGGTGGTGACATATAGGACTGTATGACTGTAGCAATAATAGTAAGATGATAGTGACCCATGATCGTGACTGGCAGATAGTGACTGTAGCATTATAGTGAGATGTAGCACAGTAACATGATAGTGACATGTATGATTGTAGTGACATTGAGAGTGTAGGATTTTCGGGAGATGTAGCACATACAGATGTACGACTGTAGAATTATAGCATGTATAACTTACCTTACCAGCATATATAATGTGTAGCTAGCATAGTAACATCGAATTGTAGCACTTGAATTAACTTTATGACAGTACGGTTGCAACACTGTAAAAAGGCAACATAACATTACATTAACTTCCAAGCAGAGCAAATCGAACGGTATCATCGATATCAGTATACCTGTGGGATGTATTACACTCTTCAAAAACAGAAACGCATAGGCTAAACATAAGGAAATGTAATAAACGCATTTCAGTGTAGATAAGTCGATTAAGCTTAAACATGGATGCAGGAAATTCGACACACGGATGAACATATGTCTTGTTGTCATTGCCAGCATTAATTCAATTCACTCCCTGCACATGTGTGGACGCAAGGGGACGTTCTGGTCAGTACCTGGTGACATCGCCACTTGCAGTCGTCACTGCGCGACACCGCCTTATAAGGGATTGCAAAGGTCGTCGGATGTTTGCTTGGGGAATTCTTCGCCATTCCTCCTGCAACGCGTTGGCAAGTTCTGCAAGTGTCTGAGGACGATGGTGACGTTTACGGATGCGTCGATCAAGTTCGTCCCATAGATGCTCGATCGGGGTTCAGATCAGGTGATCTGGAAGGCTAAGGAAGAACATTGACGTTTGCATTGGCGAAACAGGTACCTGTTACACGAGCTGTGTGGGATCGAGCATTGTCGTGTTTATACAGCTCCCTCTGGTGGTTAAAAACGGTGGGAGGAGGTGAGGTCGCAGGATTTGGTCGAAGTAGCGATTTGCTGTTAGATTGCCTTGACCCACCACTAGCTCTGATCTACCCGTGTATGACATGTCCCTCCACACCATGACGCTACCTAAACCCAAATCTGTCCACCTGTCGAACGGCTCAAAAAGTTCGTGTAGACGTCGATAGACACGTTGTCTCCCATTCCGCCGTTGCAGGGGGAAATGCGCTTCATCGCTGAACCAAACGCGTCGCCAGTTCCCCAGGTTCCATGCCTGTTCCCCGTTGCACCATTGGACCCTTCTTTGTCGGTTTAGTCGTGTCAGGACAGGTCCAACTCTTGGTCGATATGCTCGAATTCCTACTTCTCTCAGACGATTTCTGATGATTTGGTCGGAATTTCTTCGAAGATCAGGCACCTGTCCTGCAGTGTACGTTGCTGAAGCAAGTCGTTGATGTAGGTGAAACACCCGGATGAATCGGTCCGGAGCAGGAGTGGTCACACTTGCTCTTCCGCTTCGGGGACGATCTTGGGTCGAATTCAAGCGGGTATATCGATGCCAAAATCGAGATATGGTGCTTTGGTGGACGTTGAAGTGTAGACAGGGACTCCCCTGCTACCAAGCGTCCAATGCCGATATTTCGGTCAGTAGCAGTCAATCTTGGCATTTGTCATCTTCGTTTACGTCGTAGATTCTAAATGAAATGATGAATTTGGTTTGGCCTTTTATAAAAGTCGATGTCTCTACTCATGTTTCCGACACATTGCACGTGCATTACGTGGAAAACTATTTCTGCATGCACTTTTCATGTACCGTTTTCATTTTTCATGACAAACGTAAACAAACACATTTTGAAATGCGTTTGAGAGCAATACACTACAACCACGGCATGATTAACAGGACTCTAACATAGGAACTGCTGTCAAAGTATATCAAAACCAACTGCTGAGAACGCCTATGCTTTTCTATTTTTTTAAAGAGTGTAGTATATATATATGTATAATCAGTAGCAGGTTTGTATATTGAAAGTGTAATCAACTTATGATAGATTTATGCATAACCATGATATTGCAATTTGTATAACCTTGTATTTCAGCACAGAGACAACAACGTATGAAAAGCTAATCTACAGATCCGTCCCTGGGTTCAAATACCCAGTTCGAATCATTTCTGTGGTTTTTGTACTGCTAGTTCTTCTATACAAAGTAAGTAAGTTAATGTTTTCCTTTTTGCATAAGGGGGCAGTCGGGTAGCCTAGTGGTTAAAGGGTTCGCCTGCCACGCCGAAGACCCGGGTTCTATTCCCCACATGGGTGCAATATGTGAAGCCCATTTCTTGTGTACTCCGCCGTGATCTTGCTGGGATATGTCTAAAAGCAGCGTAAAACTAAACTCACTCACACGTTTTGCATAATGCCACGTCCGTCAGTTTAATGCCTCAGTAGAACGGTGGACTTTGGAACCACGCAATACTACAATGAGTCACAGACAGGTTTTGTTTAAAGCACATTACCCAACAACTCGTAATATACGGGTGGATGTTTCAGCCGTCTCATTTATCATCACCCGACAGAATATATGTGGTCCCATTTCATCACAATCGCTTTTGGAAGTACTCCGTAAATTATACCCAGGTTGAGAATTGAACCCGGCCCTTTGAGATGTTGAGCAAACGCTTTAAAGAACAAGCTTAATAATACAATACGTATAAAAGTACAAAAAAATAATATAATACAATGCCATAAATCCCAATGTTAATGCTGCTGATGACAGCTTCTCAATCTTCGACTCTCAGATAGGAGTCGCTTCGCGCAGTGCAGCGAAAGCAGCGCCGAACTCAAATCAAACCAACCAAACTTATTGTCCATAAGAATCTTATTTGATTCCGCGAAGAACAAACCTGATCCTTCTTTTAATGGCCTAAAATCTGGAGATTTGGTTCCCTTTAAACTCACCATTATCACACTTTTCCTTGATAAATGTGATGGAAAAAGTCACGTTGTCCACTTACATTGAATAGACTATAACCAAATTTCCTTCTTTCGTGGCTGCTTGTCTAGATATTATATCAAATGAGATTGTTTGTTTTGATTTCAGATTGGAATAGCTCTGATCCTTGTAGGAGTTCAAATTACCGAAGGACTTGAATCATTTTCTGGCCAATTGAATGTTTCATATATCTTTCGTGACACCAGGTTTTATTTCGCGACGCCAGTGTTGTTTGATCTACTTACAGGTATGACACTTTCTTTATATTGTGAACTATCCAGTTTTGATGTATTGCATTAATAGAATTACATATAATACATGAACACTCACAGCGAACTCCATCATCAGCAATAGTGTCAAAGCGCCACATAGTCAACAATAGTGCCGACAGGTAATTGGATACAAGGATAACATTACCTTCACAAGCTAGGAAATCTATATATTGCATCACCTTCACTGTTCCGGATCTTTTCTGGTTTGGGTTGTTGTTTAACGCCGCACTCAGCAATATTCCATCTACAAGGCGGCGGTCTATAAATAATTGGGTGTGGACAAGACAGTCCAGTGCTCAACAGCATGAGCATCGATCTACGCAATTGGGATACGCTGACATGTGACAACCAAGTCAGTGAGCCTGACCACCCGATCCCGTTAGTCGCCTCTCACAACAAGCATGGGTTACTGAAGATCAATATTCTAACCTGGATGTTCACAGATCCACTGTTCCGGGACGTGTAATGGGCAATGATTAACAAATACACATTAAATGGAATATACGCTCAGAAATCAAAAGTACAACAATTAGAGGAGCTCAAAGCTCAGACACAAGTGAGGTGAGGCGAACTTTAGCTCAGCCTCAGCACGTTTCATGCTCGTGGTCAAAATCACCCAAGCAATCGAATTGCCAGACTGACAAACTGATGATCTTGATGATTTGGAGATTTTACTTGCGCTTTCCGGCATTATGTTTATTTCCTACACGGACTATTTAGTGTGGCCCCGAAAGTTGGTTGAACGGAAATCTAATTTTGGGAACCTGTTCATGGTTACATACCTCACTTTATGTGTCTTTCCACAGCCAATGAAATATATGGTTGACGTATCGTCAACTGCATTTCAGTCAACGGTCGCCTAATGCGCACGTATAATACCCGCCACAGTATGTTTGCTGCTGCAACTGTAAGGTAGTGTCATGCTTTGTATGACAATAAGGACACGCTTTCAGAATAGCAAAATGGTGACTGCGTACAGACACGTAAACACATCGGTGAGAACAAGTTTTGAACAAGAGTTTACATTAGCATTTTAGCAGCGGATGCTATCTGTAGAGCAATAGTATGCTTACCCCAGGTGTCAGCACTGATTCTGAGTGATCCTTGTCACGGGATTTTCATCACTATTGTCCAACGGAATTTTTTCCGGTACATAAGAGACAATATGTTTTCCCTGGAGTTGACGTGTTGACTTATGCTACGTTACTTTATATTTTTCAAAGGAGAATGTACCCATATGACACAGTATTTGTACATCGGACATTCTGTAGCCATTTTGTAGATCGAACTGACTGACTGAGTTTGGTTTTACGCCGCTTTTAGCAATATTCCAGGAACATCACGGGGGACACCAGAAATGGGCTTCACACATTGTACCCATGTGGGGATTCAAACCGGTGTCTTCGGCGTGACGAGCCAACGCTTTAACCACTAGGCTACCCCACCGCCCCTTGTAGATCGAAACATGAGACAGATAGTATTATTCTGTTATGGACAATACTTTCCATATCTTGACAGTGATCTATAAACTTTATACAACATATATGTGCCTTTACCTTGGATTCATTTTAGAAGTCCACTGTTACGTAAATTTGATATTTAAAAATGTACTGTTGACGTCCATATTCTACGTCCAACATTATTCGATTGAAACCGTTTGGGGGAACTTTTATCGTGCATCCTCGTTAATTTCAACATGTAGTTTTACCTCCCTCTTTAACGTTTGCGTCTATATGAAAAATTGACAAGCGATAATATTTGTGTATCCGTATTCAGACGACTGAGCACCCGCATCATGTAGATGTATCTGCGTCAACTATAAAATTATAGTCAATTTAAATTTTTTTATTTTGTTCATAAGAACACATTTAGTTCAAGTTACTAGACCAGATGTGAATGCTTAAAAGATGGAAAATACAAGGACAGATCATTTCAAAAACAATCTAGATATTTATTGTAAGTTGACATAAAATTATGAACCAGAAAAGTAGATATACACCGTACCTTCACAAACAAAAACGAAAACAAAAGCCGTGGACTTAATGAACAACCTTGTTGTACGCTTATAAGCATAGGACATTCGAAACATTCAAAGAAGTAATGGTCACATCTCATACAAGATTTAACAGACACATTATATTTTTACTATTCCAACCATTTTGACGTACAATTTTAAAGACATATTTTGATTATTTAACGTTTGCATAACCCGTTTTATACATATGAAGAATAATACTTCCGGGGAGATGCATCACTGTGGGATTCGTAGCAAGAAATGATCCACGACTGTATCACTGATGCATATTTGACTGGCTTGTTTCTTGTGTTGCAGGTGTGTTTTACGTCACAGCGACGGTATGTGTGATTGTCACTGCATTCTACATCTACCTGTTTATGAAGAGTTACAGGTAGGAGTTACAGTCCAGTCGGTGTAATGAAATCGAGTTGTCTTGATGCATTGAAAGATCATGATGATTCTGTTCTGCTTTCAGACGGCATTTGCTGCGCATGTTTCGGGGAAACAAGAGCTTCATTCTCGATCAACTGCCAGAACCACACCGAATGATGGTATGTATTACATATATACATTCATACATAATAATATTATACCCATTGGCATGGGCGGTTACATAAATGAATACTCCTATATGTTCTATGTTCAATGAGAAATACCACCGCGCCTATATGCTATAATACATCAACGACTGAGATTATGCAAAGATATAAGAGCCTATACCGAAACGTCGTATCATAATATAACAAAGACGTTGATACCCATAAAGTATCGTACCTTTCTTATATGTGTTGGATTTAAAAACACCACTCCTATATAAATTAATGAGATGTGTCACAATGGCTGATTGTAGAATGTTGTAGTCATGGCTTGTGTTTAATGATTAAAAAATTAATAAGGAAAAACACACATATACGACCCATCGGCACGTTTTACCCTAATGCATTTCCTCATTTTAACAACCTTAAAAGTGTTGCGATGGGGACCTTTCCATATTCACAAGAAATCTTTTTCAAATGCTGAGCTGATTGTACGATTCCGACTATATTATGAGTATATGTTTATGAATCATTATTAAATAATGGTAATACCATGTTTTGTGAAACGAAATATATCCTTCCCCACAGGCACACACACATGCAAGGGCAAATCAATTGTACTAAAAATATCCTGGAATATAACTAGTTCTCAGCCATGTGAACATGTCTGATATTGTTAACTTTCAATTGGAGTAGGTCTTTTATCCTAATACATCTTTGTCGCAAAAGACATCAATTATATGGTGTGCAGATAAACTGGCCTTGATTATGTTAACACAATGAAGTATTTCGTACAAGGGAATGTAAACTGGTATTTTTCTTTTCTGTTTTCAGGCTAGTAGCATGCGCTTTCCTGGATATCAAGTTGCCTACATGTTATGGGGTAACAACTGCAAACTAGTTTAATCAATGGCATGGCTTATTGTTCATGTTACGTAGTATCAATGGCTACGTCAACTGTTGGAATGCACAGTAAGCTGTAAAGCGAATACGGTGACTTCAAATTAATGTTTGTGCAAGTTAATGTTAATGTTAAAGTTCTAGTCCTCTATCACTGATTGAATATGAGCACTCTTGTGGTAACTTCAGTTAAGAAAGATTAATTGAGTCTCATATCTGCAGTTTCTTCATCGTATCGACTCGTGTAGGTGCGGGTTAGAATTGATCTTCAGTAACCCATGCTTGTCGTAAAAGGCGATTAACGGGATCGGGTGGTCAGGCTTGCTGACTTGGTTGACATATGTCATTGTATCCCAATTGCGTAGATCGATGCTTATGCTGTTGATCAATGGAGCGTCTGGCCCAGACTCGATTATTTACAGACCGCCGCCATATATCTGGAATATTGCTGAGTGCGACGTAAAACTAACCTCACTCACTGTTTAACATATAAGTTATTGCATAAAGGCAGACCTACCTTTTCCCACGTACCATGAAACCTTGTTAGTCCGGACGAAAGGGAACACAATATGTTTTGTCCGTATTAACAATTTTCAGAATTAACAAATCTTAGTATTGATGTCACGTTGTTTACTTGCCATGTAACCGTTCCCAACAAGATCGCCCATAGGGGAGGTTTTCGGATTGACGGGGTCAGGACTGGCGAGGTTTCATCGTATGTGTTTCGTGTCACATAAATGCTCTCCGATAATGATGTTCTCCACAACATCTACGCTGTAGTCACTTCAATACAAAGTAAACAAATGCCTTGTGCTATCATTCTGGAAATATTTACACAAACAATTGAGATAAAATGAACCGACTATAAATTCACCCTGCAAGAAATGTTTATCTATACCCATTGGCGGAAAATGACTTAAGACCACATTGAAGTTAATGATTTGCATTGTCGAAGCCAAGGGGGGGTTCAGGGGGAAATTCCAGTCGAGAGGCAGACGCCATTTTGTTTACATGTCATATGGTCAGTGGCGATCTTCAAAATAAAGTAAAATGATATTTTGTACATTTAACAGGGTGGTAAGATAAATATGTTGTATGCTTCTCCCTCGGGTAATACGGTCTGATGTACGCCTCTTTGAAGCAGTGTTACCCGACTAGTGTTACCCGACCCGACCCGGCTCGGGTAACACTGCTTCCAAGAGGCGCGCACATCAGACCGTATTACCCTCGAGAGAAGCATACAACTTAATGTCTATCTACATTTACACACATACGTACGTGTCAATATGTGTATATCTGAAAACGTACATAACTTGAACGACACACACCGTTTTATTCTACTAAATTGGATATCTCGAATGAATACTTGAGAATACAAGATTCTGACATGATATCAAATGATAAATTTGGTTGTTATGCGCAGTGTGCTTTGTCAGTTTTCTTCCCTTTACTTGTCCCCTCAATAATTTTATGGATTATGTTTTGCAGGTTTTCTAATGCTGTTTATTGCAATGTTCTCCGTGGTGTCGATATTCGCCTATGTGATATATCTGATTAGTATCAATCACCTCATGTCATCTGTACTTTTGTCGCTGTTACAAACATTGAGGTAAGCCCACTTATATGGTCACTTCAGCATTAATACTGCTGTTTCAAAAATAAGGGAATTTCATATAGCTTCGTGTCAACACATGTCCAAAATAGTGACATAATCGAAGTGTTGATATTAATAAGGGGTATCTTTGTTCAGGTAAAGGTTCATACGTTTACATACTGACTGACTGACTGAGTTTGGTTTTACGCCGCTTTTAGCATTATTCCAGCAACATCACGGTGGGGGACACCAGAAATGGGCTTCACACATTGTACCCATGTGGGGATTCGAACCCGGGTCTTCGACGTGACGAGCCAACGCTTTAACCACTAGGCTACCCCACCGCCCCACTTATACATACATAAGAATGCATCATGTATATGAATAAGTACTTTTATGCAGGCTCCAGTAAAGGCTTAACATCGGTATGAGCGTGACATCAAAAATTAAGATATACATTTCATTACTTTTTTGTCAATGATGAGAATATTTATAACGCGCCTTTTCCAGGCTAGATATCCTGCTCAAAGCGTACAATCCCCGGATAACACAAGCTGCCTGTTAGGCGCTTGCTAAGAATAATAGACTCAAGACTTATTTAACCAGGTGTGAAGCCCATTTCTGGTGTCCCCCGCCGTGATGTTGCTGGAATATTGCTAAAAGCGGCGTAAAACCAAACTCAGTCAGTCAGTCAGTATTTAACCAGGTATCCACTTTCTGCTGGGTGAACAGAGGCACTTTTGAACAAACTCACTTGCTTAAGGTGAGACCACATGTATCACATGTGCTTCGTTGTGGGGCAGGACAGAAGTCTTAGAAACTCTCAGGTTTTAAGCTGCCAAATCACCCATCCAAGGACTCTCCGTTCCCAATGTGCTTAACTTCAACTGATTGTGACCTGATGCACAGGACCACACACCATCAATTAATAAGTATAGTTATCCAATGTGAACGACCATCTCTCACACACATGGCAATGAAAGGAAGGTAGACATCTACGAAGTAGCGCTATACAAATATATATATATATATATCAATTAATATTTGTGCAAATTAAGATCACGTACCGATATTTTTTTCAGGATTTTGTTTTAATTGAAATTGATTGAAAAATGATTTGATACCAGTGTTCCAGCCTTCGCCATACTGCTGTTCTATATAGAAGTCGGCCTAGCTAAGTACGTGATCATGCAAGACAAGATCAAGGACACAGATGACGCGGCTCCTCTTAATGTTGACAACAGGTAGTGTAACATCCCCGGTCTCAATATCAATCTTTACTTTACAGGCTCTATCATGCAATTGGTTGAATGGACAGGCACAACGTTTGACCATATGTGCTCCTGCTTTCACCCTGTAAAATATACTTGATTGCAGCGTATACCAGCGTGGACTCACTCATCAGAGTTTAGATATGTGTTTCTATTCCAAATCTCTTTTAGTTCAGTCTAGTTTGGTCACTTCCATCTTACAGGTTCGATTCCCCATGTATGTAGATGTAAAATATGTGAAGCCCATTTCTTGTGTCGATCGGCGTACTATTACTCAATCAAATTGAGTATTGCTCAATATCAATTTTGAATTGATATCTAGTTACACACACAGTGTTTCCGACAACCGGAACATAAACAAGTCTGTTTACAAATCATGAAACTACATGTCGAGGACAATGTCTATAAAAGCTCAATTATATCATTTCAGGCGGTTTTATGAATGCTTTAATTACTACGCCTTTTTCGGAAATCTGGCCATTGGACTATTTACGTGTTTCTGGAGAATTCTACAAGGACTCATTCTTGGTGTTTTAATGGTTGGTCGGCTAGATCACAGCATATATGCAAGGGGCTGGGAACACAGTGACAAAGGTATGCCAAGGGTTTTGTTTATCCGCCTTTCTGGACCCTGTTGTTTTGAGAGGTGTATTTTTTTTATCCTTTGAGCGGTATGTTTGTGATAAGACAACTTGTCAGAAAATGGACCTTTGCCTTGATGTTAGTTATCACGAAGTAACGTTTAAAGCGGAGTTCAACCCAATTCGCCAGGAGAATGGGGACAATTTTATGGATGGATCCCTTGCTTGACAACGACATTAGAATCTTTGTCGAAACGTCGCCTATACAGAATAAAGACGTTGTATGTCCATAAAATTGTCCCCATTCTTCATCTCCTCAACTTCTAGAACTTCAAAGAAGAGATTAATATAACTAGTCTTGATTACCCCCTGGAACAGATTTCAGTAGGCGTGAATTGTAAAATGGCCGTGGCAATTATATGATTGGATCACTGAAAATCAACCGTAACCAAGACACAAACCAGGTGTCCGCGACAAGGGTAACCAAATACAGAGATGTTTCAATTTCAGGGTAATCCAAAGTGCGAATTGATGATTTCCGTCACTTATGTTATAATCAGTTATTGTAAAATATCAAACAAATATAAATACATTAAAGAAGCGTCATAACTAAAGTGATCATCAAATCCAGTATGATGTGAGACATTATTTATACACATGCACACACTTCATTTGATGGTTTAATTGGAAATCCCTGTTTGATGCCGCAATAAATCCTCGACCTACAGTCAGTCAGTGGTATTGTGGAGGCACACTGCACTTAATACTTGATATATTGTGCGTTTTGACTTCTATATCGACATTTATACCGACACTTGACCTGATTATTCATTTTTAAATCCGAAATTAAACAGAAAATTAAAATTCGGTTAAAAGCTTGAGAACGGCAGATCGTGATCGTTAACAATCGTTAATTGTGATTGTGACTGGAACAGGAACACATTTGTGAACATCAGTGAAATATCAGTGATGGTGGGTGAAACGCAAACAAACGAAATTGCAATCGCACCTGGAGGTCAGACGTATAGAATCAAGATCCGAAATATTAGAACTTTGTGTCTCAGTTGCGATTTGAATGTTTATCGAAGAAATAACCACTATATCAAGGTACCATTTCAATTTGAAAGACGCTTCATAGTCATTTTACAACATGTTCTACAATTGGTTAAGTGTATGAATTATTTGAAGAGCGTTAAATCTGTGACAGTTTCTCTCGCCAGTATCACCCACCATACTCACTAAGTACGACAAAGTAATAACGTTTTCTTCTATTGTAGGTTATCTGTCGTATATTTGCATGCTGCACGTGGAGAACGCCCATAACCACCCCATGTTGAGAGTCTTCTGTGACCTGTTACTGACAGATCTAGATAAGGATGGACAGCACCAAACATTCCGGAGACCTGGTACGTTTTGGTAACAAATTTTGCAATTCGTGTGTTAGTAGTCGACGAACATTGTAATCTTGGTAACATTTCATACGTCATGTAGACTTGTCCAGGTTGTCGCAAGTATGTTTTTTCACATGTTCGCCAGATTGTGGGGGTATTGTTCTATGTGAGAGAATTGGATTTACACATTTCATGTGGAGTATTCCGGTGTAGCAAACAATTGGAATGTTCAAACGATTGTGTTGAACCAGTAAGTGCTATAACCACGTACCTGTAACGGGGAACCAACCAGTAAAGCTGGACCAATCTACAAATAGCTCCATTTTTCTACAGCAACATCAGTACCTGGCAATCCTCTGATCTTGAAGACAAACCATAACGCTGTATCTACTGCCATGTTGTAATTTTCTGATATTCTGGTGTTCTGGCTTTCATTTCACATTATCAAACGTTTCTCAACCGATTACTACGAAATATTTGATGCTGACCATAACATAGAGAACATATACAGAGCGACAGTGTCCACGTATTTTAATAATTAATATTATATGTGGTATAGATATTGTAATACATCAGTTAGCAATGCACGTTTATGGAAAATAAAAGCTAATAGAATATGATACATAATCCTCTATATCGTGAAACAAAAGGAAAAAGCGAACAAACGGTTTCTCGTTGGAAAGTGAATTGACATATTCTGGAACAAAGTCGAAAGGCGATCTGACAATATAAAGGAGTTCAGGGAGGGTTAACTTAAATTCAGCAAGTTGCACATATGTGTCTTTTATTGAACATTTGGAACATTCATGTTTATCAACATGAAACCTTTCTTCTAATTTGAATTCAGTGAGAAGAAATACCAGAGCTTCAAGAAGATGGTACGTGGCTTACACGCTAATCAACAACCCAGAACTTGCTCAAAGACGGAAACGAGTTCTCAATGAAACCAACAGGAAACGTCGAATCATAAGGATAACACAGGCAGAAATGGAAGGTGCTGCTGACTGGCCCATTGACGACGGAATCAGTTCCTCTATTGAATTTGTATCAAGCGGAAAGAACGTTGCGACAAATCACATATCCTCTCAAAACCGTTCGGTCGTGTGACTGGACAATACATGTGACTAAAGCTTGTGTAGGGGCAATGCTGGTGACTACAGATTGCATTGCTTGTGGTGTTACAGGATGTGCGATCATAAAATTCATACCACATCATAGACTAACGCTGAGTCTCTGAATATATATAAAGTTGATTCTAACAAATAAACCCATTTGAAATTTAAAAAGGAGCCCCAAGGAGTCAAGACATTCAGACCTGAACCTGGGGAAATCTAGACTTGCTTCAATTAGGGCTTTAACATTGCAGGGAGGGCTTGGCAGTAGGGAAAATAATATGGTTCAGGGATTCTGAGACTACACGACATCACTGCTTTAACACCTGGCTGACGCTTATACCAACTGAGTTACACATGGCAATATAATACATTAAAAATTTAAATGTTATTACAGTTAACTTTTTTGATTGGGGAATAACCGTCATAATACAAACCAAATTGTCATTATTACAGTCAAACATCGCTGTGCCGAACTTACAGTTGTCTAAAAGTAAAGGCTTGGCTCTTGTGTATTAAAATTGTCTAATTGTATGTTTATAAGTGTGTATCCTCAAAGTGATAATATTATTGTTCCGGTCATAAAACCAGTGTGCACTACAACCAAAAGAGTCATATGACCATCACATCACATCGGATACCCATATATACCCGGATACAGAGGCATAAAATGAACAAAGTTACTTGCCTTAGGTGAGACGAAACATTGTCAAGCTGCCAAACATGGTCACCCATCCAAAGACTCTCCACGACCAACTTCAACTGATTCATTACCTCTGCTCTGTGCACCACACATTCCTTATTTAATCATCCTTTTGCAGTTGTTTTGAACCTCGGGTAAATCTAAATATTATTGTAGGCCCCTTCAACTTCGACACAACGGTTGTTGACGGTGTACTATTCACTCATCCCCACCGACAGCCAATAACAACATGTTCACAGGGTATCATATCTTACATGCATATCAACAGATGCTGACTAACAATGTGGTTGTTCGCCGTCAATGTAAGGACATATTGAGATTGATAACCAAATTCGGTATTCGGTAGGTTTAGTGTCCTTAGTCCTTTAGTGACCTGTTGGCACAGCAGGTAACAATAAATCTTCCAGCATTTTATAGCTGTCAGCTAATTATGATAAATAGAATCTCACCCTCGTGTCTTCTGATATCAAATATATCAACTCTCGTTGATAAAAGTAAACATATCTTCGGGAAGCCTTGGATATTTGTAACTTTATCAACTCGTGATGATATATTTGATATGAAAAGACACTCAGTAATACTGCAGGTAATACGTTTCTCTGCGCATGACTTGTTACATGCATAGACATTAAGTACTCATAAATCAGTTACGTAGAAGTAATAATATAATTAAGATGTATCAATAAAGGTAAGGCAACTTTGAAACAGAATCATTAATCATTTAACATCCTGGGGTCAGGTTTTGTTGAATATATCTGATACTTGTTTTGAAATTGTTAAACAAGTATTTATGTTACGTTTTAGAACCTGTGACATTATTAATTTTTATGGTGAAATCAAAACTTTGATGTTCCAGCCAAACCTATAAGCCAGGCTGCACTCGGTGCAGGTACTGAAAAAACGAACCTAACATATTCAAAGTACCCTATTGCTTGATATTGTGGAGTGAGTAAGCGAGAATGCTTGTCAATTTTCATGCCATTTGTATAATTTTGGGTACATGTATATCACATGGATATGAAATACTCCTTCTGTCTTGTATTCCCCTGGATTAGGTTGGATGTTTCAAAGAATAGGCAACGAGAATGAGTTTCTTAGATTATTTCAACAAGACTGAGATTCTCTTGAAAACAGTTCAAGGTATCACATGTACAGATCTTTGAATTCTTTGATTTTACCAAAAATTACATTTGAATGTAAAACTTGACATGGTGCATTTTCATGATTCGATCTTGGACTGTCAAAGATAATTATCAATATTTGACAACAACAATCTGTACATATCAAGCATGTTTAATATAATAATATACATGAAGAAGACGAATTTCATGTAATTGCAGTGTTTAAACTGACTATAAGAAAAACATGTTTTCCACAAAATGCCTATTTTTTTCCTTATTTATGTCTTTGTCCCTCGTCGACGTGAATTGATTATGAAATATAAAAAAATATAAAATCCTATTAACTCTATTAGTGTTGCATCCATTTTATATGCATATTGTTATATGTGCAGTAACTTTATATACGAGCCTTTGTAAAACAATACTTCTTGGTCTTGAGTGTGGTGTTATCCATGGAACATCCATGCAGGACGTAAATATACATTTGATTGTACTCCCTTATGAGTGTGCATAACACGGAAACGAAAGTATGTATGAAATAGCCACGACAAAATGATGGATCAACCATCGTCATGTACATTTGGGAAAGATGTTATATAACGTCTTCGAGATGCAGAAATCAGACATTCTGGTCAAAATGATTTGCCATCTTGACGCCTCGCCGGAAATTCACTGATCAGAAAGTACACAAGACCCGTCTCCAGCTCTCCTGAGATCAGCGGTGTGGTATCGGAGTAGGAAATCTTACCTGAATTACAGTGGTGGTTATTGATCAACTTGTTTTTACTCAGTGCATTGTACACCTGTAGAGGCAATGTTTTCAAGTTGAGTTTAAATACGATTATTAAAGGCACAATGTCACGCCATACGTCTCTATAAATACATAATGCATTTTTCTCACTAATACTAACAATCAGCCCTCAGGGAAGCTACCATATAATTTGTTTTTTCAAAATACGTATTTAGATTACAATGTTAAATTTAAAAGTTCGAATGAATTATTGCAACGTTGCATTAAATCGACTCGCGTGCCCTCTACTTGACAAACATTATTTCAAGCGAACCTCATAGTGTTATGTCCTTTGGAGAGCTCTTTACGAATAACCTTCGCACAACGTGTGATTGGAACCAGTTCGGCAAACACCGACAACACCTCGTGCAGTTTACGGAGCAATTGTTTACATTACATGGCAAGTGTTATCTGTTTGGAAGCTGTTCGCCTCGAAGTTTCAATTATTGATTTCAGGCAAATCGTAAGGGGTAATAAGTCTTTTATAGCATCAATAGGAAGCTAAAGTGAGTGCATATGACCCCAATATATATATTAAAGGTGAACATATTGTCGAAAATGTGTGACATTGTGCCTTTAAGACGCAGCGGCATGTGTGATTTCAAAATACTCTCAAATATACTCAAAACGTAGCGGAGCCTGAACTTTCAATTTGGATCGGAAGTATAAGTGTTGACTATTTTTCAAAGACAGACATCTTATGAACGCACCACCATTCTCTTTATCGCCACCCCTAAGCACAACGCATAGGATGCACGTGCACAACACAGTAGCCCCATACACGTGCATGGGGTATCATGCGTAATTTTGACGGTTTTCAAGAAGGTTGATAAATAACTGTAGACCATTAATTTTGACAATCTTCTTGCATCACACAATTGTTATTGTTTGTTTCTAGGCGGGTTTTTGTTTTGTTTTTTGTTTGTTGTTGATTTTTTTTAAAATGAAAATCGTACACATGCAAATTACATGTCATACACCAATCATCTTTGAAGATCGATTACTGTACAAAACTATGGCCATAAGGTCATTATTTTCATATCAACACTGATTGACTCCGATATATCTCCCAGTTGTTTCAATCCAAAATTAAAAAGGAAGTTCAAATTCCCCTCCTTTTTTTGAAGAGTATGTATGACAAACACAACCTGCACGCTCTTGTATTCATGAAGCAGTTAAGAGTTTTAACTCAGATAACATTCCGAATTCCTTACATTTAGGGCAGAATGGGTCGATAAAGAGCACATCGAAAACATTTCTTAAGACAAAAGTTCCCTGATCTATACATCATAGCTTGATCTCGAAAACGATTCGTTGGAATATAATTGTCATGCTGCAAAGTTTGTAACTGGTCAATGTATGACATTTGTGATACTTTTACCATTATCAACTACCGTTCGTTTCAAGGCTAGAGGTAATATGTTACAGAACTGGTTTGTGTAAATAACGGTAATTTGGTCGAAAACTCATGGATTTGCTGAAATTAACGTAAACAATATTGGATGTAATTTTGAAAAATTCTAAAACCATTGATTACAAAAATAGGTCAAGATTTACGATAAATATCTATTTGTAGCCTGTAAGACGATTAACACTGGTCACGTGATGTGTCTTTGATGTGTCTTCCGCGACGATGAATTAACTAGTGAAAAGGCATTTAATATATGACATAAAGGATTCCGTCACCCCTGTAATAATGGGAACTCTAATGCATTTAGGAAACAATTTGAAGTTCTACCAAAGAACAAGTTTATTTGTCTACCAGATGTCAGCTGTACCTGTTCATGGTTTTATCATTCAAGTCCATCCGTATCGCAGTAAAACGGTATCAAACCTACCTATGTATATCAAGATTATGGATGATATAAGCGCTAGAAATAAAATACGAAATCATCTCGGATTAGAACCCAGGATCATCGCTTCTACAGTGCCCAAGATACGCGGCTCGTCATGTAAACGGTACTCTTGTTACTGTCACTATACCCGTTGAATTTAACCGGTGAAGGTCCGGGTTAGAATTGGTCCTCAGCATCCCATGCTTCTCGTCAGAGGCGACTAACGATATTGGGTGGTCAGGCTCGCTGACTTGGTTGACACATGTCATCGTATCCCAATTTTGTACATCGATGCTCATGTTGATCACTGGATTGTCTGGTCCAGACTTGATTATTTACAGATCGCCGCCATATAGCTGGAATATTGTTGGGTGTAGCTTTAACCAACAACAAATCAATCAAGATAACACCTTGCAGTCATGTTACCAGCAGAGCAAGTACACAGAGCAAACAATCTAACGGTGGGTCTTATCAGCAAGCACTGCAAGTAGGTCAGGCGGGTTTACTCAGTAACGAGAGAAAAATGTATTAACTAGTCCATAACAGCTGTATGTATTAGTGTTTTGGCATTTCTTTGTGGCTCTTGGCGATTGTTTGGCATCTGTTAAATCTAGGGCTGTCTGGTGAAGGCCTTTGGACAAAAGAACAGTTCTAGGTAAGTCAGGTAAAACACTTCATGGGTCTTCTAATTTTCCTGAACTTCCTTCTTTGTGTCTGAGTCATTATGTGTTGTTATATTAGCGTCCTGTTATGATATCGTGACCAGGCCGTGCATCCAGTGCAGTAGTCTTTTGGTTTACACAGGCAGTTTGCTAAACTCGTTCTTTGTTATAGTATGGTCAAACAGAGACCATATTTGTCGAACTCTGTCTCTCAGTCCCTCTAATGGAACGTTAAATCATTTATTTCGAGATGTCTAGTCAAGGAATAACCGATGTATTCAATATTATGTGTTCCAAATGGTTACTTTTGTGTTTACAAACACTTTTCTATCAATAACAAGGATGTCACATATTTGCATGTTTTTTATTGTGGTTAATATTTTCTCTACCATACTGGTTTCACGTAATGGTATAACTAAATAACTTGTGGTCAGCCTCTGTGGTCCAGTTGTGATGACCTATGCTCATGATGTCAATCACTGGATCGCCTGGTCCAGACACGAATATTTACGGACTGCCGTCATGAGTGTGGGACATTGCTGAGAGCGCCGTTAAACAACAGAAGAACAAATATGTCATAAACAGAAAATATATTTTCAGCTACAATGACAGAGTGATGACGTCAATACTAAATAACCAGACCCTCTCTGCCTGTGCGGACATCATTGATGCAGACGCGTTCAATCATGTCATCACCGTGCCTGCAGTAAGTCCATCCACCTCTATGCCATGCTCATATGGACAAAGGTTTACCTGTTTACTTATACCAGTAATTCATTTTTGCTGTCAGTATTTATTTACTGATATCAGTAAAGTTTTATTTATATCAAGAAATTTGACAATGATATCAATCCAAGAATTGCTGTCATTCCTAGAGCTTTTCGTTTCCTAGAACTATCTCACAATGCAAAAGTTACTAGTACAATTAATGTCGATAACCTTAACCTGTTACTGACAACGCTGAATCAATACTAAACCGGAAACAAACATTTTAAAAAATATACTGATATTAGAGCATACGTTACTGATATCAATAAAAGAAATACATAATGCAATACATAATAATCAACTGACCCTGCATCATAACCCTTACATTGGGTGTGGCAGTGAAAGCCAACACTACCGTCACTTTGCAATACCAAATAGGCTAAACTATCAAATACAATCAACAACAACAACAATGAGCAAGAGGACAAAGTGATCATGCGCCTATCTATGCTTTAGAAACAATGAAAAGATAATTACATTTGCTAAAATACTTACTATTAAAGAGAGGTTATGAGGGACCGACACAATCAAAAAGCAGACGAACCGAAGGGTTCCGCTACCAAAAGTTGAATAGTGATTTAAAAACGAAACATTAATAAAAGGTGTGATTATGAAGCGGAATTGGATTTAAAATAAACTTTACAAATATATTACAGTTAAGGATTCTCAAATAGTAAAATGAGTAATACACTTGTCCACATGTAAACGAAATCTTAAGATGATCATTTCTTTCCAGGCCGGCATAATCCTAGTTCTAGCGCTGCTGGAGAAGCGAAGATTCCGCCCTGAAGTATGTGGAGGCAGGCCTGCATTGATTGTGTGAGTATCACAAAACAAGACATCTTTTATTCAGCAATATCAAGTAATAATAATTCTTGGGACATCATATAAATTTCGTTAATGTTAATATCTGTTTCCATGATAAAAGGCAAGACATTCGTCAAATGTATTTCTTTCCAGTCCTCTCCCTCTGCTTGACGGCTACGACAAACGTTTCTCATACGCCGCAGCCTTCGGGGCCGTTACCAATATCATCTCAATTCTTTTCCTGAAATTGACTCATTCCTTCTCCTTCAACTATCCATTGTGGGCTAAGGGTGAGTTTACAACCTTACTCTCATAATATACAACTGGTGAATCTCGGCGATATGTTACTCGTATTTGCCACTATTGTGGCTCACCTTTTCGCGAACACCTGGTAATACCAAAATTCGATGGCGTAGCATGGATCATAAACAGATACCCGTGATAAAGGCGGAATCGTATCACTGATATCTCTTGTGGTTGTGGAAAAAGTTGAACCTTTCAGGGTTTTCAAATAAAATCAAGTAGTGATCTGTTTTATTTCAGCATTGGTGCTGCAACTACGAATTCTTGAGACCTGCATCGCATGTTTTCCACTGTTTGCCTGTATTTCCACAAGACACAAGCTGGCTGGGTCAGTCCTCGGTGTTACCTACAGTTCGATACAGTAAGTTGTATCTGTTTTTAATATCTGTCATTCACCTATCATCTTCATGATAACCATCACCACTACATCTCCATTCGCAATGTCCCAAGGCATTGCTGGTATTTGTGGAGAGGTTGCCTATGTCTCTAATCTCCGATCTGGTTCTCTCCTGATATAACGTCCACGGAAACGGCAATCCTTCAGTCTGCTCAAGTTGAGAGAGTTTGTGAATACCAAGGCTGTTGTCACAGTGCATTAGACACTGAACCCATGTAAAAGCATTGTCAGGAGCAGGAGCATTGACGGAGCACGCTGCCTGTCCCACATAACCAAGGAGCCAATTACCAAGAAACGTGAACTAGAACGTGAACAGCAATATGTCACAGCTGTGAAGCGTTTTACTGTCAAGAAGGAAAGTGTGGTCCAGCCCACAACACCCATCTCTTCACATTTACCCAAACGTCTATCCCTCAATCGACCAAAGCTGTCACTGCAAGGTGTAAATGGGACCAGTTGCCCGAACACCTGTTAAACCTTTAATTATCTATTTCATCTGCATCACTGGAGACTGGAGGTGTATGTCCCCAGTCCACTCTGCCAAAGTTTGGACATGGATCCAACAACCTCTACTCTGCTGTAGCCTCTCTATTCTCTGCCAGACTGAACTCACAGACTCAACATCTTTCAACCAATCCCTAACACTTCACTCGAAAACATACTGTGACATCTTCCAAACGAAAACATCTTCCAAACGAGTTAAAACTTCAAACTCACAGACAACAGAGCCGATACCAAAAACCAGAAACAGAAATTGTGCACCTAACAAGAAAAAGAGGAAAACTATTAAGGCTGAAGCACCATGGTCAAATGCCAATACCAGCACCAACGGAGAGCTGTCCTTTGGTCCTCTGGATATGGAGGTTACGTAGGAGTTCTTTAAACGCTTTTTGGGGTTCACGTGATATATCACCCGTGGAAGTGCCATGAATCCACAAAACATTATTCTCTTGATTAATACCGACTGTTTTTGTCTGCGTTTTGTCTCCTAGAAACAGATCATTTTGACAATTCAATACAGTCCCTATAAACTCCTTTTCTCCTCTAGGCATTAAAGCTGCAGGAGGCTCTTATATCCTGGTGAGGCTGGTATCATCAATTGCCCAGTTCCACTTAACACCAAAACTACAAACTGTTGCTTTGAACTTAGTGTTTACGCATCTCATTATGAACTTCTCAAATTGGTCTGTATCCTAAATTGTAACTATGTATAAGTATGGCAAATTGACTGTATATAAATATGGCTGCTGCACATAATACTCTAATGATGAAATTATGTATTTTACGAAACTCCTTTTGACCTTGTACTTTAGATGTGATTGTGTATATGTGGTCTCGCTATATGGCTGAAATAATGTTCATGCGACGTATATTTTAACTCATCCACTTACACTCAGTCATCATCATCATCATAACTTTAACCTACACATCATAATCATCACCAGCAGCAGCATCTACACAAGCATCATGTCACCCGTGATGATCCGGATTACAATTCGTCTGCCTCAACCCATGTCCTAACATCTAGGCGACTAACGGGATTGGATGGTCAGGCGAGCTGACTTTGTTGACGCATATTATCGTATCCCAATTGCGTAGATCGATACTCATAATGTTGATCACGAGATTGGTTGTTCCAGAATCCATATCAGCCTTGGTATTGCAGAGCGCAGCGTTAAGCAACATACAAACAAACAAAAACATGTCATTATGGCTTATGCATACAATTTGATACATGCTGCAGCTTAGGCGCTTTGATTGCTGAGGCCGTACAGTTCCACTGCCTGATTGATCCATCACCGACGGTAAGTGTCGTTTATGAGCAAAATACAAATAAAAAGCCAGTCAAATAAGTCATATACCCGTGACCTTAGTTTAACAAGTCAGATGAATCACTTGACACTTGAGGTTATTAAGCACATATGCCATAAGAAATGACATACTATTGAAAGGTCTCGTCAAAGGAAAGTGAATTATTGAACGATACCCAAAGGCTTAAAGACGTGTAACACGCGACCTAACTGTATCAGAATTCCTTAATTGTCTTTGTTATAACTGCCGCTAAAAACGAATATGTCAAAACAAGGACTTATGTTAGTGCCGTTTAGCATAAATCAGTTTTAGCATAAAGCAGTGCATATGGCTGAACATGGATACTGGATTATTCGCCCGTGGAAGATACTGCAGTGTAATATTTACGGCAATATTACACTAGTGTAATACCGCTAGCCGTGTGACGTCATAATGGTTTATTGTTATGACATCACAATGCTAATACCTATGTCACAATGGCATTAGACCTTGCTTGACTCACGGAAAGCTGAAAGTCATCACACTGTAGGCAGTTTCTATCAATTTAGGTTGGAGAGTAATGAACAGAATACTAAACTCGCTTCCGTGAAATAACATTTTTATGAAACTCGATAGATACCAAATCATTAAATCGCTTGGTATCCTCTATATCTTTAAATAGTTGGCATCGTTTATAGGGAATACATGCAGTAGTGGTACTCATCTACATCCCGGTTGTCCTGTGCTTCTTGTATCTGATCTTGAAGTTCCTTCTTGTCATCATAGAGTGCTTGAGGTCAAAGACGTACGTCATAACAGTGAGTAGTACTGGAAGTGTCATTGTTTCGTTCTATCTTTAGTGTGCCCACTTCTAAATGCCTCTCAAACAAGTGACTCTTTACAATGTATTTTAAGTGTACTTGCATCGATTGACGGTACGCCACATGCATATTCTTTAAATTTCCTTTTGTTATATAAGTCGGTACTGTTAAGCATTTTTATGTTATATAGCCACTTATTATTCCACTAACTAGATTGATTAATATATGTTAATTAATTTTACACATAAAGGAGCCGCTAAAACGGGTGTACGCCCACCAACAGCAGTATGTGCGTCAAGTTCTACACAGAGACTATGAGCCAAGGTAATATCGTGGTGTTATTAGGAATCAGGTATATAGCACCGTAGCATTGTGGGAACAAGTAGGATTTTAGCAGTAAAAACTGGAATATAAGACAGTAGCACTGGACAGGTATTTAGAAATACAGCGCTATAAGGAGATGCAGGACTGCTGCATTATAGGGACATGTAGGACTGCAGCATTATAGGGACATGTAGGACTGCAGCATTATAGGGACATGTAGGACTGCAGCATTATAGGGACATGTAGGACTGCAGCATTATAGGGACATGTAGGACTGCAGCATTATAGGGACATGTAGGACTGCAGCATTATAGGGACATGTAGGACTGCAGCATTATAGGGACATGTAGGACTGTCGCATTATAGGGACATGTAGGACTGCTGCATTATAGGGACATGTAGGACTGCTGCATAATAGGGACATGTAGTACTTCAGCATTATAGGGACATCTAGGACTGCTGCATTATAAAGACATGTAGGACTGCAGCATTCTAAGGACATGTTGGACTGTAACATTATAGCGGACATGTAGGACTGCTGCATTATAGGGACATGTAGTACTTCAGCATTATACAGACATGTAGGACTGCAGCATTATAAAGACATGTAGGACTGCAACATTATAGGGACATATTGGACTGTAACATTATAGGGGACATGTAGGACTGCTGCATTACAGGGACATGTAGTACTTCAGCATTATAGGGACATGTAGGACTTCAGCATTATAGGGACATGTAGAACTGCAGGGTTATAGGGAAACGTAGGAGTACAGCATTATAAAGACACGTAGGACTGCAGCACTATAGGGATATGTTGGACTGTAACATTATAGGGGACATGTAGGACTGCTGCATTATAGGGACATGTAGTACTTCAGCAATATAGGGACATGTAGAACTGCAGCATTATAGGGACATGTAGAACTGCAGCATTATAGGGACATGTAGGAGTACAGCATTATAAAGACATGTAGGACTGAAGCATTATAGGGACACGTAGGACTGCAGCATTATAGGGACATGTAGGATACTGCATTATAGGAACATTTACGACTACAGCATTATAGGGACATGTAGGACTGCAGCATTATAGGGACATGTAGGACTGCTGCATTATAGGGACATGTAGGACTGCTGCATTATAGGGACATGTAGGACTGCTGCATTATAGGGTAGGATGGGACATAGGACTGCAGCATTATAGGGGTCTGCACATGTAGGACTGCAGCATTATAGGGACATGTAGGACTGCTGTATTTTAGGGACATGTAGTACTTCAGCATTATAGGGACATGTAGGACTGCAGCATTATAGGGACATCTAGGACTGCAGCATTATAGGGACATGTAGGACTGCTGCATTATATGGGACATGTAGGACTGCTGCATTATGGGGACATGTAAGGACTACTGTAGGACATTATAGGGACATGTAGGACTGCAGCATTATAGGGACATGTAGGACTGCAGCATGATAGGGACATGTAGGACTGCAGCATTATAGGGACATGTAGGACTGCAGCATTATAGGACTGCAGCATGGACATGGGGACTACAGCATTATAGGGACATGTAGGACTGCAGCATTATAGGGACATGTAGGACTGCAGCATTATAGGGACATGTAGGACTGCAGCATTATAGGGACATGTAGGACTGCAGCATTATAGGGACATGTAGGACTGCAGCATTATAGGGACATGTAGGACTGCTGCATTATAGGAACATGTAGGACTGCACCATTATAGGGACATGTATGACTATAGCATTATAGGGACATGTAGGACTGCAGCATTAAAGGAACATGTATGGACTGCTGCATTATAGGGTTATGTAGGACAGCATTATTGTAGGACTGTAGGGACATGTAGGACTGCAGCATTATAGGAACATGTAGGCAGCATTATAGGGACATGTAGGACTGCATTACATTATAGGGACTGCAGCAGTGGACTGCAGCATTATAGGAACATGTAGGACTGCAGCATTATAGGACATTATAGGACTGACACTGCATAATAGACATGTAGGACTGCTGCATTATAGGGACATGTAGGACTGCAGCATTATAGGAACATGTAGGACTGCAGCATTATAGGGACATGTAGGACTGCAGCATTATAGGGACATGAAGGATACTGCATTATAGGAACATATAGGACTACAACATTATAGGGACATGTAGGACTGCAGCATTGTAGGGACATGTAGGACTGCAGCATTATAGGGACATGTAGGACTGTTGCATTATAGGGACATGTAGGACTGCTGCATTATGGGAACATGAAGGATACTGCATTATAGGGACATGTATGACACTGCATTATAGGGTAGGACAGCATTAGTGACATGCAGACTGCAGCATGATAGGGACATGTAGGACTGCAGCATTATAGGGACATGTAGGACTGCTGCATTATAGGGACATGTAGGACTACAGCATTATAGGGACATGTAGGACTGCAGCATTATAGGGACATGTAGGACTGCAGCATTATAGGGACATGTAGGACTGCAGCATTATAGGGACATGTAGGACTGCTGCATTATAGGGACATGTAGGACTGCAGCATTATAGGGACATGTAGGACTGCATGCATTATAGGGACATGCATGACCGGCAGCATTATAGGACATGTAGGACTGCAGCATTATAGGGACATGTGGGACTGCAGCATTATAGGAACATGTACATGGACTGCAGCATTATAGGGACATGTATGGCGACATGCATTATAGGAACATGTAGGACTGCAGCATAGGAGGGACATGTAGGACTGCAGCATTATAAGGACATGTAGGACTGCATTATAGGAACATGTAGGACTGCAGCATTATAGGGACATGTAGGACTGCAGCATTATAGGGACATGTAGGACTGCAGCATTATAGGGACATGTAGGACTGCAGCATGTGCTGGACATGTAGGACTGCAGCATTATAGGGACATGTAGGACACTGCATGGTATAGGGACATAGGACATGGGACTGCAGCATTATAGGGACATGTAGGACTGCAGCATTATAGGGACATGTAGGACTGCAGCATTATAGGGACATGTAGGACTGCAGCATTATAGGGACATGTAGTACTGCAGCATTATAGGGACATGTAGGACTGCAGCATTATAGGGACATGTGGGACTGCAGCATTATAGGGACATGTAGGACTGGAACATGCATTATAGGGACATGTAGGACTGCTGCATTATAGGAACATGTTGGACTACAGCATTATAGGGACATGTAGGACTGCAGCATTATAGGGACATGTAGGACTGCAGCATTATAGGGACATGTAGGACTGCAGCATTATAGGGACATGTAGGACTGCAGCATTATAGGGACATGTAGGACTGCAGCATTATATAGGGACATGTAGGACTGCAGCATTATAGGGACATGTAGGACTGCAAAATTATAGGACATGTAGGACTGCATTATAGGAACATGTAGGACTGCAGCATTATAGGGACATGTAGGACTGCAGCATTATAGGGACATGTGGGACGCAGCATTATAGGGACATGTAGGGACTGCATTATATAGGAACATGTAGGACTGCAGCATTATAGGGACATGTAGGACTGCTGCATTATAGGAACATGTAGGACTGCATTATAGGGACATGTAGGACTTTGGCTGCATTATAGGAACATGTAGGACTGCAGCATTATAGGGACATGTAGGACTGCTGCATTACAGGGACACATGTGGACTGCTGCATTATATAGGACATGTAGGACTGCTGCATTATAGGACATGTAGGACTGCAGCATTATAGGGACATGTAGGACTGCAGCATTATAGGGACATGTAGGACTGCAGCATTATAGGGACATGTAGGACTGCTGCATTATAGGGACATGTAGGACTGCAGCATTATAGGGACATGTATAGGACTGCAGCATTATAGGGACATGTGGGACTGCAGCATTATAGGGACATGTAGGACTGCAGCATTATAGGAACATGTAGGACCATTGCATTATAGGGACATGTAGGACTGCAGCATTATAGGGACATGTAGGATGTAGGACACTGCTGCATTATAGGACTATGTAGGACTGCAGCATTATAGGGACATGTAGGGACTGCAGCATTATAGGACTGGAACATGTAGGACTGGGACATGTAGGACACCATGTAGGATAGGGGACATTATAGGACATGTACATAGGCAGCATTATAGGGACATGTAGGGACTGCAGCATTATATAGGACATGTAGGACTGCTGCATTATAGGGACATGTAGGACTGCAGCATTATAGGGACATGTACATGTAGGACTGCAGCATTATAGGGACATGTAGGACTGCAGCATTATAGGGACATGTAGGACTGCTGCATTATAGGAACATGTAGGACTGCAGCATTATAGGGACATGTAGGACTGTAGCATTATAGGGACATGTAGGACTGCAGCATTATAGGGACATGTAGGACTGCAGCATTATAGGGACATGTAGGACTGCAGCATTATAGGGACATGTAGGACTGCAGCATTATAGGGACATGTAGGACTGCAGCATTATAGGGACATGTAGGACTGCTGCATTATAGGAACATGTAGGACTGCAGCATTATAGGGACATGTAGGACTGCATTATAGGGACATGTAGGACACTGCATTATAGGGACATGTTATAGGACTGCAGCATTAGAGACATGTAGGACTGCAGCATTATAGGGACATGTAGGACTGTGCATTATAGGAATGTAGGACTGCAGCATTATAGTAGGACTGCATAGGGACATGTAGGACTGCAGCATTATAGGGACATGTAGGACTGCAGCTATATAGGGACATGTAGGACTGCAGCATTATAGGGACATGTAGGACTGCAGCATTATAGGGACATGTAGGACTGCTGCATTATAGGAACATGTAGGATACAGCATTATAGGGACATGTATGACAGTGCATTATAGGGTTATGTAGGACTGCAGCATGAGAGGGACATGTAGGACTGCAGCATTATAGGGACATGTAGGACTACTGCATTATAGGAACATGTAGGACTGCAGCATTATAGGGACATGTAGGACTGCAGCATTATAGGGACATGTAGGACTGCAGCATTATAGGGACATGTAGGACTGCTGCATTATAGGGACATGTAGGACTGCTGCATTATAGGGACATGTAGGACTGCAGCATTATAGGGACATGTAGGGACTGCAGCATTATAGGGACATGTAGGACTGCATTATAGCATTATATAGGGACATGTAGGGACTGCAGCATTATAGGGACATGTAGGACTGCAGCATTATAGTGACATGTAGGACTACTGCATTATAGGAACATGTAGGACTACAGCATTATAGGGACATGTAGGACTGCAGCATTATAGGGACATGTAGGACTGCAGCATTATAGGGACATGTAGGACTGCAGCATTATAGGGACATGTAGGACTGCAGCATTATAGGGACATGTAGGACTGCTGCATTATAGGAACATGTAGGATACTGCATTATAGGGACATGTATGACAGTGCATTATAGGACATGTAGGACTGCAGCATTATAGGGACATGTAGGACTGCAGCATTATAGGGACATGTAGGATACTGCATTATAGGAACATGTAGGACTACAGCATTATAGGGACATGTAGGACTGCAGCATTATAGGGACATGTAGGACTGCAGCATTATAGGGACATGTAGGACTGCTGCATTATAGGGACATGTAGGACTGCTGCATTATAGGGACATGTAGGACTGCTGCATTATAGGGACATGTAGGACTGCTGCATTATAGGGACATGTAGGACTGCAGCATTATAAGGACATGTAGGACTGCAGCATTATAGGGACATGTAGGACTGCAGCATTATAGGGACATGTAGGACTGCAGCATTATAGGGATGTTGGCATTATAGCACATGTAGGACTGCAGCATTATAGGGAACATGTAGGACTGCAACATTATAGGGACATGTAGGACTGCAGCATTATAGGAACATGTAGGACTGCAGCATTATAGGGACATGTAGGACTGCAGCATTATAGGGACATGTAGGACTGCAGCATTATAGGAACATGTAGGACTGCAGCATTATAGGGACATGTAGGACTGCAGCATTATAGGAACATGGAGGACTGCAGCATTATAGGGACATGTAGGACTGCAGCATTATAGGGACATGTAGGACTGCAGCATTATAGGAACATGTAGGACTGCAGCATTATAGGGACATGTAGGACTGCAGCATTATAGGGACATGTAGGACTGCAGCATTATAGGGACATGTAGGACTGCAGCATTATAGGGACATGTAGGACTGCTGCATTACATGTAGGACTGCTGCATTATAGGGACATGTAGGACTGCAGCATTATAAAGACATGTAGGACTGCAGCATTATAAGGACATGTAGGACTGCAGCATTATAGGGACATGTAGGACTGCAGCATTATTGGAACATGTAGGTCTGCTGCATTATAGTGACATGTAAGACTGCAGCATTATAGGAACATGTAGGACTGCAGCATTATAGGAACATGAAGGATACTGCATTATAGGAACATGTAGGACTACAGCATTATAGGGACATGTAGGACTTCAGCATTGTAGGGACATGTAGGACTGCAGCATTATAGGGACATGTAGGACTGTTGCATTATAGGGACATGTAGGACTGCTGCATTATGGGAACATGTAGGATACTGCATTATAGGGACGTGTATGACACTGCATTATAGGACTATGTAGGACTGCAGCATGAGAGGGATATGTAGGACTGCAGCATTATAGGGACAAGTAGGACTGCAGCATTATAGGGACATGTAGGACTGCAGCATTATAGAGACATGTAGGATACTACATTATAGGGACATGTAGGACTGCAGCATTATAGGGACATGGAGGACTGCTGCATTATAGGGACATGTAGGATACTGCATTATAGGAACATGTAGGATACAGCATTATAGGGACATGTAGGACTACAGCATTAAAGGGACATGTAGGACTGCTGCATTAAAGGAACATGTAGGATACAGCATTATAGGGACATGTAGGACTGCAGCATTATAGGGACATGTAGGACTGCAGCATTATAGGGACATGTAGGATTCTGTAGGACATTATAGGAACATGTAGGATACAGCATTATAGGGACATGTAGGACTGCAGCATTATAGGGACATGTAGGACTGCAGCATTATAGGGACATGTAGGACTGCAGCATTATAGGGACATGTAGGACTGCTGCATTATAGGAACATGTAGGATACTGCATTATAGGGACATGTATGACACTGCATTATAGGGTTATGTAGGACTGCAGCATGAGAGGGACATGTAGGACTGCAGCATTTTTAGACATGTAGCACGGCAACATCATAGGGACATGTAGGACTGCAGCATTATAGGGACATGTAGGGCTGCAATATTGCGGTGACATGTTGGAGTGTAGCATTACAGTAAGATGTAGCACAGTAACATGATAGTTATATGAAACATAATAACAACATGTGGGACAGTAACGTCATCCTGGCACATGGGCCTGTAGCATTTTAGTGACATGTAGGACTGATATAGCGAAACATGTTCACTTTAATGAACTTTATGACAGTACTGTTGCAAAACTGTAAATAAAAGCAGCAAACTTAAAGCTTTATTAATCAGCCTTTACTGTCAAGTAGAACAAAATGGTAGCAGAACGTGTATTCTGTAACACGTATATTGGTAGTATGCAAATGAATCAGTAGCAATTTTGGTATAAGTACTTGTAATCAAATTATTATATATTTATGATCTGGCATGATGTTGCACACTGTATAACACTGTATTTCAGCATAGAGACGACAACTTGTGATAAATGGATCTACAGACCCGTCCCTGGTTTCAAATATCCAGTGCGAATCATATCCGTGGTCTCCATACTTGTAGTTCTTCTGTACCAAGTAAGTAGGATGATTATTAACCATGATTTGTGTGTTAATTATGCCACTTTTGTCAATTAAACGTCAGTAGAACGGTTGAAACCACACATCTAAACCATATCATCCAACATCCAGTAAAAGCGGGTAGATGTTAGAAATCATAACACACTGAATACACGTACACAAGGTTGGATGTTCCCATTTATCTTCATTTATCAGAACACACGTGGTCCCTCACCGGGACCGGGAACGGATCCGGGTTAGAATTGATCTTCAGTAACCCATGTTTGCCGTAAGAGGCGACTAACGAGGAAGTATCTGGTAGTCGCAGGTTGTACTTCATACAAAATAAATACCAAATATGAATTTCTCATGGCAGCATGCACCGGGAGTGACTGAGTGTAAAATAAACAACGACTAAAGATACGCGATAAGAATTTGGGGAAACGCAAACACGAGGGGTGTTCCGGGTAAACACAACGTTAACATTCGAGGCGTCATTCTCGATCTGATGTCAATGCTGTCAAGGTCACAAGGTATTCACAAACAGCGATGGTGACCTGTTTGCTTAGTGACGTGTCACATTTTTGCTTCTCCACACAGCGTTACACAGATGTAATTCCTCGCCTGAACGTCCTTTTCATTATGCAACAAGCAAAGGTAGGAAGAGCCAGGCGACCTATCAGACGTCCGTTGTTACCCCTAGAGCACAAAACATCTTTGTGTCAAACCACGTCTCTGGAATTTGACATTATGGCAAAGGCCCACTGCTCGCACTGGAGTCGATTTCTTGTGTTCATGACTGATGTCCCAGCTCGTCTTTGGCGCCACAGAAACAATGCATGTCAACAACAGATTATCTGAATGGACAACAATATATCACTGACATCCTAGGTGGACTGTTGTACCACATTTCAATGACAATCCTCTGACCTTTTTGCCAGTTTTGATGGACGACAGTGCTGGGCTACATTTGGTGCATGTGGTGATTTCGTAAATCAGGAGGAGATAGGAACTCTACCTTGACCCGCCAGGACTCCAGCTTTCCGTTCTATAGACTTGTATAGAAAATTATGGGTCGCAGAATACGCCAGAGATCCTTCAATACAAAATTCTGATGTATTGGAACAAACCCTCAACCAAGAATCGGACGCAAAACTTCAACGTCAAAGTCATCATATCTGAGGAGAAGGTTCATGGATAATATTGCATTTGGCGGAAGTTACAACAGATATTGACATTGTACTCGTTTATTGATAGTCATGTGATTTATTGGGAATTGTATACCAGGATCTTGAAAATGGCCGCACTTGTTAACGTCAAGGGTATTATTTCCTGATGGTATATGTATCCAGATAGTATGTTAAATTGAGGTTTGAATATGTTCGTTTGCTGTTGTTAATGGTACTATCATACTATGAAAAGTATTGGGTGTTGCGATGCGCTTTCCATGTGTACATAATGACCCTGTTTGTTTTGATTCCAGACTGGAATGGGCCTGATCCTCCTTGGAGTTCTAATTACCAAATGGCTACAGTCTTGCAAATACAGTTTTCTCGGTGCACTCAAGATATGTTTATCGAAGCCTGAAGTGGATATATATGCAGGTAGACACTGGTTTCGCGTTGTGAAATGTTCACTGTTTTAATTTGTGCAAATTGCATGTGTCATATCAAACACTCACCGTGAGTTACATTTTAAACAATAGTGTCTTATGTTGACGTAAAATTAGCTTTTGGGAGACACAAGGACTAGAATTAGCAAATACAGAATGAGCGGAATACATACTCAGAAATCACAGAGACAGCTATGCGTGGAGTTCCAAGCTTAGACTGAGAGCATTTTTTATGCATGGTCGTCCTTACACAAGCAGACAGATTACCAGGCTGACGATCAGAGGATGATGAGTGACTGAGTTTGGTTTTACGGGGCTTTTAGCAATATTCCAGCAATATCACAGCGGGGGACACCAGAAATATGATGATGGTGGTTTTGGTTTTGAGATTGCTTCCATTGATATATGTGCGACTGCTTCAAAGGATCGAGTGTTGGCTAGTGGATTCAGTAGGGTTTACGGGCGTGATGGTGAAAAGTGTGTTATGAAACACCCTTTGCGTTGGATGTACTGCGTGCAGTGTATACGGGTGTTTCTTTTTGGCTGCCTTGTATGCATTTGTCCGTATGGTGTTTTGGTAAGGCTTTGTTGTCCTTTCGGAAGTTTAGTTATTGCCCTGTCGTTGTTTGTGTTTTCTTATATGGTGCTTATGAGCTGTTTAAGTGACTTTTGGATGAGGTCTTATATCTTTTTATTTGAATTTTGGTGTGTCCCTGTTAGAGATGCCTTGATAGACGTTTGATTTCGTTCTAACTTAGTAATAGGTGTGGGCTTATCTCTAGTACATTACTGACCATGGTCAGTATACATAGATACAGTAACAGAGAACACTGTACAGATGGAGAGATGACAATATGACGAAGAGCCAATAGCGTTGTCCTGGATAGGGGCATCTGACTCGATTAAGGCTATATCATAATATGAATTGCTGTGTTAAACAATAGCACAGTCGACGGCACAATCACAGCATGTGAAACAACTTAGATTTCCTTTAACATACGTCACTCGATTTTGTTCGAACGTGAAATAGTTCGGAACCTGTAATTCATACAAGTTAACACGTTGTCAAGACTGAATAATATCACTTCACTGTGTGACAATGGCGCACATAAAGGACTGATAGTTATGGGACTCACTCACCATTCACGATGTTATTACTCTAAAATGACCCACGAACAACACTTGTTGCCAATACACCTGATCGCTGACTTTTGTTCTCGTCTCTCAGAAATGTATAAACAATTCAATTCACAAACGTGAATGGAAAACCACAAAAGTTCTGGGGAATTTGTTGATGTGTAAATATGCCAATTACTGCCTCTTTCTACAGCCAAGCCGGTTGACGTATCTTCTTCCTAAATGAATGCTGCATTTCAATTAGTTCTCGCCTAATGCGCACGTATAATATCCGCCATTGTGCGTTTGCTGTTGCAGCTTAATAGACATGTGGTGCATTTGTATGGTCAAAGCACGTTTTCGAAACAGCAAAATGGTGAATACATACGAACTCAAGAACAGATCAGTGTCTAGTGTGAGACCGGTTTTACAAAATGGTCCATATTAGCTTTTACGTGAATGCTATCGGTAGAGCAATACTAGTAGTAGTTGAATATCTCCATTATTTTTGGTCTAAACATGAAACAGGAAGTTCCTTTCGGTTACAATGGGAAGTAAGCTTTACATATTAATAGAAAGTTACACACATTATACAACACATGTCTTTAGCTTGGAATCATGTTGGATTCTTATGTATGTGTTATATTTTTTAATTTATTGCGAAATTTTTATTAACTTCGTCCATTTTTTTTTTTTGAGTTTTTTTTAGTTTTTTTTTATTGGTTCCCAGGATTACAATGTCATATGTAGAACAGTGATGTACAGACAGATGGATGATGTACAGGTACTATATGTCAATATCATGTTAATACACATTTATAAGTCAATAAAAGAGAAATATGATCTCAGGTAAATTGGATTCATTTTAAATTCATCAAAGTACTGGGAAGAGAAGACCCCATTTATGACTGAAATGTTATTATTTCTTTTGCATATATGGTTTTTCACAAAGAATATTTCTTTCAAAGTTTTTATAAATAGAGTTATGTTTGGATGCGTATTCTTAATACTGCATACGTAAATGTGTCTTTTTGCTGCAATGATGATGTGATTTAGTAATATATTATGATGTAGAGTACCAAACCATATGTTTTGATAATAGCAATGGATAAGGGTATAAATTGTTATGCCAAATTTGTAGGTTTTTCCCAAAAGTTTGTGTCTCCTGACATTCCCAGTACACATGACAAACACTCTCATATAGATCATTGCAGAAACAACATAGACTGCTATCAACCTTTTTCATTTTAAGCAATTCTCTTTTTGTATAAATAACACCTTGTAGAAATCTATACTGAAAATCCAAAAGTTTTGTGTCTTGCAATCCTTTTCTGTATGCTGTAATTATATATTACCAATCAAACTCTATTTCAGGAAATAGCAGCTGCCATTTATTACACATATTTGGGTGTATTTCATTGGAAATAAGTTTATCATAAAAAGTCCTGCAGCCTTTAGATGTTTTTACTAGATATATCTGGCATTGGTTAATATTTAAATCCCTGACTGGTATTAAATGACAGTGGTTAAGAGTATTTTTCCAAGAGTCAGGTAATACATATAGTAAATATTTATAATCTAAAAAAGTGCCTTTGATACCATATATTTCTTTTAAAGATTCTATTGACAATAATCCAGTTTTATCACAAATATCCCTAATATTTATAATCCCTTTATCTGCCCAGTTCTTTATGAAGTTTATTGAATTTTTAAAATTATGAGTAACCATAATGGTTTGGATAGAATTTCATTAATGTTATTTGGGTCAATATAATGTTTCTTGTGGAATAGTTGCCATGCTTTTAGCACATCATGCCAAAAAGGATTTTCAATCTTAAAGTAAGTTTCAGAATTTGCTCCAAAATTAAATATGTCTTTAAAAGGTATATTGCATGGATTATCCTTATCACCTCTTTTGAAATACTGTCTTAAAGTAGATAATTTCAAAGCGTCTATAAATGTTTTTGCATCAATCATTATCAAACCTCCTTCTTCATAGTTGTTTTGAATTACATTCCTTTTTATTTTATCATTCTTGTCATTCCAAATAAATTTAAAAAACGTTTTGTCAAGGGACGTGATAAATTCTGCTGGTGGGTTGGGTAAGGAATTGAAAATATGGACCAATTTGGAAATTGCTAGAGTTTTTAAGCAGAGTACACACTCTATTCAGTTCCATCAAGAAATAGTTCAGTATCATCGGCATATTGATCCAGTTTATATTCATTATCATTGATGACAATTGATGACAATACCATTATTTCTTATCATGCAACCAAGAACTTCGTCCAGTTTATCTACTCCTCGTCCCGACTACTAATATTTTTGTGTTTGCATTCAAACGACTGAACACCCATACAGTCTGTCAATTCTGAAAATAGTTTCTCTATAAGAGCACACTTAGTTCAAGGTACTATATCAGATATTACATATGTACAAGAAAATCTTGTGCCCAGATGCTAATATCAATCTTTGAAAATAAACAGGTCTTAGAACCACGTTATGAGACACGTAGTAGAAATCTGAATACATTTATTTTGTTTGGCTAAACGGTCAAAAATCAAAAACTCCAATCAATTCAGGTCATCCTTTCAGAAGCAAATACAATTATTTACTGTTAGACTTCATATGAACCTGAAAGACAGATGAACACAATGCCTACTTTCACGAACATTTCATTAACAATGACATAGAGAAAAGCTGTGGACTTAATAAACAACCTTGTTGTAAGCTTATGTGTATGACATTTTAAGCATTCAGGCTACGATTGGGCCCATCAAATACAAGATTTAACAGAAGCGAAACGGAATAATCCACGACTGTATCCTTAATGGGTATTTGACTCGCTTGTTTCCTGTTTGCAGGTGTATACTTCGCCACATTGGTCGTATGTGTGATTGTCACCTCATTCTACATCTATCTGTTTATGAAGAGCTACAGGTAAGAGATGCATTCCTGACGATGTAATTAAATCAATTTGTCTTGAAGCTTTGGAAGACAATCATGATTCCATTCTACTTTCAGACGGCATTTGCTACGAATGTTTCGGGGAAACAAGATTTTCATTCTCAGTGAACTTCCAGAACCACACATAATGATGGTATGTATAACATTGTACTCGTCGACATGGACGATTATAAATTAATACTCCTCTGCGTCCTATGTTCAATGTGAAAAATCACAGTGCCAATATGATATAAAACATCAACGACTGAGAATAAGCAGTGCCCATTATCCAACAAAAAAGATTCGATAATAACACTTAGGCGTGGAAATGATATCAATTGATCCCTGAAAATCAGCCATGTCACACAAGGTGCTAGCGAAAAAGTGTTTTAAGCTGTAATGCCATTCCACTTCGAAACGATATTTGCTAAAGGAACAATATCATCTGAATGGATCATTAGCTTTATCAATAATATATGTCACAGGCATTAAGGTCTAAAGACAACGGTGCCGACTTTTTCATTTTGTTTCTGGTGGTGAACCCTATGTTAAACTAAATTGGAATTAGGTTAGTATCATTACCTTTCCAAGAGCCATATGGATGCCTCTCCTATTCCAAGAAGTTAATGAAGATATGATGTCCCGTTAACTATACAAAAGAACAAGGTATGATTAAGAAAATGTTTACGTCCACAGTAAATGCATTATTCAGTATTGAACCTCAATGCAAACGAATACCGAGTCTTGACTAAACAAATTCCGTTTGATGTTAAGGGAAAATAGCGGCAAAAAGGATATGAATGGATTATTGAAAATCAGTGAGGAGACAAGGTAGTACTCCTGCATAATAGTACACCTGCCACAAGAAATTAATCATTTCCATTTTTTTATAAAAGTTATTAGATGTGTGGATATAAATGAGAATAAAACATTAATCACTACAGCCCTGATATAAATGAATATATGAGATTAATGTGTTAACAGGGCATTTTAGATGCGTTTCGAGATAAGTTGAGGATTTCTATAGGAGTTTATCATTTTACCCCGATGTATTACCTTATGTAAGAATCATCAAAAGTATATAAAAATATGAGCCAAAAGAACCTTTCCATGTATTTGTTAATGTTTATTAAATAGCAATAATACACGACCATGCCCTTCACCGTCACAAACCAAGCCAAATCACGTTCGCCGAAACAAACAAACGTGAAGAAAGGGTCAACCATTTCAACATGTCTCATATTTTTAAACATTCAATGGAGCAGGACTCTTACCCAAACACGTCTTTATCACGAAAGAATTCACTCTGAAGGTGTGGTGTGCAGATAAACTGGCATTCAGTACTTGATTATGTTAACGTGTTTTTCGCAGGAAAACCAAGTTCTATGGATAGTCAACTTCTTTATTGCAATTCGGTGTAGGTACTAACACCGTTATCAAGCAAGTGATACAAAGAGTTGCAACATGAGGAATATATACATAGCTGCATAGTGTGTATATACAATTGGCAAGGTTGATATACATTGGATTACTAATTAGTGATTTGAGCAGAGTAGGTTGATGTACAGAGTGATAGTGATTAAAACAATATGCAGAATGAGTTTATACAATAGATGAGTTTTTCGCAGTGTAATATTTTGGGGAAAAGAATGCGAACTGGTATTTTGTCTTTCTATTTTCAGGCCCGTAGCATGCGCTTTCCTGGATATCAAGTTGCCTACATGTTACAAGGTAACAGCTACAAAATAATTTAGTCAGTGAAATGCTCAATTGATCCCGAAAGTTAGTATTGTCGGCTACGTCAACTGTCGATGCACAGCAGAGTGTAAAATGAATACGGCGATTCACTAAGTTTATATGTGTACATGTTTCAGTCCTAGGCCTCTATTCAATCACATATAAGGTGTATATCTCCAATTTCGTTTATGTAGTTGTCTATCTACAGTTACATGCATATATACGGTGTCCGTGCGTGTGTGCGTGCGTGCGTGAGTGCGCGTGTGCTTGTCCATACAGATATTTGTAAAAATACCAAAGCTTCAACTATACACTCCGTTTATTCTACGTATTGGATATCTCGAATGGGTACTTTTGAATGCAGGATTCTGACACGATATTAAATGTTAAATTTGGCTGCTATGCGCACTGTGCTTTGTCAGTTTTCTTGCCTTCAATAACTTTGTGGATTGTTTTGCAGGTTTTGGAGTGCTGTTTCTTGTAATGTTCTCCGTGGTGCTGATATTCGCCTACTTGATATATTTCATCACTATCCGTCACCGTATGTCATCGGTACTTATATGGCTGTCAGAATTATTGAGGTAAGCCAACTTATATGGTCACTACAGCATGTTTAAAATATAAGTGAGTTTCATACAGCTTCGTGTCAACACATATGTCCAAAACAGTGACATAATCGTTGTTTTAACGGTCATGGCATGGTGGAGGTCCTTTTGGTACTCTACAAAATTCCGAACAGAAGCATAATATTAAGAAACCTGTGATTTGGTTATTTAACGTCGCAATCACCAATATTCCCGTTGTGTGATGGTGGCCTCACAGGATGGCGATTCTTGACCAGCAATGATGATATTGTAGGCAGACATTCACGCCATCGGGCTGTGTACGATGACACGTTATCAGGCCCAGACCACTGCTTCCATGTCATCGCTTTTTACGACCAGCAAAGGCTTCTGGGCACCTATTCAATACGAAATTCACATGGGGAGAATTCGGTGTGATAGTTATCAGAAGTGTTGATATTAGTGAACTTTGTTCAGCTAAAGGTTCATACTTTCATATTTCATATATATACAAACATAATTTATGAATACTCAATTTTAGGCCGACTCTAGTCAAGGCTACTTATCGTGAATATGAACATTGTTCCAACGTTGTCATGTTAAAATAGACATTAAGACAACATAGTAAATATAAAAATATACAGTGTATCCCTTTTTTGTCAGTTGATAAATATGTCTATCAAATGTGAATGGGCATCTCCAAAATATATGGCAATGATATGAATTGGGTAGGAATGTACAGAGTTGCTCAGTCTGTACTAATATATAGCAATGATATAATATACAATTAATATTTGCACAAAGGTCTTGTATTGATACTTCTTTGGGGATCTTTGTTTTAATTCAAATTGATTGAAAAATTATTTTGCATCAGTTTTCCAGCCTTTGCCTTACTGCTGTTCTATCTGCAAGTTATCCTGGCTAAGTACGTGCTCATGCAAGACAAGATCAGGGACACAGATGACGAGGCTCCTCTTAATGTTGACAACAGGTAGTGTAACATCTCCGGTCTCAATATCAATCTTTACTTTAGAGGCTCTATCATAAAATTGGTTGAACGGACAGGCACAACGTGTGACCATATGTGTTCTTGCTTTCACCCTGTAAGATAGTGTTGACTGTGTCGTATATCAACATGGACTCACTCACTAGGCTTTACACTTTTCAACAAAATAGAAATGCATAGATGATTTTGAAAATTTGGACTCAAGTTTAAATATACTATTTCTTTCCAAAACGTCATCGTTGTCTGATTGTAAACAACCTCATCGCCAAAACGCAGCTACTTTAACATTTCCCCTTGTTGTAGAGAGGTTTGAAGAAATATTCGCCAAAACGTCATCAAGAATACATGCAAAGCAAAATGCAAGTGCAAGTAAGCGGAAAGGCATGCGGTATCGGTCACTATGAAAAGGCAAACGTTGTGTCTAATTTTGACATTCGTTTTTGCCTGGAAAATAGGGGATCATCATGCCACGACTGAGTGCCGCCCATCGAAACATAGCCATTGGCCGCCTTGGGGAGTCGCAGTCTGCAGTTGCCCGACATTTCAACGTTCATCAGAGCAAAATATCACGCCTTTTGGATCGTTTCCTACAGACCAATTCCGCCCAAGATCACCCGAGAAGCGGCCAACTAAGCGTTACCACCCATGCCTTAGACCGCTACATCCGGGTTGTTCACTTGCGCCATCGTCTTGCAACAGCCGTGGAAACTGCATAACACATCCCACGTTTGAGAAGACTTCCCGACCAATCTGTCAGGGATCGAATGCGTGATTTGGGGACACGACCAAGAAGGCCAGTTGTCACCCCTGCTTTGAGAGATTCCATCGCCGCAATTGCTTGCGGCGGTGTCCGGAGCTGGAACCTTAGAAACTGGAGGCGAGTCTGGAGGCGAGCAGTAATTGCTGCCAATGGTGGCCATATAAAGTACTTTGACGCCATTTTGTGGACTCAAGTAAACAGAAGCACAACAATACAGGCTGTTGTTGAGTTGGCGAACTGTTTGTCTATAGACGTGTGAATTTTCACCTTTTACCATTGAAATTACATGAAATAATTGCTGTTAAACTGACGCAATAAAAATTCTATGCGTTTCATTTTTTGAAGGGTGTATGTTCCTATTCAAAATCTCTTTTAGCTCCTGTCTAGTTTGGTGACGTCGAAAGAATGGGTTCGATTTCCCATGTATGTAGGTGTTAAAGATGTGAAGCCCATTTCTTGTATCCACACACGTGGTATTACTCAATCAAACTGAATATTGCCAAATCAATTTCGAATTGATGTTCAGTTACAATATCCTAAACATATCAAGAAACCATACGCGTTTCATGACAGATACAGTGTTTCCGACAACCGGAACATAAATATATCCATTTAGAGATCATGAAATTACATGTCGAGGACAACGTCAGCAAAAGCTGAATTATATCATTTCAGGCGGTTTTATGAATGTTTTACTTACTACGCCTTTTTCGGAAATCTGGCCATTGGAATATATTCGTTCCACTGGAGAATTCTACAAGGACTCATTCTTGGTGTTTTAATGATTGGTCGGCTGGATCACAGCATATATGCAAGGGGCTGGGAACACAGAGACAAAGGTATGCCAAGGGTTTTGTTTCAGGTGTATCCTGTATGTTTTGTTTTTTATCCTTTGAACGGTCTGTGATAGGACAACGTGTCAGAGTATGAGGATTGACCTTTGCTGAAGGAAAGACACGTCCTGGAGTTATTAATCATGAATGAATCATTCAAAGCGGTGTTAAACCCAACTCGCCAGAGATTAACTATCCACTGACACAGAATTCACTTGGCGTAAATGGAAAAATAGCCTTGAAAATTATATGTATGGTTCACTGAAAATCAACCATGACCAGAACATAAGAGTAAGCAAGTGAAGCAATGTTTCCATTTCAAGGTTCTTCGAAGTGCAAAAATGAGATTTCCGTCGTCATGATCAGTAATTGTAAAATATCAAACGAATACATCTACATTAAGGAACCAAAGAGTTCATCGTATCCAGTATGATGTGATACATTATTTATACATGCATGCACTTGATCTGATGGGTTAGATAGAAGGCAATGTCTGTCAAACGCCACAGTAACTCTTGGACGTCAGTCAGCCAGTGTATTGCGGAGGCACAGGCAAGAAAGATGTTTTCAGCTATTAGACAGGCGTTATATTCCTACACTTTGTCTTATTTCATTTTATAGTCGAAATTAAACAGAAATTTATTATTCAGTTAAAATCTTTGGAAAGGCAGATTGTGGTCGTTACCATTATGTGCGCGCATCGTGTGACCTAAACAGGAACAAGAACAAATCGAAACGTGATTGTGACTGAAACAGGAACACCTATTGTGAGCCTGACAATTCGTCTAAACGCTAAACGAACGAAACTGCGTTCGTACCTGGAGGGCGAAAGTGTAGAATCTACATACGTAATGTTTCTATTATAAATCACAATCACAATGGTGATGGTTATTGGTTTTGACGGTCATTGTTTCAAGATACCATTTGCATGTGAAGGGAGACATCTAATATAGTTATTTTACAACATATTCTACAACTGGTTGAAATTATTGATTATTTCAGGAATGTTAAATCTGTGACAGTTTCTCTCTCCAGTATCACCCACCATACTCACTAAGTCCTTAGTCTACGAAGCAATAACTGTTTCTTCTATGTAGGATACCTGTCGTATATTTGCATGCTGCACGTGGAGAACGCCCATAACCACCCCATGTTGAGAGTCTTCTGTGACCTGTTACTGACAGATCTAGATAAGGATGGACAGCACCAACCATTCCAGAGACCGGGTACGTTTTGGTAACGAATGTTTTGTAGTTCGTGTGTTGGTAGTCGACAAACATTGTAATGTTGGTGTCATTTCATATGTCATGTGGATGTGTGGAGCAGGTTGACGTAAGTATAGGTTTACACATGTACGTCACATTGTGGCGGTATTGTTCTATGTTACAGAATGGGGTTAACATATTATATGTGGAGTATTCTAGTAAAAATGAATTGGCCTATTCTGGAACAAAATCAAGGCGATCTGAAAGTACCAAGATGTTCCGGAACGGCTGTGTGCGAGTTGCACATATGTGTATTTTACTTTTTATTTGGAATCATTAATGTTTTTCAATATGAAACCTTTCTTCCAATTTGAATTAAGTGAGAAGAAATACCAGAGCTTCAAGAAGATGGTACGTGGCTTACACGCTAATCAACAACCCAGAACTTGCTCAAAGACGGAAACGAGTTCTCCATGAAACCAACAGGAAACATCGAATCATCAGAATAACACAAGCAGAAATGGAAGGTGCTGCTGACTGGCCCATTGATGACGGAATCAGTTCCTCCGTTGAATTTGTATCGAGCGGAAGGAACGTTGTGACAAATCACATATCCTCTCAAGACCGTTCGGTCGTGTGACTAGACAATTCATGACACTGAACACTGCTTGTGGTGGGACAATGCTGGTGACTACAGATTGCATTGGTTATGGTGTTCCAGCATGTGTGATCATGACATTCATACTACATCATAGACTAACGCTTAGTTTCTGAATATATATATAATTTTGATTGTCAAAAAATAAACCCATTTAAACTGAAAATGAGCCCCAGGGAGACCCAATATCATCAGAGTTATTATTAACATGTCAATGAAATAATACATTGTCCAAACGCAATGTCAACCAGCAAACCAGATTGTGTATTTGTATGCGTACGTGTAACCAAGTATGTGTGTTCGTACTTGCCCGGATTAAAAGACAAGCCGTCGTTTTATCGAGGGGCAATACCTGCAACCTCCTTTTAGCATCTTTCGTTATGGCGCGCAGGGCGAACCGCCAGTTTCGTGTGTGTTGAGAAATGATTACAATAAATAGTAATTTTACTTCCCTTTCCCAAGAGTTTCGTGAGAATTCGTGTAGTATGTACAAGTAGTATACAGGAGGATTTATTTGATGTAACAAGTTCAGGCTTAATGAAGTGGGAGACAATCATGAAAAGGCTGTAAAATATCGAAAGAAACATTTTCGCATCTGAGAAATATCTACACATTAAAGTTGTAATTCAAGACGAAATTGTATTCAGAAATGGCTCTGTGTTTTTTTCCTGGCACTGTTTGTCATTCTGCACTACAGTTCTGTTGTACAACACTGGTACACATGTTTTGCTTCAACGTTGTTAAGGTCACAGTTTCGTGTGGAAGACTTGTCCGTTATTTTTATCATCTTCATTATATTTGTTATTTGTTATATTTTGAAGGTGTTCATATTCATGGAAATGTTCTAACATGTATATACATATGTTGTGTTTGCTTGAGACTTTAAATGTCTCTCTGCACCCTGTTCAGGTCTGCAAAATTAGAAAATAGAAGTGACAAACACTTTCCACATCCATCTAAAAACATACTTTAGTCAATTGTACAACTTTGATATCATGAGCATGTTACATTGTAACCAAAACCAGCTTAACTGTTCAGTGGTGATATTTGCATGAACCACAAATGCCAGTATTTGACAACAAAATCAAACGTTCATCTGGCGAATGTGACTGTCATGTTTCAGGCACATTTCTCACATGCAGACTTTATTGCACGTTTGTAAGTTTGTATTCAGCGTGTTTCATGTATAGGAAAACGAATGTATTACAGAATGTTTTGAAATTTATTACTGTTTTCATATCTATACAACAGACAAAGAGTAAGGACCAAATCATAATCAGATCATTGACTCCAGCATTTCAAAGTCCACTGCCTTAAAGATGTAATAAAACTCGCTACTTTTATGATCTATGTTTAGGCTGTTGTAGTTTCAGAATCTTAATCTACTGCCTATTTAAAGTGTGCAAACATCATATCTCAAATGTTATTTGTCAAATGCATAATGATGTTGCATAATATGACATAATACATTATGTACATAAATACGTTAACTAACACCATGATTCGAATATATTTAATGTAACAAATTAAGGCATAAAGTGGACAACAATCACAAAAAGGCTGAAATATATCGAAAGAAAATTTAATGCTTAAGTGTATGCTGACACGTTTCTTTGGTTTCCATTTTCTGTGTCGGTTTATGAAACATCTAGACATATTGAGGACATATCATAAATGACGTGACATGTAAAGAACAAAGACACGGCGGGGAACGCTTCAAGCGCATGTCATTATTAAATAACCACGATCAGTTCCAGCGGGAAGTATAATATATCACCGAATGTTATCTGTAATCTCAGTGTGTTACATTGTGTCAATATTCAGCCGTAAGTGGTTTTGTCTGTAAAATCTGTCATTTCAACAGTATGGTTTTATGGCGTTCATGGTGAAATATAACGCAGATGTGCAACGTTTACTTCAGTGTTTAAGCTCACAATCTTTAGAGTATGGCGGATTATCTAACCAGTCAATTTTATTATCTTGTTTTGTTTTTAATTTACTCTTATATTTTGCAAGGATGTTAATATTGACAATATAAATTGTGCAAACATTCGTTCTACATATTGTAGAATGCTGTTTTAAGTTTTACTGTGCATCCCGTTGGCTGTGGAATACATTTCAACGACAATATGAACCTCTACAGGCTTCCTATCTCTGTGCGATCTTTCATTTTTACTCCACAGTTATGTGATGCTTATAAGCAGATATTTAATTTTTACTCCATAGCTGTGTAATGCTTGTAATCAAATGTAACAGTGATGTAAATGATAAATGCTTTTAAATGCTTTATTGATTAGAATTGTGTTCTTTGTTAATTTAGGGGTGCGGGGATAGCCTGTGGTTAAAGCTTTCGCTCGTCACGCCAAAGACCCGTGTTCGATTTCCCACATGGGTACAATGTGTGCAACCTTTTTCTGGTGTTCCCCGCCGTGATATTGCTGCAATATTGCTAAAAACGGCGTAAAACCATGCTCACTCACTTTGTTGTTTTGTCAGAATTGAGATATGTGTTCACCAACATACATCGAAACGTATGTGGGGGCGGTGGGGTAGCCTATTGGGTAAAGCGTTCGCTCGTCACGCCGAAGACCCGGGTTCGATTCCCCACATGGGTACAATGTGTGAAGCCCATTTCTGGTGTCCCCCGCCGTGATATTGCTGGAATATTGCTAAAAAGCGGCGTAAAACCATACTCACTCACTCACTCGAAACGTATGTAATAAGTGTGTCGATGGTAAGTTTCATCGTACATGGACTTCTTTTCAATCGTTCACGTTCACTGATCCATGATCAGAGGGATTGTAGGACGCGAACACACGATGAGTGGACAATGTCACATCTAAGGGATTAGGTAGTCGTATATCGAGCTCGCTTCTCGTGTTTGCTTTGTTAAAATGTATACAGACAGTAATCAAGAGATTGTGTGCGCAGGAGCAGAGTCATCCAAGGCGCCATATGTCGCTTTGGAGAGACGTATTCTTGAGGAAACAATCGTGCCGATCAGGTTTGTAGGTCTGACAGCAATATACACTTGCTCGTTGTTTTCACCATAGGGGGAACGTTTTAGACCTGTATCCCTTTGGGTTTCCCACCTTTATTAAACTGACACGTTGTAATAAACTGGAATACTATTAAAAGCGGCGTTAAACTCAACTCACCCCCTCAGGAGCTCGAGAATACTGACGTCAATATTCTAGAATCAAGCCGTGATATCATAATAACTGTAAGTGTACTACTTTGGTTCAACGGATTGCTGTTGCCGGATATATTTTGACGTATGTTACAGCTGGATCTGGAACGATTTGTTGGAATATAATTGTCATGCTGCAAAAATTTGTAACTGGTCAACGTATGACATTTGTGATACTTTTATCTCTTATCAACTAACGTTTGTTTTAATGCTACAGGTAATTTGCTACTGGTTTGTGTAAATAACGGAATTTGGTCGAAAAGTTATGATTTCGCTGAAATTAATGTAAACAATATTGGATGAAATTTTGAATAATATAAAAACATTGATTATAAAAATAGGTCCAGGGTTACGATAAATATTTATTTTTAGCCTGTATGTGTAACGGAAGATTAACACAGATCACCTGATACCCTTCCTTTGATGTTTCTTCCGCGATGATGAATTAAGTGAGGGTGTCTCTGTCTATTTTGCAATAACATGACTGGTGAAAGCGCATTTATTAAATGACATAACAGATTCCGTCACACCTGTAATAATCGGAACTCTAATGCATTTAGGAAACAATTCAAAGTTCTACCGAAGGACAGGTTTATTGGTCTTCCAGATTTCAACTGTATGTGATCAAGGTTTTATCATTCAAGTCCATCCGTATCGCAGTAACACCATATCAAACCTACCTATGTATATCAAGATTATGTATGATACTGTCACTATCCCCGTGAATTTAACCCATGAAGATCCGGGTTAGAATGGGTCTTGAGGAAGTCATGCTTGTCGTAAGAGGCGACTAACGGGATCGGCTGGTGAGGCCGCTGACTTGGTTGACACGTCGTATCCCAATTGCGTAGATCGATGCTCATGATGTTGGTCACTGGATTGTCTGGTCCAGATTTGATTATTTACAGACCGCCGCCATATAGCTGAAATATTGCTGAGTGTGGCTATAAACAACAATAAATCAATAAAAGAAACAACAATAAATCAATAAAAGAAACACCATGCAGCCATGTTACCCGCAGCGGAAGTACACTGTGTAACGGTGGGTCTTATCACCAAACACTGACAAGTAGCCGTTGTGTTTTCGTAGTATCGAGTAAATGTAAATAGCTAGTCCATAAAAGCTGTATGTATTAGTGTTGTGGCATTGCTTTGTGGATCTTGGCGATTGTTGGGCATCTATTAACTCAAGGGCTGTCTGGTGAAGACCTCTGGACAAAAGAACAGTTCTAGGTAAGTCAGGTAAAACACATCATGGGTTTTCTACTTTTCCTGAACTTCCTTCTTCGTGTCTGAGTCATTATGTGTTGTTATATTAGCGTCCTGTTATGATATCGTGTTTCATAGAACTATATATACTCTCCCAAAAAAGAAACGCATACAGGAATTTCAACTGTATTTTTATGTTTATGTTGAAACATCTTGTAGGCTTTATGAGTCAATGAAATATAGCGAAATTGCACACTGGGAATGCAGACTTATCCGTCTTTGGCACCAACTCGAGGAAAGTCAGTTTGAGTGTCACATGGAGACGTGTGGTGGCGCTGAAGTCAATACCTCGTGTGACCACCGTGGGCATCCAGAACTGCACGGCATCGCCTCGGCATCGAACGAATAAGTCTCAGAATCTCGTGTTGCCCAATTGCAGCCCACTCTGCCTGTAGTGCCTGTGCGAGTTGCTGAAGTGTCTGGGGCTGAGGGTTACGGCGTCGCACCCGTCTGTCCAGGGCATCCCACAGATGTTCGATCGGGTTTAAGTCCGGTGATCTTGAGGGCCAGGGGAGCACATTGATGTTGTGGTTCTGGAGGAAGTCTCTAGTGTGACGTGCTGTGTGGGCCTGGCATTGTCCTGTTGCAACAACTCCCTCTGGCGATCAATGATTGGAAGGAGGTGTGGGCGTAGGATTTCGTCACAGTACCGTTGAGCTGTCAGGTTGCCCTGGATCATCACCAAATCACTTCTCCTACGGCAGGTGATCGCCCCCACATCATAACACTGTCCCGGCCGAATCTGTCCACCTGGGGAACGCAAGCGTCGGCGAAACGTTCACGTCGACGTCTGTACACCCGCATTCTTCCATCGCGTCGTTCCAATAGAAATCGTGATTCATCACTGAACAAGATTCTACGCCAATTCGGTAGGTTCCAGGCCTGAACGTTGGTGCACCATTGAACTCGATGTCGACGATGTTGTTGTCGAAGCACAGGGCAAAAATAAGGTCTTCAGGCACGTACACCAGCCTCTCTCAACCTGTTCCTGACGGTCTGTGCAGAAAGCCTCCTCAATCCGGGTATTTGTCGAGCGGTACTGGTCGCCGTAGCTGTTCGATGACGCAGATGATGTACCCGGATGTAGCGATCCTGCGCCGCAGTGGTCGCTCGAGGTCGCCCACTACGAGGGGCATCTGCTACCGAATTCTGCCGGCGATATCTCTCCCAGAGCCGTGAAATGGTGCTTTGGTGAACATTCATGCATCGGGCAACTGCCCGTTGAGACTGGCCAGCTTCAAGCAAACCATTGGCGATATGACGGTTGGCTTCACTTAGACGTGGCATTTTGCGTTCGTCAGCAATATTCCATATACAGTGAATAATCGACAGACAGCGATCAACCTTTTATACCCATCATTGAGACTATCTGATCCCCAACTTTCACGTGCATTGCATGTGAATTGTGTATTCTGTGACACTACACGCCGAAATTGAAAATCATGCTGTTAAATACGGGTATTTTACGGATGGTGCGTTTTGTTGTGATGTTTCAAAACATAAACACCATAGGACTCATAAACAGAGCAAAACCTTTTGTAAAATGAATCACGTTTTAATTCATTGCTACATGAAATTGCTATTTTCATGATGCGTTTCTTTTGGGAGAGTATATTTAGGAGATAAACGTACTTTGTTTGGATACTAGATGAATGTTACACCGAATTGATAGTCTCTAAATTTCATTTGGAACCGAACGCGTAGCGTGAGGTTTCAAATGATTAATTTAGAGACTATCAATTCCGTCCAACATTCTTCCAATTTCCAAACACAGTAGAGACTATCAATTCGGTCTAACATTCATCTAATTTTCAAACACAGTACATTTATCTCCATTCTACCATAACCGATTTAAAATCGAATTTCTTCGTTCCGCGGAAGACACTGGCGTGGGACCATAGGCGAATTGAACTCGTCTCTGAAGGGAGTGGTAGGTGCCGTCGGTATTTTCTTAAACATTGCAACATAAAAAATATTCTGTCCAAAGAAAACAATACCTAAGAGCTTGGTTTTTAAAATCCCACCTACACAAGACCGAAACCAGCCTATTATTTTGTGTGCCGTGGTACTGTACAACACCTGACAACACTAAAATGGAATCGTCTGACCTACTTATTTTCTTGGAAGTAGTTGTGGACAGTTACGCAACAGTTTGAAATGGCAGACGAGCCAGTGTGTATATTTTGCGAAAGGTTGAATTTAAGTAGTGGAGAAAATACTTGACTGACTGTCGATTCTCGACCCTGCAGAATCGAGGAATAGATCCTGTTCTGATCGACCCTCGAATCAGTGTTGTAACTCATCAAAGACTAAGAAAGAGGACTATTTTTTACGGATATACAACTTCTTTATTCTGTATAGGCGACGTTTCGACATAGATTCTAATGTCGTTGTCAAGCAAGTTGTCAAGCAAGCAGCGACATTAGAATCTGAAACGTCGCCTATACATAATACAATAGTTGTATATCCATAAATATAGTCCTGATTCTTCATCTAATCAACTTCTAGAATGCCAATCAAAGACGTCATCAAAGACTGTTGATTTTTATGAGTTTCGATCATGATTTCACGTACGTGTCTCTACCCCGGCATGCGACGAAGAGTGACAGTGCTGGCCGAACACAATGATTTATGTACATGCGACTAACTTGGGATTCCTTGGAAATTGTTTTCATCATTTGGGACAGGATTGTGGCCAAGCGTAATTTAAAGTGTACGAACATGGATCAACAGCAGTGACAGCGTTCTGGTGGTTCAATTTTGGAAATGTATTTTTTTAACGATGCAGTGGAACATGATGGAGTATGAGTGGCTTAAATTTGATGTTTCTCCTGACCGTTATCTTGCGAATTTCCGGATAAACGTGTCGCAAAGGAAGTGTTTCAAACTTACTGGATATCTCATGTTGTGTAAATCATTCTAGACGGAAACAAATATATCGTTTACCAGGTAGGCAAATGTTGCTAGCGTTTATGTTTACAAGGCTTTTTGATTTATAAGTTAGATATGTTTGGAGCTGTACATTGTAATGGAGTTAGAATATTTTTATGATGGAAGGTATTATCATAGTGAGGTTCCCTGATAGTTGTGGAGGAAAAATATCATATGATTGTATTTTACGAGTTTAATAAATGTTTGATAAGCATTTCCATCACGTCAGTTGTGATGATATTAGCCATGTTGGTGGTCAAGTTGAAGTAGTGTAGTATACGTGCGCAGTGAAGTGGTCATTGAATCAGACGCATTTTCAATCCTGGATTGATAGTGTCTAATTGTATTGAGTTTCCAATCAAATTCAAGTATTTCACGTAGTCATGGTAGAATGGTGTACAGACCGTGCTTCGTGTGCAACAGTCATACTAAGGCTGTGTCTTTTCTCTACACAGGCTTGCAGTTTGCTAAACTCGTTCTTTGTTATAGTATGGCCAAACGTTGGCCATATTTGTCGAAGTCTATCTCTCCGTCCCTCTAATGGAATGTTTAAATAATTTTGTTTGATGTCTAATAAATTTAGGGAATAATCGATGTTAACAAAATTATGTGTCACAAATGATTAATTTTGTAAGCTTTTGTTTATCTTTAACAAACACTTTTATATCAATGACAAGGATGTCACATATTTGCATGTTTTTATTTGTGGTTGATATTTTTTCTATCATACTGATTTCACGTAATGGTATAGCTCGGCAGAAACGAGGGACTAAATACATCTTGTGGTCAGCCTCTGTGTTCCTGTTGTGATGATCTATGCTCATGATGTCAATCACTGGATCGCCTGGTCCAGACACGATTATTTACGGACTGCCGTCATGTGTGTGGGACATTGCTGAGAGCGCCGTTAAACAACAGACAATATATTTCAGCTACCATGACAGAGTGATGACGTCAGTACTAAGTAACCAGACCCTCCCTGCCTGTGCGGACATCATTGATGCAGAGGTGTTCAATCATGTCATCACCCTGCCTGCAGTAAGTCCATCCACCTCCATGCCATGCTCGTATGGACAAAGGTTTACCTGTTTACTTATACCAGTATTTCATTTTTGCTGTCAGTATTTATTCACTGATATCAGTAAAGTTTTAGTTATATCAAGAAATTTGACAATGATATCAATCCAAGAATTGATATCATTCCTTTTCATGGAAAAACGTCAGTTACTATTACAATAGTTCCAATTAATGTCGATATCCTCAATCTGGTTCCTCACAACATTGACTCAATACTAAACCGGAAACAAACATTTGAAAGTATACTGATATTAGTCCATAAATTACTGATATCAATAAATAGAGGATATTATATGAGTGTCCATGTCATACTATGTTTATGCCACGAGTGCCTTAATGTTGGTATTTCCCGAGCGAGAGCGAGGGATATACCGATATCTTGACACGAGTGTCGTAAACATAGCACGATATGGGCACGAATATATTATTCTGTTTATTACCAAAGTCGTCAAATTGAGGAAAATATACCCAACTCTACTTTCAAACATAGGCTGGATACCCGCCGGACCGCAACTTTGGGGGCGCGGTGGGCGAGCTGTCTCAGGCGCCAGGCTAGTAATCCAGCGAGCTTCAAGGTGCCCGGATCGAGCCCACCTGTGCCCGGGTGTAAAAACGGGACATCCAATGATCGAGGGAAAAACAAAGCGCCTTTGAGCAGTTGAACTGGATATCGGCGAACTGGATATCGGCGCTATACAAATTTTAGAATAATAATAATTAAAATAACGTCACAGAAGAAACGTGACGTCATAGCATTGCTCATGACGTAACGTCACCATGACAATGTGATATTTTGCCCGAGGGCATCGTTTGAAAAATATGAACCCCGATATTTTCGCCCTCGTAGGTAATAAAAGCAATTATGATCTGCTAATGCATTACATGTATCATAAACACGAAGAGTAATATCGTAATTTCAACTGATTGAAAGCATTTATCTTTTCGGAATATTAGTGGATTACTTCATATTCTGAGGCAAGTGTTGTGGCAAGAATCACATTAGGCTGATTCACTCTCATCAAAGTTTATTTCCATTTTAGTGAATGTTTATCCTCGTCGCATCATTGTATTACGTACATAGGTTGTATCGTTGTGTACTAAACAGTTGATGACGAGAGGCTCAGTAAAACTATAAAAGAGAAACAAAATATTTGTTGAGTATACAATACAAATCTGAACCTGTTAAAGTGTCAAATATTCAAATTCCATGTTTTCTAAATGAGCAATTAATTAAATCAAATAGGTTTTCTTTAAACTCGTTTGAACATAGAAACAATATCAACTAAAGAAATAACTCATATCTGTGTTCTGCCATAACTGACTGTCCTGCTCTCAATATGGAGGCCTTGTGTCTGGTTGTGCCTGTGTGCTTCTGATCATGTGATCAGATTGCCAGGACGTGAATTATCTTTTAGATTTAAAAAAGTTTAAGCTGTTTAACCTGGGTTTGAACCTGTAACCTGTGTATTTGTCTTAGTGGTTCAAGTGAACAATCCTTTATGCCACAGGCACTTGCACAGATGTGTTGACGATTTTAGAATATTAAAATTAACTTTTACTTAAATTAAATTGAGATGCTAAATTTAGTGTTCTGCACGTGCAGGAAAGGCCCATGAAGTTCCAACAGTTGTGCAATGCCGGAAGTGCTATATTTGTTTGATTCGTCCTGGCGGCGATTTTGTAAATGGACAAGAATGAAGTTGACTTGAATGAAGTCTGGACCCCGGTTGATCGTATCGGCCATTCTGACAACCAGTTTTCCGAAGCATTATTGTGTAAACACTGAGCAGAAAGTTGTCATAGAATGGTCAGATATTAAGATGTATTTGTCATAAACAAACTATACTCTTCCAGAAAAGAAACTTGACATAGGAACAATTTGAATTTTAAGAAAATATTTTACAGAATCCGATCCATGCTGAATACCAACATGTGCAGGAATAGTGGCCGACGACAAAACGTTATAAAAAGAAACGTTGAACAAAAACGTACCGTTACACTCACGTTTATAGTGAATCGCTAAAACGCACTCTACATGAAATGCACGTGAATCATAAAATTGTGTATCACCGCGATCTGAAGATTGTGACTGTGGGCTTTGAAAAGCCACATCAACGGTACTCCACATGCATCGTTTTAAGCCACTATAGACGACAAAAGAATACCAAGACCAACAGACGTTCAACGACACAACGCCATCGGCCGTTTGCAAGGACGGGCATTGCAGCATGAGGTGGTAAGGCAGACCATCTCAAACCTATCGACACAATACAACAATACTGGGAGTGTTAATGACAGACAAAGGTCAGGTCGACCTAGAGTTACCACCACCACTACATCTGGTTGAGACATCTTCGTTTGCGCGCCGCGGCCGCATCATCCACAACAACCCACATCCCTGGACTGCGCCGAATCTCAGACCAGACAGTGCGCAATCGGCTACGGGAAGTCGGACCTTTTGTCAGAAGACCAGTTCCACTTAACGTCATGACACAACGTCAACGGGGGATCTTGCCAGCATGACAATGTTCGACCTCACGTTGTATGTGTTTGCCAGGAATTCCTCCAGCAAAGGAACGTTTAGGTGTTACCATGGCCTTCTCGATCACCCGATTTGTCCCCCATTGAACATCTAGGTGATACTCTTGATCGACGCTTGCGACAGCATAATCCGCCACCTCAGACACTACAAGAACTGCATGCAGCACTTTAGCAACAGTATCGAAACATTCCTCAAGACAGCATTCGGCATCTCCTTTCTTCTATGGGCCACCGCTGCCAAGCTGTTATCGATGTTCATGTTGGTCACACCAGATACTGACATTTTACTCTGACCAAGTGGTTTTATTAGCCCTATGTGGTTTCACCAAACACTTTCTGGATATTCAGGTTTTGGAAATTTGTAAAGTGATGATTTTACTGTAACTGAGCAATGATGTCATGTTTGAATCAGTTATATGCACTCAGTAAATAAACTCCAAAACAGCATGTCAGGTTTTTTCTTTTGAACAATATATAAAGATGCCTGTTTGCTGAACATGCAATATGTTCATGTCATCTCTCGTTTTGGCTACGAATATTTTCCGAGAAACAATTACATGATGTTTGCCGGTGAGTTTGAAAAAAGGGCGTCACCGATAGGGATATCAAGGCAAGAATATGAGAATTGACATTCACTTTGTGTGAGATCGTTGGAGTATGAACCTTCATAGAGTAGAGAGGGGCGTTGGGGTAGCCTAGTGGTTAAACCGTTCGCTCGTCACGCTGAAGACTCGGGCTCCATTCCCCACATGGGCACATTGTGAGAAGCCCATTTATGGTGTCCCCCGCAGTGATATTGCTGGAATATTGCAAAAAGCGGCGTAAAACTAAACTCACTCATAGAGTAGAGGCTAAACTGTACTAACGTCGGAGTTCGGGACGATATTTAAAGCATCCCTGACTTTCTGAAGATTCATATTCCAATGCATTTACCCAAAAATGTGAATATCATTTGTCAGCTAAATCTTAAGACATGATCCTTTCTTTCCAGGCCGGCATAATCCTAATTTTAGCTCTTCTGGAGAAGCGGAGATTTCGCCCTGAAGTATGTGGAGGCCGACCTGCCTTGATTGTGTGAGCATCACAAAACAAGATATCTTTTAGTCAGCATATCCATATCTGTTTCCATGTAAAAGGTAAATCATTCGTCAAATGTATTTCTTTCCAGTCCCCTCCCTCTGCTTGACGGCTACGACAACCGTTTCTCATACGCCGCAGCCTTCGGGGCCGTTACCAATATCATCTCAATTTTTTTCCTGTCTCAAACCTTCTCCTTCAACTATCCATTGTGGGCTAAGGGTGAGTGTACAACCTTACTCTCATAATATACAACTGGTGAATCTCGGTGATATGTTACTCGTATTTGCCACTATTGTGGCTCACCTTTTCGCGAACACCTGGTAATACCAAAATTCGATGGCGTGGCATGGATGCTAAACAGATACCCGTGATAAAGGCGGAATCGTATCACTGATATCTCTTGTGGTTGTGGAAAAAGTTGAACCTTTCGGGGTTTTCAAATAAAATCAAGTAATGATCTGTTTTATTTCAGCATTGTTGCTGCAGCTACGAATTCTTGAGACCTGCATCGCATGTTTTCCACTGTTTGCCTGTATTTCCACACGACACAAGCTGGTTGGGTCAGTCCTCGGTGTTACCTACAGTTCAATACAGTAAGTTGTATCTGTTGTTAAGATCTGTCATTCACCAACACATCATCTTCATGATAACCATCACCACTTCATCTCCATTCGCAATCTCCCAAGGCATTGCTGGTATTTATGGAGAGGTTTCCTATGTCTCTAATCTCCGATCTGGTTCTCTCCTGATATAACGTCCACGCCCTGGTTCGTGTAGCCGGCAGAAATCTGTCACGTAAACAGCAACGACCCGACCTCCATCAGTCTGCTCAAGCTGCGACGAATAGTTTTCCCGTGTATATCAAGGCTGTTGTCACAGTGCATAAGACTCTGAACTCATGTGAAGGCATTGTCAGTGACGCAGCTCGCTGTCTGTCCGACATAACCAACTACAAATTACAAAGGAACGTGAACGTGGAAGTGAACAGCAATCTGTCACAACTGTGAAGCGTTTTGTTGTCAAGAAGGAAGGTGTGGTCCAACACACAACACTCATCTCTTCACATTGGCCCGAACGTCTATCTCTCAATCAATCAAAGCTGGTTGTGTAAATGGGCCACGTTGCCCGAACACCTATAAAACGTTTAAATATCTATCTCATCTGCTTCATTGGGGTGGAAGTGTATGTCCCCAGTCCACTCCATAGTTACACCTGCCAAAGTTTGGACATGGATCCAAGCCATTTCATCGACAACCTCTACTCTCTTGTAGTCTCTCGTTCGGCTGTCGCTACTTCCTGTAATCTCTGCCAGACTGACCTCACATAGGTCACCTCTTTCAACCAGTCTCTACCACTTCACTCGAAAACATACTGCTACATCTTCCAAACGAAAAAAGGAGTTCAAACTTTAAACTCACAAACAACAGAGCAGATACCAAAACCAGAAACAGAAAATGTGCACCTACATGTAACAAGGAAAGAAGGAAACTTTGGTGTTGTTCATTTTACTGTAATGATGAAATTATGTATTTTACAGAAACACCTTTTAACCTTGTACTTTAGATATGCTTGTGTATATGTGCAGACTTGGTATTTCTATCTGGCTGAAATAATGTTGATGCGACGTATATTTTACCTCACTCACTTACGCTCAGTCATTATCATAACTTTCACCAACACCACATCAGCAGCAGCAGCAACATCAGCAGCATCATGTCACCAGTGATGATCAGGGTTACAATTCGTCTTCATCAACCCATGTCGTAATAGCTAGGCGTCTAACGGGATCTGATGGTCAGGCGAGCTGACTTTGTTGACACATGTCATCGTATCCCAATTGCGTAGATGGATGCTCATGATGTTGATCACAAGATTGTTCCAGAATACGTTTTTACAGACAGCCCGCCTTATAGCTTGGTATTGATGGGTGCAGCGTTAAGCAACAATCAAACAAACAAAAACATGACTTTTTGTCATTATGGTTTATACATCCAAATTTTGTATGCTGCAGCTTAGGCGCTTCGATTGCTGAGGCCGTACAGTTCAACTGCCAGAATGATTCACAACCGGCGGTAAGAGTCATAATGATTTATGAGCAAAACACAAATTAAACGCCAGTTAGATTAGTCATTTACCGGTGTCCTCAAGTCAGATGCATCACACGTTAACAAGTCAGATGCATCACTTGACACTTGAGGTTAATAAGCACACATGCCATCAGTAATGACATACTATTGAAAGGTCTCTTCAAGGGAAAGTGAAGTATTGAACGATACCCAAAGGCTTAAAAACGTGTAACGTCCTCCATTGTCCTTGCTAAAACGGATCTGTCAAAACAAGGGCTAATGTTAGTGCCGATTAGCCTAAAGTAGTGCTCGGTTGCTGCCCTGAAAACGCAATCTCATTGCATTTAGCCATATGACGGATCATGAATACTGGATATATATGTAAGTATCACTTATAGGAAATACAAGCGGGATCGGTGCTCGGCTACTTCCCGGCTGTCCTGTGCTTCTTGTATCTGATCTTGAAGTTCCTTCTTGTCATCATGGAGTGCTTGAGGTCAAAGACATACGTCATAACAGTGAGTAGTACTGGAAGTGTCATTGTTTCGTTATATCTTTAGTGTGCCCACTTCTAAAAGCTTATCAAACAAGTGACTCCATATACCGTATTTTAAGTTTACTTGCATCGACTGATGCTACACGACATGCATATTCAGATTCTGTCAATTTCCTTCTTTTTTTGGACTAATATATATATTTTTTACACGAAAAGGAGCCGCTAAAACGGGTGTACGCTCACCAACAGGAGTATGTGCGTCAAGTTCTACACAGAGACTATGAGCCAAGGTAATATCGTGGTGATCTGAGGAATACATAGGGGCATGTAGTTTGGGATGTGGGTTACTGAAGACTTGTAGAATTCTTCAGGATGAATAATCCCTTCGTTATAGTAGGGCGAAACCTTGGTAATGTTGTTGTTTCATACACTGCAGAATTATAACGACACGTTGGACTGCAGTATTACGGGTACTTATTGCATCGTGAATGCAGCGTGATACGATGGTTAGGCAGGAACATAGTACCGTAGCATTAGGAACACGTGGGGTTGTACCATTAAATACTGGCATGTAAGACAGTAGCACTGAACCGGTATATAGACATGCAACATTATAGGGACATGTAAGACTGCTACATTATAGGGACATTTAGGACATCATCGTTATAGGACTGTGGCATTGCAGTGACATGTAGGACTGCGGCATTATAGGGACATGTAGGACTGCAGCATTATAGGGACATGTAGGACTGCTGCATTATAGGGACATGTAGGACTGCTGGATTATAGGGACATGTAGGACTGCTGCATTATAGGGACATGTAGGACTGCAGCATTATAGGGACATGTAGGACTGCGGCATTATAGGGACATGTAGGACTGCTGCATTATAGGGACATGTAGGACTGCGGCATAACCGGGACATGTAGGATTGCGGCATTATAGGGACATGTAGGACTGCAGCATTATAGGGACATGTAGGACTGCGGCATTATAGAGACATGTAGGACTGCGGCATTATAGGGACATGTAGAACTGCGGCATTATAGGGACATGTAGGACTGCAGCATTATAGGGACATGTAGGACTGCGGCATTATAGGGACATGTAGGACTGCGGCATTATAGAGACATGTAGGACTGCGGCATTATAGGGACATGTAGGACAGCTGCATTATAGGGACATGTAGGACTGCGGCATTATAGGGACATGTAGGACTGCAGCATTTTAGGGACATGTAGGACTGCAGCATTATAGGGACATGTAGGACTGCGGCATTATAGGGACATGTAGGACTGCAACATTATAGGGACATGTAGGGCTGCTGCATTTTAGGGGCATGTCGGACTGCAGCATTATAGGGACATTTAGGACTGCAGCTTTATACAGACATGTAGAACAGTATAGGACATTTAGGACTGCAGCATAACCGGGACATGTAGGACTACAACATTATAGGACTGTAACATTGCCTTGACATGTTGGACTGTAACATGATGTACAACGCTGTAGTGGGATGTGGAATTGTAGCATTACAGTGAGATGTAGCACAGTAACATGATTGTAATATGAAACATTATGACAACAGTAACGTCATCCTGGCGTATGGGCCTATAGCATTATAGTGAGATGTCGGACTGACATTATAGCGAGACTTCAGCATTATAGCAATGCATGTAAAACCGCGCCATACTTTAGTGAACTTTATGACAGTACTGTTGCAAATCTTAAAACGGCAGCAGAATTGAAATTTTATGAATCTATAATATACTGTCAAGTAGAACAAATGGTAGCAGAAAGTGTATCAGTAATCAAAAGCAATTTGGGTTATTATCAAATTATTACATATTTGTGCTCTACCATGTTGCACACTGTATAACACTGTATTTCAGCATAGAGAAGACAATTTGTGATAAATGGATCTACAGATCCGTCCCTGGTTTCAAATATCCAGTGCGAATCATATCCGTGGTCTCCATACTGCTAGTTCTTCTGTACCAAGTAAGTAGGATGATTATTAACCATGATTTGTGTGTTAATTATGCCACGTTCATCAATTAAACGTCAGTAGAACGGTGAACATTGAAACCAAACACATAAGCACCCGGGTTGCTGTTGAAACCATACTATGAAAAGTATTGGGTGTTGCGACACGCTTTCAATGTGTACATAATGACACTGTTTGTTTTGATTCCAGACTGGAATGGGCCTGATCCTCCTTGGAGTTCTAAGTACCAAATGGCTACAGTCTTGGAAATACAATCTTCCAGTTTTTCTCGGTGGACTCAAGATATGGTTATCGAAGCCCGTTGTAGATATATTTGCAGGTAGACACTGGTTTCGCTTTGTAAAATGTTCACTGTTTTAATTTGTATAAAGTGCATGTGACACATCAAACACTCACAATGAGCTCCATTTTGAACAATAGTGTCACATGTTGACATAGAATTAGCCCTTTGGAGAAACAAGCACTACGTCGCTGCACAATAATTAACAAATACAGAATGAGCGGAATCCACGTTCAGAAATCCCCAAAAAGGAAAAAAAGACAATCAAATGATGATGATGTGGATGTTTTGGTTTTGAGATTGCTTCCGTTGATTTGTGTGCGACTGCTTCAAAGGTTTGAGAGTTGGTTAGTGGGCTTAGTAGGGTTTACGCGTGTTATGGAGCAAAGTGTGTTATGAAACACCATTCTGTGTTGGATGTAGTGCGTATGGTGCTTTGGGGGTGTTTTCTTATTTTGTGCACGTAAGCAGGGGCGTAGCTACCATTATAAAAAAGCCCAGGCTTGCACATGATTGCTGGTAAAGAGGTTGGGCAATCCCTCAATACTATCTTAATATAAAGCTTTGCAACCCATCGGGCTTACACAAAATGTATGGCTTGCTATGCGCCTGGTGAGGATCTGTTGTCCTGTCGGAAGTTTAGTTATTGCCCTGTCTTTGTTTCTGTTTTCATATATGATGTTTATGAGCTGTTTAAGTGGCTTTTGGATGAGGTCTTACATCTTTTTGTTTGAATTTTGGTGTGTCACTGTTAGAGATATTTGATAGACGTTTGATTTCGTTCTAACTTAGAGGTAGGTGTGGGCTTATCTCTGGTACATTTAGGGCAGTTTCAACTGCTTGGTCACCATGGTCAGTATACATAGATAGAGTAACAGAGAACACTGTACAGATGGAGAGATGACAACATGACGAAGAGCCAATAGCGTTGTCATGGATAGGGGCATATTAATCAATTAAGGCTATATATGTCATTATATGAATTGCTGTGTTAAACAATAGCACAGTTAACGGCACAATTACAGCATGTGAAACACTTCGTTTAACATATGCCACTCGATGTTGTACGAAAGGGAAATATACACAAAGAAAAGGGTTAAGCATCCCCTGATATTTTCACAATACAAAATGGCAAAATACATGTCAGGTCCGCAATTGCCTTAAATGATCCGGACATTCAAATGCCATCTGATAGAACAACCATCTGGCAAGACAGAAACGCAACATCGATTAGCTGTTGTTAGAATTTAATAGCGATTACGTCATGTTATCACAGGTACTGTTTTTACCCCGAAACAAAAATACCCAAAGTATGGAGCTGCAAGTCAATGAAAGGGTGTTGACATTGATACTGTCACATGAAAATGTTCCTTGAAGACACTAGTGTACGTGCTCAGTGAGACTAATCAGTACCGGGTGGACCCGCCACGTACCCGGATGACACATTCCACCCTACGTCTCATGCCTCCAGTCAGACTTCGGATCTGTTCTAAGGCCAATAACAACCACTCAGCATGCAGAGCTGCCTCCAACTGACGTAAATTCTGTACTGGAGGATTCCGTGCCTGGATTCGCCGCCCTATAATGTCCTACACATGCTCCAGAGGGTTCAGATCTCGGCTTAACGCTGGCCAGGGTAGAGTTGTCACTGCGCTGGTCCTCATGTAATCCACTATGGCACGTGATCGATGACGCCTGTAGCAAGTGGATGGTTATCGAAATGAGGGACAACAACTGGTTGTAGGACGTCCCGGATGTATTGAGCTCCCGTTAAATTGCCCCGGGTGGTGACGAAATCCAGCATGCAATCGTGAGAAAGGCATCCCCACAACATGACAGATACTCATCCATAGGCAACAGTTGGCAGAATGTTCCTTGTTGTATAAGCTGTGTTCTTATGCCTCCAAACACGTGTACGTCCATCAGTAATACGAAGAAGTCCGACCAATGGAATTTCCTCCAGGTCTTCAGATTCCAGTGCCATCTGGCCAAGCACCATGCCATACGTGCACGTTTATGATGGTCTCTCAACAAGGGACATTTAATGACTCTTCTGGCCTTCAATCCTGCCGCTTTGAGACGATTTCTGACTGTTCTGGGGTCGATTGGGTAACCACAGTCTTTGCAGCTGAGGACTTGTACTGAAGGGCTCTCGGCGTGCATGTCGTATCAGTTGTCTGTCTTCACGCGGTGTAGTGACAGGATGTCTTCCAGACCTT